TGCTGTATCGATCACCATAAGTTTATCCTGATTGATACAAAACTTGTTTATCTAGTGCTATTCGGTTTTTCTATTATTTTGTCCTGTTTTGATTTAATGTTGTTTTTGATCTCATTTGGTGACTTGCAATTATATCGCTATTTTTCCCTTACTCTTTGTTACTGCCTCGTTGGCCGAGTGGTCGCAATTGCGACTGCCGGGCAAGGAGTCTCGGGTTCGATTCCCGGGTCGGGCAAATAATTACTTGGCTTTTTTACAAAAAAAAAATCTGAGTTGTAGCACGGAGTCTTGTGCCCGGTATATGGCAATAGGGTCACCCCCTATTACATGGGACTAACAACATAAATAGTGAAAAGTGGGTGTTACATTGTACAGTGGCATTAAGTGTCGTAATGTACACCTCTGCCTACCTCTTCGGGGATAAAAGGCGTGATGTTATGTATGTATGTTACGTCTTTGTTACTGGTGGTAGGTTGTTAGTCTTCAAATATTTGTGGTTAAAGACTTACAGTCTATCGAATTGTAGTTCGTCCGGCCTGTGTTCCATTCAAGGATATCGTGCTAGGCAATCTCGATTACCAGTATTAGAACAACAACCATGAACCATTGATGGTGTCTATAAGGTTTAAATTATATTGAAACTGTGGTTTCACAAGAATATCGATTCGTTTTTAAACCACATTTTATTGAAACTATCCTATACAAATTGCTTATACAATTTTATTACGCTTACGTTCATTTCGCAAAGTATCTAATACTCTCATAGTTAACTATTTGCACTACAAACAAACATCTATTTGTGGCTCCGCGAATACATAAAAGCGGGCGTAATCGTAAAAGTATGGTCGCATCCTGTTCCTATTGTCTTCAATCTGCAACTACCGCTCGTATGAATCACAACCGTATAGGCACTAGCAGTGTTATGTAGTGGTAATTGTGCAAATAATGTGTAATATTGATAAGTAAGTGCGAGGGCCCCTGTGACGTAAAATTATCCGCAAGTGACATTTCCGTCCGATAAGTTAGCAAGCCTCTGGGAACATCCCAGTCGCATCACAACAAGAATAGTGTTGTTATCTCGTCTTCTTGTTTATGTAATCGATATGTTCGGAATATCGATGAGTATGTTCGTTGGTGACGAAGTTTTGGGAATTGACTGTGACGCAGCTGTGAATATAAATTTGAGAATAACTAAAAAATACCTTCATATTTTGTGATATGTCTGGAAAATTACAAAAGACATGGCTGTATGACTGCCTCGTTGGTGCGACTGCCGGGTAAGGTGCCTTGGGTTCGATTCCCGGGTGGGGCAAAGTATTACTGGGTTTTAAAAAAATCTTAGTAGTAGCGCGGAGTCTGGAATTGTGCCCGTTGTATGGCAATAGGCTCAACCCTTATTACATGGGACTCATAACATAAATAGTGAAAATTGGGTGTTACATTGTACAGTGGCATAATGTACATTCGGCCTATCCCTTCGGGGATAAAAGGCGTGATGTTATGTTATGGCTGTATTTCGCTTTTCCAGACCAACAGCTTAACCAAGAACATAAACATTTCAAGAAATATCATAACATTTACACTGCCTATCAAACTTTCATGAATCGGCTTATACACAAACATATTGGTGCGTTAGAAGTAATAAAAACAGTTATCTATCGGCATAACGATAACATCAGATGGGGAGCCTCGGGGGTGCAAGGGTGAACACCAAATCGATGTAAATTGATATTTGGGACTATCTTCAAAATACTCGATAATATGGTGACAATTTATACGTCGGATCTTTGTCAAAACAAATAGTATACTCTTATTCTTATGATATATACCTCTATAGGTATGTGAATAAGATAAAGGAAGGCGTAACTTAATTTAAATCCAATGTAAAATATCCTTATTTTGCCCCTTCGTCTGGGGAAGATATAGGGGACTGTCAGAAGAAATACGTATATCTCTAATGATTTTTCGGAGATTCGAATCACTTTTGGCTCGTCTCTTGACTGTTTCGATCCGTGTCCGTGCCGTGGTGTTAATTCTAGCTACTAACCCAGTTTAAGCTAGTAAAAGATCTTTATTTTCTCCTAGCATTCCAAAGAGGATTATTTAAGTGAACCAATTTCTAGAACTGCTATTTACACAATGTCTAGAGGTGAACTCTAACTCGAATTCTGTTGCCCTTTTTACCCAAATAAACTAGTGTCAAAAGGGGCATTCTTTAATTAATTTTCCAAATAAAATAACAGTTTCATCGAATACCTAATTTTGGATGTCTCTTTTTTATTCAAATGGCTTCAGTGATAAATTATTTGGAATAAAAACGTTAAGTACAATTCGATACAAGAATGAATATGAATTTGCGATTGAAGTGAATCACCTGGCCTTATGAAAGGCACGTTATAAGTCGGGCAATGTCGGCAATATTGACCCCAGAGTCTGACTTTGAGACAACATTGCAACCCTCCAGTCCTCGAAGATTATCTCCACCTTTCCAACGTAATCGCATTGCCAGTGGGGAAAATATTTAACACTTAAATACTGAACTCGTTATGAATTTTTTTGGTAAATTGTTTTATATTTTCGGTGCATGAAGAACACAGATTTTAAGGATGAAAGTAAATGTGAAATCATGATTATATTTATAACATGATTATTGATTACTAGTAACAGGCTCATGTATAGTTGGTCTTTAATACATTTTGATAATTGTTGTGTAAGGTTCATTGTTCATTTGCGATCTGAAATGTGGGCTCTATATTACGGACTTTTCTGTCGAAGTACCATTTTTGTAAGATTTGACAAATCCTTTGAGTGTTTCACGCGTGATTTGTCTTTAACTACTTTTGGTGCATTTCATGAATTTGGCTAAAGTCAATCGTGTGAAGTCAGAATGGCTCAGTATACATCTAATCTCCAGCTGTTAAATCTAATCAAAATTCTTCACCCTTCATGTTTATAGCGGTGCAAGATTGCGCCCCTTTTTTTAATGTGGAGCGTGACGACCTTTTAATATATTCACGAGCATACATTTAATTTAATTAAAAGTATTATGTTATACGTTATTACGTCCTTGTATTGTTTCTATAAAACTAGATAATGAACGTGGCTTTTTTCGTGTTGACATAGTTTAGGTACTTTGTATTCTAAAGTGATGTTCCTCAAAAAATATGGAATCAGACTAAAAAGACCACACCAAATTCTATATAATTACCAAAATTTTCTACTTTTTTGTGACCAATTTAACTGGAATATTCGATTACAAACGAATAGGGTACTTTCCTTAATAATCAAATATAAATTATTTCGACTATTCAATACAATAAAATATTAATATAACCACACTGTCATTAATTGATTTTATTACCAACTTAATTTTAGTATTTTCCCAGTCAATTTTTAAGAAATAAGTATGCCGTTATGGTTTCCAAATGACATTAAAATTTAAAATGAATAGATTTATTGTCGATATGACATCTTTTAAAATGATAGAAATAAAGTCCCTATTACTTTGGAAATAGTCCACGCACTTTGAAAATAGCTTTGACAATTTATTTAATGCTTTCTATTTCAGCCACGTCTTAAAAGGCTAGACTATAGCAATAAGCTGTAGTTAGTGTTCAACTGTCTGTGAACATTCCAGCTATATTTTAGTACTTAAATATCCAATATAGATTTTGAAATTATGTTTCATGTTTTCTATTACGAATACTGTGTCAATAGAAGGACTATTTTGAAAGAAAAATTTAAATATTCGTTTATTTTTCGGCTTAATATTTGCGAAGCAATTGGTAACGGAATTGGTTCTCACATTTTGAATGTTAATAGAATATTGATTCGTAATCGAATTTGGGTGTGATGTGCAGAATATGAAATAGGGTAGATGACTAATTTTTATTTTAATGTCTATCGGGTAGATTATTTTAAAATATTACACACGTATTTTTTATTTTTTTACAGAAACGAATACTTTCGTTTGAAATGTTGCGTGACGTCACTTCTCTGTATATTTTATACGTAGAAATGACGTTTTAGCCCCCGCTCCTAAACTTTGATTTGTTATATCTAAGTATCATTTTATTATAGAACAAAATAAAAAAATACGTGTCTAATATTTTTTCATTACTTAATTGACGGACTAATTAGATTTTTAATTTTCATACCCTGTCATCATCCCTATTATGTGTTGTTTTTTTATGTCATTGTCCCTATTATGTGTGTAAACGCCCTTACGTACAACCTAGGAGACAATCCTTAACTGTGGAGTAACATTTTTAAAACAAAAAGCATAAACCGTACGTACACCCTATTGTTTGCTAATTACCAAACAATAAAAAGACGTTTTACGCTCGCTTAGCTATACCTACCTACTTTTATTTGAACATCCCTATCTATACAAATAAACATGATTAGCTAAATAGCCACTTACAAACTTTGACAATCCCACGCAGGCTATTCAACATCGGATTAATCTGTTTCGCGAAATTCAAGGATCCTTATTGGATGCTCACGTCTCATTTGAATAGGAAAGCGTTAGTCAACGTAAACAAGGATATATTTTCCAATCGGACGAATGGAATATTTATAGCATTATTATTTTGTAGTTAATTATTTGTATTTATTTGCATTTTCCGGTTATTATGTTGCTAATGGCTTACAGTTGTAATAGTACATATTTTAATATTGTACGTAGGTACTAACTATTGACATACCAACCAAACTATTATTAAGTGGTGTATTTAAACACCATTTATGCACAAGACTTCATATTTGTTTCCTCTTATTTTAATAAAGTTTAGATGATTCTGTTGTTCTGGTTTAGCCAAGTACTGTAACTTAGGACTGTATTGTAGGTACACTAACGTTTTTTTTTTCAAAAGCAGAAATTCACTTATAGTAATTTTAAACCCATATTTCCCCATTTATCTTAAGATCTTATGTCAAATAATGAATGCGTGTTACATTACAATAAAACTAATCATATTTTTATCTTGTTTACAGGCAAAATGGAGGAGCGGGAGAACTCCGAGGACCATGGGGTCCCCGACATGACCATGATGCCGGAGATCACGGAGCAAGCCATCAATGACAACCTCAAGAAGCGATACATACATGACCTCGTTTACGTATCCTTTTCAAAATACTAAAACATTAAGTTGGTAAACCATAATAAGAATGGTATTTAATGGACTTTTTCTGTGAGTTAAAAGCTGTGAGAGCGTCTTTATATTCACGCGCCACTTTTCATATTTTCCTACTCTATAGACCTTTCTTAATTTCCATAAACGTTTCGAAGTAAACCAGACGTTCTTGTCTTGAGTAGTGAAGTCTGATAACAAACAATCGTGTTTCACTTTTGTTGTATTGATATATCAAAATAATAAAAGAATTTGTTTGTGTTCTGCTTAAAAGTACTTGTATACCATCTCTGTTGAAACGTAGAGACTTAAATTTGTAATGTTTGTTTATAGTATATAAAAAAATATAATTTTCTACGTATATTTTTAAAGATGGAATAAAGTTTAGCCTGTTTGCTACATTCACGTGTTTTGCTCATCACTTTTATAAATACATACAACCATTAAATTAAATTCTAACAAAAAGCGTCTACAGAGAAACAAATGTTTATAGTATGTATGTATGTATGTATATGCATGCAATGGCTACACCTGACGCCCGACACGGTACGCTGTGCGCTGCAGATTGTCGTGTCAAACGGTTTCAAATTATGACCCTGGTGCACCTGGAATGAAATTATGAGTTCATTCTCTGATATGTAACTTAATGGAAAGGAAGGGTTTGAGAATATTTAGATGACGCGTACAAAAATTATGCATAGAAGTGTACTAAGTTGCACTGAATTCATCAATTCACAGGACATTGACAGCACGATGGTGCCGAGACGCGACGACATCTATAATTTCATATACCTAATTTGATAAAGTTTTGGCTCCCCTACATGTGGTACAACGCGACCGCGGCGCCCTGTCCGTTTTTATTTCGATCTGAGAAAGTGTTTTTTTTTGTATTATAACTTTCGTGAGACATCCTTACTTCCTTACTAATATTATAAATCGGAAAGTGAGTTTGTTTGTTTGTTCCGCTTTCACGCCGTAACTACTAAACCGAATGCTTTTAATTTTGCAGACGTAAAGTTAGAAGTCCGGATTAAATAATAGGGTACTTTTTAACCCGAAAAAAATTTATATTGCCGAGGAAAAACAAAAGTATTGGTATAGATGGCGCTGTGTGTATTGGTATATGTCACATTGGCTTTTTATCCTTTTGTGACGCGAGCGAAGCCGCGGGTAAAAGCTAGTACTAAATAAATTATTATGTTTTCGGCTTACTCACGTAATAATTTGACGAGGAACTCGACTAGTTTCAAGCCATTTTCATGTTAGTGGCTCATATTCATGAGCAGCATTTCGCGACCCGCGACGCGGCGACTGTCGCGCTGCTACTTGAAACTAGTCTACTACTACTACTACTAGCATGGCTCGAAACTAGTCGAGTTCCTCGTCAAATTATTACGTGAGTAAGCCGAAAACATAATAATTTATTGAGAAAGTGTTTTTCATTAAAGTTAGTGAAATGAAATTACAGACACATGAAATATGATGTACTATTTGTCGAATGTGTGCTGTTTAAATACATCAAGAAATTGATATGAATAAATCAACAAATTAAGTGTGGGAGAGCCATGCTTCGGCACGAATGGGCCGGCTCGACCGGAGTGATGCTTGCGTTGTGTTTCGTCGTGTGAGTGAGGTTACCGGAGACCCAATTACCCTCCCCTTCCTCAATCTCCCAAATCCCTGAATCCCCAACGATCCTCAAACTCCTAATCCCCAAAAGGCCGGTAACGCACTAGTAACGCCTCTGGTGTTCCAGGTGTCGTTGGGCGACGCCGATTGCTTACTATCAGGTGATCCGTCTGCTCATTTACCGACTTATGCCATAAAAAAAACAAAAAAACTTCTAAGTAATACTTAAGTAACAAGAAGCTAATAGAGCGAACGTATAAATACCGGATAGAACAACTAAATTTTAATATCCTTTGCGTAACAGAGATTAGAATTTCTCACGAACCACTCAAGTTTTACGATGTCTTCGGAGCTTAAGAACTTACGGCCAATTTACTTACGAAGTGTTAAAGTTTGTCACTGAATTCCCAACAAGCCATTACTGGAGTAATTTTTCCTTAATATTTGATTAACAGACATACACAGGATCCATTCTAGTCGCAGTGAATCCCTACAAGGAATTAGGATGTTACACAACGGTAAGTTCTTTAGTCTTTATACATCTTGTTTTTGTTTCTTAAGTATCTTATTTATAAATGTAATATGATAGTTTACCATGTCTAGTCTCTGCAGGGATAGGTAGAAGTGGAGATCAATTGCGCTTATCTCGAAATATTCGCCAAATATTAAAAATTGTAGATATTTACGCCAAATACTAAGTGTGGGAGAGCCATGCTTCGGCACGAATGGCCTGGCTCGACCGGAGTGATACCACGGCCTCACAGAAATCCGACGTGAAGCAACGCTTGCGTAGTGTTTCGTCGTGTGAGTGAGGTTACCGGAGACCCAATTACCCTCCCCTTCCCCAATCTCCCCAATCCCTGAATCCCCAATGATCCTCAAACTCCTAATCCACAGAAGGTCGGTAACGCACTTGTAACGCCTCTGGTGTTCCAGGTGTCCATGGGCGACGGCGATTGCTTACCATCAGGTGATCCGCCCGCTAGTTTACCGGCTTATACCATAAAAAAAATAGCAGATGTAACAGAGCGTTGACAGTTTTCTTATAGTAAAAAAGGGTTTCGTCTTTATGTCCCATTCAAACCGTCATTACCTGATAATAAATTTTTAAAAAAATACCCGTCAATCGTGACATAAGCATTGTATTTAGCTTCACTTACTGTTCCTGATAATTGTGTGCGCATTTCTTTCGATAGCAATCGCTCGTGATCATGACAATAGCACGTCAATTTCCATCAATTTCCTTCGGTAGATAAACAGGTGGAAATAATACATAATTCAAGAGTTAATTATCTATTATGTATGATGTACTGCATATATTAACGTGGGTAACACACTTGAATAGTTGCCAATTATAAGGTGATTGAGAATGTGATACGGCGAGATGGGTCGTTTACTTCTACTTGATTTCCTTTTTAAGTGGGACAAAATTTAAATTCCATAAAATATGTATAAAGGCACTTTTCGCCTGCCCATGTTCACCTATCCTATACAGATAAACAAAATTAGAGTGTCTGTTTGTACTAATAAAATACCCGCTTTGTCTGTCTGTCTGTTTGTAATGGCTATGGTCTATCTCTGGAATGGCTGGACCGATTTTTACTGGACTTTTATTGGCAGTTAACTAATGTACTGAGTAACATAGACTACTTTTATATTGGAAAATTAAAACTAAAAAAGTTCTCCTAAAATTCATATTATACGCGGACGAAATCACAGGCAACAGCTAGTTACACCATAAATCTAGATTTCCTTCTAGCTTACACTATCTATACTGATACTGTAAATTACTTACTATACTGCCCGGTGGGCTACAGTATGGAGTTCTTCAAAAAAGGAGTAAACAGGTTTATTCGGTCAGGTCGGGAAGGCGCATGTAATGTCCCATGTATTGCATGCGTTCATAGGCCACGGTAACCACTTACCATCCGGTGGGCCGTGTGCTTCTCTTGCCACCGTCGTGGTATACAAAAAATACTTTTAGTATTTATTTAGTTTTAGTTTAAAGTTGTTTGTTTTTTTGTTTGATCGCGCTAATCTTCGAAACCACCGGTCCGATTTGAATAATTCTTTTCTTTTTATCTTATATAGTGCATTTATCGAGGATATATTAGGCTATAGGCTTAATCATTGCGCTATCACCAATAGAAGCCGAACAACGGGTGAAACGGCACGAAAGTAGGCAGATAATAATATTTCGAAAGTGCAATATGCATGTAATACATATAAACCTTTCTTTAAGAATCACTCTATGTATAAAAATAAACCGCATCAAAATCCATTGCATAGTTTTAAAGATCTAAGCATACATAGGGACAGACAGACGGCGGATAGCGACTTTGTTTTATACCTACTATGTAGTGGAGAAGAAACTTTATCCGATCCGTAAAACATACTCTATAATGAGGGGGAGTGAATGACGTCAACCATCCAAGTTCAATTTTTTCTTTTAAATATGTAATAGATTGTACTTTTTCTTGTTCCCTAATTGACTTCGACGCCATCCGTTTCTCGTCCATTCCCCCCTGTCGGCTGCCATCTTATCATTTACTCAGTTTTCCTACAGATCATTTTTCACACAGTACATTTATCTTTTCTTTTTTTAATCGTAATAAAAGAGAATACGTCATTATTATTTTATTACTAGTTGTCTAATAAGTAGGTGCTTGGCACAGTCCGCAGCAACTTCCAAGTATATGTTACCTAGTTCGGTAATGATAGGGTTGTCGCTTATCGAACATCTATTGGTGTATGATAGGTACAGAATAGTAAGTTCATATATCGTCTCAGGTGAAAAGTGGGTATTATTACCTCACCTCGGCTTACCCTCCAGAAAAAAAACTATGTTTTATACATAATGTTGTTTAGTTTGAATTTTACAATGGCTTTTATTTTCTATTTTCAGGATCACATGCAGAATTACAGAGGCAAAGCCTTCGGCACACTTCCGCCACATGTTTTTGCACTAGCTGAGTCAGCGTACAGCTCATTACAGGTATGAACAACTTAAATAATAATATCTAATTACGGAAACCAGCGTATGAAACTTAACCAAATCGTCAATAGATTTGCGACTTTATCACAAATAGATTAAGTCTGGAAATCTATTATTGAGACAAGACTAGGTTTGCATGCTGGCGTAGTGGTGTCTCGTCTGTACAGTACTGAACAAAAAAATTAAATTACTTAAATTACGGTCATAATACTGTAAATAATGGTAGCGACGGAAGGTCACACGTTTTGTCACGGTTTTTCTTAGGAGTATGAATCAGTTTTCCAGAGATCTGTATCATATTGCATCTAGCTGTGATTCATGGAGACACAACGCTATTTATATTATGTATCGTCTATCTATTTATTAACTTTTGTCTCGCACTGCATTCGATGTTTTCAAAGATATTTTTAATAAGTTTATATCAAACTGCTAAGGAGTTATGTTGACAGATTTATGACGAACTGTTTTTCCCACAGAATGGCGAAAAAAATCAATCCGTAGTCATATCTGGCGAGAGCGGAGCTGGGAAAACAGAGACCACAAAATTGATCCTACAGTACCTCTGCGCGGCCGGGGGACAGGCCTCATGGGCCGAGCAGCAGATATTAGAAGCCAACACCGTACTAGAGGCATTTGGTAAGAAACCCCCTTTTATTATTTACAAAGATAGCAATCACCACCATCAAACAATACCCCACGACAGGAGATGAAATTACCTAATGTTAATCACTGTTATTTCCAACTTTATTGCTGAGCTACAACCCAAGAACCGCCCCCACGTCGAGACGTGTCATCAACTTATCAAGCTGTCATATTGTAGATATTACCATTGCCCTCCCTCGTAAAAGGAGGGGCTGACAAACGAATCATTAGTTTCCCAACCGCACCCAAATTAAAAGCTCCTAAACCGTGATATTTGTAAAAATCTAAACATTTTAGTCACTCCCGGATATAATAGGCGTGTTTGCTCTTGATAAAGTAATACCTAAAATTGCTTATCGAAACACTTTTGCAGGAAACGCAAAAACTGTGCGTAACGACAATTCGTCCCGGTTCGGTAAATTCGTGGAGGTGCGGTTGGACCACCGCGGAGGGATCAAGGGTGCTGTGCTACGAGACTTCTTACTGGAACGAGCCAGGATCACTGGACCTTCGCCCAGGGAAACCAACTACCATGTCTTCTATCAACTCGTTGAGGGAGCCAAGGTAAGAAAAGACATTTTTTTATGGAAATTAAAACGAAAATGTTGGTTTTGGTTATACGAAAATGAAAATAAAACTTATTCTTGTTTCAAACAAATTATGGTGCGATAAACCTAATGGACGTTTAGAAGAAAAGAAAAAAAAAACATTACTAAGCAAAAGGCATGACGCAGCATAAAGCCAATAAAAGAGTCTTAGCCTATTTTTACCGACTTCATGTACTTATTAAACTTCTTACTTACTTCGTAAATATCTAACGGCCTCAGGAAATCAAGCATAAAAACAAAACTGTTTTTTTATTCAATCAAAAAATTGAGTTTTCACACCCACCCTCATCTTTACAGCACAACGCAGAACTCCGCAATATCCTTCGACTTCGCGAGGATGTCCAGTACAAATACCTAAGGCCTGAGGATGGAGAGGCTCATAAAGGCCGTGGTGGGGAACAGGGCAAGCTGGAAGCTCTGCAGTTGGCACTAACCGTGTTACAAGTACCGCCGCATATGTGTGAGGGACTGTTCAAGGTGCTCGCTGCTATACTGTGGCTGGGGAACATACAGTTCCAGGTAAGGATTAGTTGTAAGGTGGTTTAGCTAGTGCTTTTACTGGTGATAATTGGGATGATGACAGGGTATGATAATTAAAAATATAATTAGTCCGTAAGTTAGGTAATGAAAAAATATTAGACACGTATTTTTTTATTTTGTCGTATATCAAAACAATGCTTAAATAAAACGAATCAAATGTTAGGAGTGGGGACTGAAACGTCATTTGTATCGTCGAAAGTATTCGTTTCTGTAAAAAATAAAAAATACGTGTCTAATGTTTTAATATAATATACCAGACGGACATTAAAATAAAAATTAGGCATCTACTCTATTAACTGGTACAAATGATTCTAATGGGTAAGGTGATGCCATTGGTATGGTGTTACTATAGACTCTAAAACAATGATGTTTTAAATATCTAAGTGGTTTTAGATTAATTTTAACCATTTCTTCATGTATAGTGAGAGAGATCCCTTCTATTTTACTAGAGATTTTAGAGATATTTCGTTAATTAAATCAACCTATTGAATTATATTTCCAGGACATAGACGGCGAACGTTCAACCCTAGCTGGAGAGGACACGGAGGCGGTAGATGCGGTCGCCAACCTGCTCGGTTTGCCCCTGCCTACTGCCAAGCGAGTGCTGCTTGAACGACAGATCAACGTGCGAGGCAATGTCACTGATATACCTTTGCGATTGCCAGAGGTAAGGAGAAATTGACTAACTCGTTTCATCCTTACTAATATTATAAATCAGAAAGTGAGTTTGTTTGTTTGTTTCGCTTTCACGTCGTAACTACTAATCCGATTGCTTTCAATTTTTGCAAACATAAAGTTAGAAGTCCGGATTAAATAATAGGGTACTTTTTATCCCAGATAAATTTGATGTTACCGAGGGAAAACAAAACTATTGGTATAGATGGCACTGTGTGTATTGGTATATGTCACATAGGCTACTTTTTATCCTTTTGTTACGCGAGCAAAGCCGGGGGTAAAAGCTAGTTAGCAATAAAATTGTTGAAGATTTCTCTATGACCTTATATTTTTATAAAACTGATTAATATGACACTCTTAAAATTGTTCAGACATTAGTTCTTATATTAGACTACTGGGAATTTATAGAAATCGTAAAGACCAGTCGGAATACAAGATGCTAGCACCAGAGAAGCATAAACCCTGTAAAGAAAATCAAACCTTATTGACATACAATTATAATCCAATTTGCATTGTCCACAGGCCCGTGAGAACCGTCACGCGATGGCTCGCGCGTTATACTCGCGTACGTTCGCGTGGCTCGTCCGCCATGTCAACAGTTGCTCGGCGCCGGGCCGCGCCGCGCGCTCCCTCGGCGTACTCGATATATTCGGCTTCGAGAACTTCGCCACCAACTCTCTAGAACAACTCTGTATCAACTACGCTAACGAAAAGCTCCACATGTTCTTCAATAACTACGTGTTTGCTCTAGAACAGGATATTGTGAGTATTGTTTATTTATTTATTTATCATTTAATGTACCTACACCACACAGACAATATTACAAAGGACAGCACATTACAAGCATGAGGTACATAGGTACTGCATATCCCTTAAGGAATTTCTTCCTGCAGACCTGCGACAGGAAAAAGAAATTAAACATAAGACACAGTGTAAATGATACATGCAACTAATACAAGTTTGCAATTTACATAAGACACAGTGTAAATGATATAGCATAAGAAGCTATCACAATGAGACATTTTTTGTTAATTAATAACCAGCTTTATCCTTTTGTAATAAAGTCGAAAAGTTACTTAAGGAGTTATTGTTTACTATTGTTTATACAATTTGCAGTATCGCCAAGAAGGCATCGTGTACAATCAGATCCAGTTCACGGACAACGCGGCGTGTCTCGAGCTCCTGGAGAAACCGCCGCGCAGCTTGCTCAAGTTGCTTAGTGAACAGTGCCACATGCCTAAGGTAAGGGCTTTCTATGATTTTAAATTAGACCTAGAAATAAACTACACAATGCCCAGGTGTTAATACTATAGTCGATGGACACGCCAGACTTTGTTGTTCGCCACCACAGATGGGGCCTAACAGGGCTGATGCCGATACCGAGCCGCGGAAGACTTAACGGGTTGCCGGGGCTCCGGCTCAAAGTGCAGGAGTAGAAACGGGGTGGTTTTTAGTTAGTAAGAGTCTGACACTCCCTCCCGCCTCACCCAGATGGGAGCAGTCATTGGATGATTTTTCCCCCCTCAAAAAAAAAACTTTGTTGTTCGAAGTCTCTGACAAATATTTCAACATTCAACTGCAATAAAGCTTAACTGCATAGTGGAAACTTGACGGAGACTCAACTTAGCACATCTACTAACTTTCTTCTCACTGTAATAACATAACATTACGCTTTTTATCCCCGAAAGGGTAGGCAGAAGTGCACATTACGGAACTTAATGTCCCTGTACAATGCAACACCCATTTTTCACCACTTATATTATGAGTCCTATGTAATAGGGGGTGAGCCCATTGCCATATACCGGAAACAATTCCAGATTCCAGATAAAAATTCAAAAACCCAATAATACTTTGCCCGACCCGGGAATCAAACCCGAGACCCCTTGTCCGGGACTCACACTTGCGACGACTCGGCCAACGAGGCAGTCTTCTATAACTCACTTTTTCACTATAATAAGCAAAAGAACTATTTTCATACCCATATATATTCATTATTCATACCCATGTATTTCATCTTTCCCCAGGGCTCGGATGGCGCTTACCTCACAAACATACAAGGCGAGTTTGGCGAGCACCAGTCCTTCGTGAAAGGGTCTCGGAGGAAATGGGAGGAGGAGTTTGGAGTCCAGCACTACGCTGGCACCGTCAGCTACAGCGTCCAGGGGTTCGTGGATAAGAACCGGGATACTCAGCAAGATGCGTTCATTGACCATCTCAGCCGGTCTGCTAATCCGTTCGTCAGGGAGTTAGCTGATTATGTACAAGACTTGGCGCCGCCGGGACATGTTAGTATTTCTTTTTAAGTCATGAGTTTTGTTTAGAGAAAAGTTAGTCAAGGGATTGTATTTTCTTCCTTTGACAAATAGATGATTGTTAAATAATGACTTACATTATTTTCGGAATGAAAGTGGATACTTGTGTCGGGCACACTGATAAGTTGTTCAACTTTTGTTTCATACATCGACAGTATAGCCAATAACTTCTATTTTCCAAAGTAAATCGTTTTCTTTTTTCAATTCACTTAAGATTTTAAATCTATACAGATAAATAAAAATTGCGAGTGTCTGTTTGTTATATTAAAGTGACCAATTTTTAACCAACTTCAAAAAAAGTAGGAGGTTCTCAATTCGACCGTATATATGCTTTTTATTATACAGTATGTAGTTCCATACGGTGTATGAATACGATACACATTTTTTACAATTTTTGTCTGTCTGTCTGTATATACATACCTACTGTCTAAACTCTATAATGAGTGGACCGATTTTGACGGGACTTTTATTGGCAGTTAGCTGGTGTACTTAGGAGTAAAAAAGGCTACTTTTATTATGGAAAATTGAAACCAAATAATAGTGATGTCCTAAAATTCATATTCTACGCGGACGAAGTCGCGAGCAATAGCTAAAATTCAGCAAAGTATCACTTATTAAATCTTACCTAGGTACATAAGTTCTATGCTACATAAGTTTTTATAAAACGTTCCTATTATGTAGGACACCTCGCTTTCGAGTCCCAACTCGACAGGCACTACTCAGCGCGGCACGTCCAAAGGCCGGCCCACCGTCGTCGACACGTTCAGGGCGCAACTACAGTCGCTCGTCGACATGTTACAGGCTACTGATGTGTGGTGAGTAATGAATTATTTATCTAACCAAATAATGAAACATCAAAAGAAAATCGTCATAAATAAATCATAAGCAATGACACTGAATAACTGAATGAAATCAAATATTTTTTACACAATCAATCACACAACTACTAATTTTAAAGTTTTAAGTTTTACTTATAACTTTTTATAATAACTGTCGTGATTCATTACTAAGTTAACTAAAAATCGCGGGTTACTCAAGTCCCTCTGTTAAGAAAAAAAGGAGGAGCCCCTCTGTGGTTCGAAACTAGTAGAGCTTTTCTCATTATTTTCACGTGAGTAATCCGCGTCTTTTAATTAATTTGGCGTTATCGAATTTTTATAATACGATAGAGCAGTCCAATGGATTTTTCTATTTCTCAGTAGTTCATCGTTTAATCAAAATATCACCTCCCAGGTACGTCCGTTGCATAAAGCCAAATGAGAACAAGGAAGCCGGAAAGTACTCGGAACAGCTAGTGCTAGAGCAGTTGAAGTACTTGGGTATGAACGAGATAGTCCGCATCAGACGAGACGGGTACCCCATACACCTGCCCACGCCACACTTCCAGGCGAGATATAGATGTCTACTGCCGCATCCCAGACCTAAAAACCCGGAGATACAGTAAGTTAATATTATCCTTTGGTGGCATTTTATAAAGAAGCCATGCTGAAAGCGTTAAATTGTTAGCTTATTTGCTAAGACTATTATTAGCTAAGATTACATTATTAATTATTAAGATGTTATTCAACAATCTTAGAGGAAATTAAAAGAATCGAAATACGTACTTATGTTGATTCAGAAAACTCTTTCTATTTTTTTTTGTTTCTGCTCAATCATAATATGATATATATTATGATATTACGGATCATAATATGATATTATCATAATCATAATATCATAATATAATATGATACAATATGAAAATATCTTTGTAGTAATAAAATATGAATATAGTTCACAAGAGTTGTATTTTCTTCACAGAGCAATCACCGCAATAGTGAATGCACCAAAGGACGACTGGCAAATCGGTCACACGAAGATTTTCATGAGAAGTTCCGTACATGCGCCCCTTGAGGCCAAGAGATCAGCATTGTTGCAGTCTTCAGCTCTGAGGATACAGAAGGTATGTAACAATACTTACAAGTGGCATTTAAAGGAATAATGAAAGGTCGCGCAAACTATAATAGCAAGTTAGCAAGTTAGACAGCCATAAAATATTTTTTGCATGATTCCGCAATGAAGTAACATCATTGCGCATCTTTTACGGCCATTTTAGCAATATTTATTTTCATATTAGTGTAATTTGATTCGTTTCTCTTCGAAGACAGTACATTTTATAAATTATTTCTATTCTTCACAGTGGTACAAGGGCTCAATAGCTCGTCGCCAGTACCTAACCTGGCGCCGCGCGGCCGTGGTCCTACAAGCCGCCCTCCGCGGTTGGAAGGAGCGCGCCGCCTTCCTGCGCCTGCGCCGCGCCGCACTTACTCTGCAGCGACATCTGCGCGGAGCATTCGCCAGGGAGGTCGCCGCCGCACTCAGGGAGATGAAGAGGGTTAACCAGGAGATCAAACTCAGGGAGGAAAGGAACAGGTACCTTATTTATGAATATTTTGAGTATGAGTTTCAACTTTTATTGACTTTCGACTTTATTACTTTGGTCACAAAGTTGAAAATCGATTGAAAGTTCAAAAAAAAGATATCTGCCCTGTTGCCTTCATTCATCCGTTCAACATTAACGTAAAAATAACTCTCTTTTTCATCTCAGCCTACAAGAGAAAGCTAATCAAGAACGAGCAGAGTTGGAGAACATGGCAGACCAGCTTCGAGGTCTATCCTGTCCGACCAGTACTCGCGCGGAGTCTGTGAACCTGGACAATCTGTTCGACTTCCTGGCGGACGTGCCCACACAACGCGGCGCGCCTGACGGACAGCCTGACACACATCAACCTACTATAGCGGAGATTGGAGACTCCATGGAGAGGCTCGCTGATGATCTGCATCAAGAGGTAAGAGGGGAAGAAGTAACTTTTTTATGTATATTGTGCCATTCCGGCTTTGCTAAAAGCTAGGTTAAGGTAATGAGGTCAGAAATCATTTCTCAGTAGGTATAGTTTTACAAATACTATAATAGTACATTTTTAACTTAAATATTAGGCTTTTTTATGTACGGGAAAAACATTACTGTAAAGTTTGTTTGTGATAGTTTAATGTCCCTACGTCTATACTCCGTATCATACTTTATTAACTTAATATTTTCTTTCGCAGTTGGAGCACGTCCTTGCAGCGGAAATGAACGAACTGAGCAAGTCTCATACAGAAGCTCAGCGCAAGCCAGACGGAGCGCCATCAGACGCGATCCCCCCTCCCCCTCCATCGACACTGGCCATACAACCCATCGTGCCACCCGCGCCACCGCCGCCCGCATCCATGACGTCATCGATCAACGGAGTAATGAGTGCGTCATTAACGAACGGTATGTCTCCGCCGAACGGGGATGTGATGACGTCATCGCTGACGTTGCCGCCGCCGCCTGCAGTGGAGCCTCTGAGTGAGCAGTCCCCAGTGTTCCCGCCGCCGCCCGCCACCTGCACTCTACCGGAACCCGCTGGGCCCCCGCCACCGCCACCACCCACTACCAAAGGTAACAAAAACTAACAGACCAAGTAAAATACAAAACATCTTTACACATTTTACCCTTAAAAACTTGACATACTAAATCTGTAATCATCATAATCATAACATCACGCCTTTTATCCCCGAAGGGGTAGGCAGAGGTGCACATTATGTCACTGTACAATGTAACACCCACTTTTTACTATTTATGTTATGAGTCCCATGTAATAGGGGGTGAGCCTATTGACATATACCGGGCACAATTCCTGACTCCGTGCTACTACTGAGATTTTTTTTAAAACCCTGTAATACTTTGCCCGACCCGGGAATCGAACACGAGACCCCTTGCCTGGCACACTTGCGACCACTCGGCCAACGAGGCAGTCACTCAGTAAATCTGTAACTCCCATTTTATGCCGGTTATGTTATAAATCCCCATTAAGTGATCACGGCCTCTTGGAGGTTATCACTTACCCTCGTAACGAGGAGGCTCATAGTCCAGTAGTCTGGCCCGGGCTGTTGATGATAAACCGCCTCCTTTCCCGTTAGGCGCACAACGCAAGCACTGCACGAAAATAACTAAGCGCAATTATTATTGTAGGTAAGTCAGTCACATTTTATTTTATATCACAAATATAACCATTTTATAAATGTTTTAATAATATTTCTGACAGATACAACACCGCCGGAGTTAACCAACGGAATAATTCCCAATGGTAAGCTGTCGCTGGTGAAGGGCAAGGAGCCGATATACGAGGCAGTCATACCGCGGCCTGCACCGGAACAGAACGATCCATCACCGCCGCCGCCGCCGCAACCCACTCCTCCAGAGACTAATGGGTATGTAAAAGGCAGATTAAGAGGGGTTTTTATAGTAAAGTATGTAACGGTAAAATGGGGTAATTAGATACAGAAGAGGGGTGAAGAAGATAATAATGAGTATATGAATATTTATTCGCGGCATTCCTGTGTCTATTAGTCTTCTCGAATTCTATTTAGCCCTTTGAGTACCGTCATTATAGACACAATTAATGAACAATAGGTTGCGGTCACTGGTGTCCTCGCGGTGTTTGATAGTTTAACCCGTTTTATGGTACCTAAAAGTCGATAAAACTAATAAAAAATTGCACGGTTAATTCATTAATTATAAATCCTTCTCATTGCTTCTCGTTGTAATGAGCCGTGTCTTTTAAAAGCTTGGACAATGGACACGTATGGACCAAAACTTATGATATCTTATCAACCCAATAGTTGGGATTTTATAAAGTAAATTTTCAATCATTCGAAGACTGTGTTTGTAATATTTATAAGTCCCCATTGTTTATTCAGGTTTATCCGCAAAGAGGTACAAGTGGAGATGGAGCAATGCAACGCACCCCTCCCTCCCCTGCCCCCTGTAGACAACGCCCCCACCTCGCCCCCTCCCGTGCCCATGGACACCTGCATCAGTCCGCCGCCCATGATGAATGGAGACTCTACGGTAAGTCTACTTCTATAATAATAATTGTCATAATAAATATTGAAAATGCCGTCGTAATTTGAAAAGATAGATCTCATCTACCAGGACTCGTTAGGCAGTCAGAAAAGAAAATTATTTAAAATGTCCAGAAGTTACACTAAGCATTGTGTACATAAGAAAGGCTGGTCATTATATCCACGCTTGGTAGTCCAAGTCGACCTCGCAGTTTACAAGGTTCAGGTTTATCGAATAGCGCTGCTACCTAGTATCTGTTAAATCTGCAATCTAGGACAGCCACGCGCCACGGTCACAAATGTGTTCTCGGCAAGCTACAACTTCAACAATAATCTAATACGGTATTTGACAACCAGTCAAATTCAATACTTTTTTCGAACTGTCAAATACTAAAGTTTTCTATGAATTTTGTACGAGATTGTGTATTGTGATGTCACGTTTTTTTAGCGTCAAACAGCGTACTTATTTCTTAAAAATTTGATGGAATAATACTAAAATTAAGTTGGTAATAAAATCAATTAATGAAAGTGTGATAATCTTTGAATATTTTGTTGTATTGAACCGTCGAAATAATTTATTCTTGGTTAAGGAAAGTACTCAATTGTCCTGTTTTTGTTCCCAGAGTATCGACCGTAACGCGCGTCGCAAGGAGCGAGTAGAGCGCCGCCTGCACCAGATCGAGGCGCAGGCCACCACGCTCCCGCCCACCACGCCGCCTGCTGACGTCACCAACGACCTCTCGGAGTTCGCCAAGCTGTACTTCAACGACCATCCGCGGTCGCCTGAAGGTAAACTATATCTTAATATAATGTGTATAAGGTGTATTTTGGTCTGTAAACTTGACTGACATAATTTTGTGAATTGGGCAATCTATCAATCATTACTTTTTGAATGTTCGAAATTTAAATCTTGGAAGGGCCATAATTGTGTAGCATTTATCACAGTACTGGCGAGAAATCTTTGTAGAAAAGCTCAGAAATATTATCTAAATATGTAATTGGGTATTATACAAGTTATGGTAATGGTTACAGAGTTAAAATTCAAATGTCAATCTTTTTATCATTAGGCACAATAATGGCGACGCTAACCCGCAAGAGTAAATCGATGGAGTTGCTGACCAAGGAGGAGATGATCACGTACCACAAAGGAAACAACATTCCCACCTCACACATACAACTACATGACCCGGACAGTGTTACCGCGGCCGTTAATATCTTCAGAGTGAGTTCATATGCTATTTTATTTGCTTTACAATGTTCTTTTAAAAATCACCAATGTCACATTATAGCAACAATTATCATCAAGTCTATGTGGCTACTGCTAACCAAAGACCTCTTCTCACAAAGGAGAAGGTTTGAGCATTAATCACCACGCTTGCAATTTCAAACTTATATTTAGAAATTATAAGCTCAGGTTTCCTCACGATGTTTTCCTTCACCGTTTGTTAGTGGTGTCTAGGTAATCTTAGAAAGTACATTATAACTCGGAAGAAGTCACATTGGTCCTTGTCGTTGGTAGGTTTTAAACTCGCACCCTCATGTATGAAATGAAGAAAGTACTTGTTACTAAAATGTATTTTTAATTTGTAGGATTTATGTCGCTATATGCGCGGCGAGTTAACGGCAGAGAAGGAAACACAAGTGATACAGTCCATCATTGGAAAGGGCATAGAACGCGAGGAGTTGAGGGATGAAATCCTCGTGCAGTGTGTTAGACAGGTCAGTGATGCATTTTGGTAAAGATTATTCTTTGTAGACATGTTTACTCAATTTAGATTATTATAAGGTTTATTAGCTTGAGAGTTGTAATAAACCACATCTGTCATGAAACACTTTGATTTTAAAGTATTCTAGATTTGTTGTACAGTTTCGGTCATGCTCGAACACTTTCGAGCCATATCGGAACCCTTAACCCACTTGTTCCTGAAACAACTTGTTTGATTATATCTTAATAAATTTAACATATAACGCTAATAATACTATATTGTATACGAAAAAAATATTAAAAAAAATTTTCTTCAATTAGGAAAGTGGGAAAATGCCGTCCTTTTAAAAGAACGCTAGCAATATGTACTGCTATGGTATTCATAGGTGAAATAAAATAAGACTATAGGTTTCACACAGTTTTATTTTGGAATATGAAAGCTTTCGAAGCAAAACTTAGGATGCAAAGTAACATTACATTTAGGACAGTAAAAATTGGCTTTTTTATGACATTCAAAGCACCGAAGTTGATTGTCTCTGTATCTGATTAGGTGATCTTTTCCATCAAATCGGGAATATTTGCGAAAATTTTGGGAGACACGAGTTGCTTTACTCTCTTATACGTTTCCAGAAGAGCTGTTGCCACACTTCTGCGGAAGTGAAGGAAGTCATATTCACTTCCATTGTTTTTGTATAGTTGCCAAGAATTATGTAAGGCCATGTCCAATCCGTGGCAAATCAAAGAGAAGTACCATTTCTTTCCCCTAATTGACGTTCTGTACAGACCTATATTTTGATCGGATCTATCAACTCCCCCCATGTTTTCATTATATTTTTTAACGACAGCTCGCTGATCAACAAGTACATATTTTTTTTCTTGCTGTGAAAATCTTTTTACTTTTGTTACAGGCTGAATCGTAGAGGCATTTGATGCAACACTCACAACACTGTTATCATGCCACTTGCATACTAAAATTTGCTCTGCCCTAGTAGACTGGTGTTTGAATGTCCCTCGTGGTGTCTTCTGCAGTTGTTTGTTGGTAGGCAAAGGACATTTACCTGTGCGATTTTCGCGAACAGTTCCAGTGGCCTTTATTCCTCGAACTCTCAGTTCATCTGATTCAGTAGAAACCACGCGTCTGCGTTTAGATAACTGCATGAGTGGTATGTCATCATCCTCATCACTACAATTTTATGACTGGAAACAGGCTTCTCCCAGCGCCCGTAACTGAGATCCGGGTAAATTGTCTAGAGAAACTTGGTTTTCATCACCTGAATCCTCATCAGTGACATCAGCATTGCAGTTTTCAGGAGGCAGAATGTTAATGGAATCAGGAACTTCCTCTTCATCATCCTCTTCTAACTTTTCAACTATTTCATTAAGCGTCAAATGCCGAGACCACTTTTTTTGATACCTGAAACGCATAATAGATGATAGTAACAGATTTTGCTATTGGTTGTTTAAAAGGACGGCAATTAAAACTGAATAAAATACATATTTGTAATGGCAATAAAATACTGACACTGCTATTAAACTTTAATTTAGGCAGCATATAACTAAGTTCTAGCCTTCTTGAAAAAATAACATATTGTTATAGTTATCATTCCTTACCTTGAATTCTCCATAGTTAAAACCTTGAAATCAAAAATGTATACAAAATGGAAGACTAATTAAATCACGAACAATAAATGATGTGTCCGCTTCGTACACTTAAGACCCGTCGGATGAATAGAAACAACAATGTTATAAATACTCTCATTGTTCACAATAATTTTATTTATACATCGACCTTTTAAAAGAACGATAGCAACAAGTGGGTTAATTACGCTCTGCATACTCAGTACAATAATGCAAATCTAATATTTTTAAGCAAGTTTGTTATTGAACCTATAGTTATCGAGACTTCACTGTGTACCTATTAAAATTAATCTATCTAATATACAGATAACAGAATGCCCAGTCGAAGAATGGGCGGAGCGTGTGTGGCTGATCCTATGCCTGTGCGCGGTGGCGTGGCAACCCAGCCGAGGGTTACAGCGCTACTACAGCGCCTGGCTGCGGTCCCGGGCGAGGCTGCTAGGCCCCGCGCCCGCGTCCCCCGCGTCCCCCGGCTCCCCCGCGTCCCCCGCGGCCCGCGAGGCACACTGCGCTCAATGGTGCCTCGACAACTGCCGCGGTGCTGCGCCCAGGCAACTGCCGCCCAGTACTGTTGAGATTGCTGTAAGTTCCGTTTATATTTACGTACTAAAATTAATATCAAGGTCTATATTACCGTTTGAATAAATTCCGTGTTCTTTTTGATGGCTTTTTCCTAATTAGATAGAATTGGCCAGTACCAATATGGTGAGTCAATTCGGCTGAAGAACAGTGCTTTAATTAGCTTTAACTCGTATTTAATGTCCTCCGTAACACACTATAATGAAGATTCGACAATGTTTTGGTTGAATATATAATTGACGACACGTTCCTACGTTAAATGATATTTAATGAATTTTAAAAATTTGCAATTGACGATTTTATTAACTTTGTATCACAGGCGATGCGTCGTCTAGGAACGATAGTATGCCGTTTCTTCTTCCTGGACGGTCGTACTAAAGCTATAGACGTGCACCCGGCGGACACTGCGGCGGCGGCGGCGGCCAGGCTGGCCGATAAACTGGGCCTCGGGGCGCAGGCCCGCGCCGGCTGGGCCGTCTACCAACAGAGGGCAGGCACTGAGGAACATGTACGCGCCACGCATTACCTGTATGATGTCATCGCTGCTTGGGAGATGTGAGTATTTTATGTTTCAGTATCAACATTTGTTTACTATCGAGAAATGTTATAACTGTCGCGTTATAGTAAGAAGAGACCTTTATTTGAGGCAGTCGCACTTACGACCACGCAACCAACGAGGCAGACGGTTATACAAATAAACCTTAACAGCTCTAACTCATTAAATATTGAATGTAATTGTTTGTAAACCAGGCAACAAGGCCCGGGCGGTGGGTCGGCAGACAACCGCTTCGTGTTCAAGCGGCGCCTGTTCCGCGGCGGCCGGGAGCTGCCGCACGACCCCGTCGAGGTCGCGCTACTGTACGCACAGGCCGTGCATAGTGTCGTCAAGGTAACACAGAACTTAGTTACACACTGCACTAGATTTTAAAAAGAAAAAGAGCATCTGATCTTCAAAAAAAAAGCCTTCGTACAAGAAGTTTCTTGAAAAGTATCCAATTATGTAATTTCTTTCTAAATTGGATTTTTGTCATGTTATATTAGATTATTTCGCGTTTTATTATTATTTAAATTGTTCTGTTGTTTTTTATTTTATGTTTTTTGAGTAATATGACTGATCCATGCTGCATGGATTATATTGCAATGTAATTTATCATTATGACGACATTCAGATACAATGTAAATTGTTTATTGAATAAATGAAATGAAATGAAGACAATGTTGCAATAAAAACTTAGCTTTTAATAAAAATAGGCCTGGCCTTCCCTCAGCCCCATATCTCTTAAAGGTTGGCAACGCGTTTATTACTTGTTTAATGTTACAACTGCCCATGGCCGAAAGCGGTTACTTACCATCAAGGTAGGGTTCCTTGATGGTAAGTAACCGCTTTCGGATGGAAAGATTAAAAAAAAAATTCGCAGATGAATGAAAACTAAACTTGTTAAAAGTAGATGACAAGACGATATAGTTGCTATTATAAACAATTTGTGGCCAGATGGACGAGTTCCCAGTGTCGGAGAAGGTGGCGCTGCAGCTAGCGGGGCTGCAGGCGCAGGTGTCGCTGGGGGAGCCGCCCCCCTCGCCCCCTCCCCCCCACACGCGCGCGTACTACGCGCAGCCTGAACAGTTCCTGCCGCAACGCATCGCTAGGGCCAGGCCTGCGCACCAATGGGTGAGTACATACCTACAAAATAGATATAGGCGTAAACCATTTGACTTCAGTCTATCAAACTGCTTTCAACTTTTAAAATAAGTTTATATTTTTTTAAAGATTGTTTAATTACTTATTTGTAAAAATATGAAAAGATGTATGAACTCCATAATTTAAATATGTATTTACATTATAAAATATACATATATGATTGACTCGAGCACACTCGTGTCACGGCATTTAAGCTGAGCTCTTGCCTTTTTGCGCCGTCTTACTGTATTGTTTCTTATTTTATTTCCTTGTGTCAGTGTGCAAATAAAAAAAATTTCTTTCTTTCTTTCTTTCTTTCTTTCATTAATGATTACACTAAGAAGTTAAATGTTGCCGTAGATTTATAACGCGGTGTTATTGATAAAAAATTGTGACAAATAGCAGAAAGCAATAACTAAAAAGAGTGAACGCTCACCGATACTGTTAATCACAATAAAATCTGATTAACATCATTCACGAATCGGAGAAGTTACCTATTCTTGTTCATTTGAAATTGCCATTTCATAATGATTAATCATTAAAATCTTAAAGTAACATTTTTTAGTTCTAACAATGATAAAATCCTAAAAATCAATAATTTTTCTTCGAAATAGGCGACGATACTTGCCCAAGCGCACCGTCAGTACGGCGCAGGTCGTGCAGAGCTGACTGCCAAGGCGCTGTACCTGTCCTGTGTCATGCAGTACCCGCTGTACGGAGTCACACTGTACCCCGTCACTTACAAGGGATACTGGGCTCATGGTAAGTGGGGAAGCAAGGAGAAATTGTTTTTGGAGCGAATATCTAAGTACATAAAGTGACTTCCTATTGACTTTTTTGACTATGAAAAAGTGCTTCTACGCCTACCTTTACCTACCTATATAAATGTTTATCAACTCTTATCTATATCATATCCGCCACAAGATGTTGACAGCTCCCTCAGTGACTCCCTAGTCTATAATGTATAGAGCGATTGTTATGATAAATTGTATAATTACTAAAGATTCAATGAAAAGCTATTTAACACAAAATTTATCCACCATTTAATCAGGCCCCAACGTACTCCTCGGCGTGGGATCAGAAGGCGTTGTCTTAGTCCGGCCGACAGACAAGGTGGTGCTGGCAGAGTACCCATACAGCAACATCGCGGCGCTGCTCATGGACCCCGTGGACAACGGACTCACCATCAGTCTCACTCACCATGGACAGCACGATGGACACCGGTATGTTGTACTAGGGCACGAAGACTTGAACACTGGGGACCAGGACGGACAACGGTATGTCAATAACTTCACACAAACTGCTTGTCCGTAACCAAAATACTGCCTGCGTCGCGGCGTCGATACTAACTCTGTTATAGGTTGAACTGCAAGCTCCAAGCTTGTACGAAGATGCAATGTATTTAAGTGTCTTCCTAGCTGACTACGCTATTGGGCGTTTCTTTGAAAAAAATGACATTCGATAATGATTGTCTCACGGACTTGACAACATTAATTATTATTTTAGTATAACTGAAAAATTTTGTTAAGATATTTCGAAGAAACATCCTACAGCTGAACTGCTCTACAGCCTCATGTGCCTTTATAAAGCTCATTTGTCCGCGATACTTTTACCCTCAATTACAACAGCATACAAAACTGACTCCTATGTCATTGGCATTAGGTGCATAGTTCTGGAGTCGGCTCAGAAGAACGAGGCGGCGTGGTTGATGGCGGCATACAGCCCGGTGCTGGCCAATGGCCTGGCGGACGAGCCCCCGCGCCGCGCCGCGCCGGCGTCGGAGCGGTCCCGGCTGGCTGCGGCGCTCAAGAGCGCGCGGCGAGCGCTCGTCGACTCCGGCATGCTCAGGAGACCTACTGAAGCCACCGCTGGGAACTTCTTGAGGAATACGCTGAGAAGGTAAGAAATTAATGCTTAAGACAGACTTAAGGCTGCTGCACCACATTTCCGGGTTCGATTGTTGTTCTGGGTCTGGGTATCATGTGTATGTGAACTTGTATACGAACACATGACAAAAAAACCGTAGTGTGAGGCAATCTTTTCTTTTTAATTCGTTCACTTGTAACATTAAACTGTACTTTTTTATACAAGTTAGTAAAATATTTTAGTTGAATATTGTGTCACCAGCTACGTGATTCTTACTTCAGATACATTTGTAAAAGTCAGACTATGTCTTCACTAAATTTGACTAATTAGGGGACTCCAGGCGCTACGTACAATTAACTACTACGCATAAAAATCATTTAGTAAAAAACACCCGATATAAAAACCACCTGACGCAGAAATTAATTCTGTAACTGGTTTCCCTACAGCCGGTTACACAGCTACTACACCAACAGTCCAGTCTCTTATACAACACTATTTATCAAATATTGTTATCTGATTCTTCTTGTAATAAATACCGAGTCATTATTCTATCTTTTATCAGGTTAAGCAAGCACCGCCTGGAGAAGATGCGTCTGGACATAGCGGCGGAAGGTCAGGGCGAGAGCTACAAGAACTTCCCGGCCGGGTACTGGTGCTGGGCGCGCTCACTGCCGCACTCGCTCACCAAGCTCAACGAGGCGGAGGAGGTCGCCGCCATGCAGATATTCAAGGTACGAATTGATTTCATAACTACACTTATATTGAACCATTGAAAATAATAATACTTAAGTCAATAATACTTTTGGGTGCAAGAGTTAAAAAATGACTGCCTCGTTGGCCGAGTGGTCGATATAGTGCGACTGCTCGGCAAGGGGTCTCGGTTTCGATTCCCGGGTCCGGCAAAGTGTTACTGGTTTTTTTTCTAAATTTCTCAGTAGTAGCCAGTGCCGGCAAAGTGTTATGTTATGTTAAAAAATTACTAGTGAGTAGTCAGTCAGTCTATACCTGAGTAGTAATTTTTGAACATTTGAAGTGAATTTTTTTTATCGAAACTTTAAAGAAAATTATTTATATATGAATTTAATATTTACATATTTGTGATATTTATCGTGTGTAGATGTTATTATTATTGTAATTTTGAAACCAAAGTCATGAGCCTTATGTATAATACACAAAATATTTGATTACCAGGACATAATGAGCCACGCGGGCCTGACGGCGTCCCACGAGGGCAGCAGTACGAACCTGGCCAACAACAACAGCGTGTCGCAGGAGTCGGACAGCGACGACCGCGTGGCGCTCGCGCAGGCGCTGCTGCAGCGCTGTCTGCAGAAGGACACGCTGCTGTGCGAGCTGTACATGCAGCTTATTAAACAGGTATTTACCTAAATAAATTGTTATGTTTTCGGCTTACTCGAGGAACTCAACTTTTTTCAAGCCATGCTAGATAATTACTATATAGATAATATTTAGACAGTTAGACATGCTAGGTAATTACCTGACTGTAGAAAAGGAACTGTTTCTTACTTATTTTCGTGATATCAAGAATTAATATAGGTTTGGACGCCTGTCTCCCATGGGAGTAGGCAGAGACTATGGAACGCCAATTATTACGATTCCTATACACTTTTTTCATCAACATTTGTATTTTTTCAAATACTAGAGGTATATATATGCACTAATTTATGCTCAATTTTTTTGCGATAAAATCGTTATTGTATGCTGATTTTTGAACATCTTAAAGTGCTACCCAAGGTAGGTTAAAATAAAATAGTAAAAAATCAAGTGGACATTACATGAATATAAAGCTGAATCCAACGTATGTTTGCACAGACGACGGAGCACCCGGAGCCGTGTTCCCGCGTGTCGGCGCGGCACTGGGCGCTGCTGTGCGCGGCGGTGGGCGCGGCGCTGCCGCCCGCCAAGCCGCTGCGGCGCCTGCTGCTGGCCCACCTGCGGTACCGCGGCACCGCGCTGCACCACGGCGAGGACGGCAAGTTCGCGCGCCGCGCCGAGCAGGTACGCGCTCCTACTATACAATACCTTCCCACATTTTTATGTCCGTCTGGTACATTCATTTAACATTACACACGTATTTCTTTTCTCACAAAATTAAATACTTTCGACGATATATTCATTTGACATATCGTGCGACGCAACAACCTCCCACTCCTGAACTTACCGCCATTTTATCTAAGTATTATAACTTTATAGGAGAAAATAAAAAAATCTGTGTCGAATATATTTTCATTATCTAACTGACGGACTAATTAGATATTTTCATTTAATACCCTGGCGACTACCACATTACTCTTATCTTATATTTGATGACTGATAACTTTAGCATATAAACTAAATCCCTTCTCAAAACCATTTACATGAGGCTAAACTTGAAATATAAACGCTCAGTAGGCTTTAAGATTGAAACCAAAAAGTGAACAATGCTTTTAAAAAGGTTGTCTAAAACATTTTTGACTGTCTTTGATGAGTGTGCAAAATAATTCGCATAATTACTACACATATACACAGAACAACAACTTTATAAACTACCAATAAAAATAGTTCCATATCAAATACGAAACGTTTCAACTGCTTACGATAAAATCTAGGTATCTATTCAAGTCGCTTTTAATTTCTTCCCTTAATTACCGCTTCGCTTAACCTTTACGCTTGCTCTACAGATAGCCCACTGGCCCCCCTACCATCCCTTACACCAACCAGCTTACAATACCGAGCCCGCCCATCATCCCTTCTGTAAATATTATCACTTCGACCCATTATGATACATCCATAGGAGAGGGTAAGATTACGGCCTCATTTTAGAACAACCAAAATTAACTAAAAATTGCGGGTTACTCACTTGAATATACTCAGAAAAGCTCTCTAGTTATAAGCCCCTCTGTGGCTCGAAACTAGTAGAGCTTTTCTCAGTAAATTCACGAAAGTAGCCCAGCGATTTTTAATTAATTTAGTATGTCTTATGAGTTATTATATAAACAACGATAAAATTAAGAGACAGCAGAGATCTTGCAGACTAATACTTATTTAAACCTGTAATACATTTAACACAACATCATTTACAAAAACTTAATATACACAGAGACCTTAAAGAGTTTACCTACAGGCAAAATCTAGCTAGGATAAGAGATGATACAATTTTTTTTACAAATCTCGTCGTTTATAAGTGTCATTTTATTCCACCAGGTGGCTCTAAGCATAGCTCAAGTCCCGCGTCGCCTAGCAGCGCCGTCTAAGGAGGAAGTACTATGCGCGGCGGCGCGGCGTCCGCTCCACGTGCGCGTGTTGTTACTGGACGGGAAGCAACACGGTCTAGTGTTCGGGCCCGCCGCCACTGCTGACCATCTCGTCACCATGCTCCGGGAGAAGATTGGGCTTAGTGATGCTGCTACAGGTAATTTAGATCTTGTAAAACTTTGCAACACTTCTTTTTCTAAATTTGTTGTCTATAGACAGTTATTGAAAATATTCTGAGAAATTGTTTCTTTTGCATTGTCAATTGCACAATTATTCAATTTTGAAGATTCAGATGTAATATTGAAGATACGATCTAAGATCAGTTGATTATATATCATATTGTTTTTAAAATTACTGGTTTCGCATGTTAAATAGTTGAACTTCAGTTCATAGGAACTACAGGGAAAGTAGGAAGAAGAAGTAAAAATAATAGTAATATTCCCTCAGGTTACGCCCTGTACGAGGTGTGCGCCAACTCGACCCCGGCGGGGGCGGGCGAGCGCGCGCTGGCGGGCAGCGAGCGCGTTGGGGACGTACTCGCGCGCTGGGAGAAGGCGGGCGCCACCGCCGCCGCCTGCAGGTACTGGGTTTTAGACTTATTTGTAATATGTTAAAGTTGAAAATGAATTAAAGTTTGATTGATTATAATAACTTGTATATGCTGGGTACTTGGCATGATGTATGATTAATAATGTACATACCTACAGTAAGGTTTGGAATGACTTGTTGTATTACAATTAGCGTAATATAGTTTAGGGCCCGTGAGATAAACAAAATTTTATCCACACAATTTTATCTCTATATGGCGTATGCGCTAGCTTATAATTTCAGAGATAACCAATTTCCTTACTCTATCTTCTATACATATTACTGTCCTATCAGACTGGTGTTCAAGAAGCGATTGTTCCTGGGCGAGCGTCCGCTACAGACGTCATGCGCGGCGGAGATGGAACTGTTGTACTACCAAGTGTTGCACTCTGTACGACACGACAGACTGCCCATCGAGACCGACGAGGCTGTGAGTATTATGTGCATATAACATCCAGTTGGCAATAATCGTTTTGAGTAAGATAATCTGCAGGGGGAGGGAGTTTTTCGGCATCAAAAAAATCGGCGTAAAACGATGGGGTAGACGACTAATTTTTATTTTAATGTCCGTCTGATAGATTATTTAAAAACATTAGACACGTATTTTTTATTTTCTCACAGAAACGAATAGTTTCGAAGATAATTATATTGATTTGAAATGTCGCGTGACGTCACTTCTCAGTACATTTTATACTAAGGAATGACGTTTTTGCCCCCACTCCTAAACTTTGATTCGTTTTATCTAAGTATGGTTTTATTATACGACAAAATAAAAAAATACGTGTCTAATATTTTTTCATTACCTAACTTACGGACTAATTATATTTTTAATTTTCATACCCTGTCATCATCCCCATTATTGTAAAAGCGTGGTTAACCGCGGGGGACCTTTAGCCTTTTTATGGGGGCCCTAAGCCGGGGGGCTTAGGGCCCCCATACGCACTCGCACTTGTTACGTTTGCCTGTTTCCTTTTTTATGTAATAAAAATGTGTTTGCGTGTGCGCAGGTGATGCTGGCGGCGCTGCACGCGCAGGTGGTGAAGGGCGAGTGCGCGGGCGGCGGCGAGGAGTGCGCGCTGGCGGCGGGCGCCGTGCTGCCGGCGCGGCTGGCGCAGCCCGCGCTGCCCGCGCCCGCCGTGCGCCTGCACCACCTCGCGCTGCGCGGCACGCCGCCGCACCTCGCCATGCAGCGCGCGCTCACCCTGGCCTCGTCCTGGCCGCTCACACGGGCCACCATCTTCGATGTCATGGTCAGTACTAGCCTTGGTTACGCTATAACAATAGGCCTACCGTATTTCTCTTTACTAGATGGCGCTAGTGTGACATGTCGTTTTTCGTCCAATAAGAAATTATCTAGTGTCACAGTTACACCATTGGACGTTCAATATTTGACAGCTGCAGTGATTGGGCAAAAAAGCTCTTGCTACATTTACGCCATTCTGGTGACAAAAAAGTAGCGCCCATTATATTTGTGATATTTTAATATATGTATTATATGTATTTCAATTTAGAATATATATTTCACGATAGTCATTACTCAAGTTCTAATCAATAACATTTGTACACCAGCAATCTTTCACATCGAACTGGCCGCGCGCGCTGTGGCTGGCAGTGGACGCGCGCGGTCTGACCCTGTTGCGGCGCGGCTCCCGCGCGGCGCTAGTGTCGCACGACCACGACCAACTGCTGGCCGTGTCGCCGGCGCCGCGGGCATTGCTGCTCGTCACTCGCGCTGACCGGAAACATGCTAAACTAGTGCTCTCTACTGATCAGGTATGTACTGATTGATATTGACGAAGATACAACAACAGTAATGATGGAGTTTCTTGCTCATTGATTCACTTGTGTAGAGATAAAATGCTTTTACTTTCGTCAATGAATATGTAAATAATAGATCATTTTCCGTGTACAACAGGCGTACCAGATCGCGACACTGATCAAGGACTACATCGAGGCAGTGCGCGGGCCGGTGTCCCCGGCGGTGGCGCAGGCCGGGGCGGGCCCGGCGGCCGCCTCGTGACACCCGGCCGCCTAGTGCCAGTGCTTCCACGTCCGGCGCTGAGCGCGCTCAGCACAGATAGCACGCAGGACATGTTCGACACGCGACCGCTCACTACACGACGACGTGATTTCAAATAATACATCGATTTTAACACGTACAAACTTCTCTCGAATTTAAAAACATAACTCGATCGATTCAGCAATGAAGTACTTTGACGAAGAAATATGAATTCGAGACGTTTAAAATTAACTTTATGATTCGAGTCTTCCACTCAGTTTTTTGAGTTCAACTAATTAAATCACTTGATCGTTGTAGTAGTATAAAAATTGATGATTCTACTCCAAGGATACTAAAAATATTAGTGTAATAGTGTCTTTGGAGTTGATACGCTCGCGGCTCGAACAAGGTAGGGAATGCCAATACAGGAGAAGTGAATGTTGACGGTGACAGTAAATGGATCTGAATGCGGAAGGCATTAGCTCAAGCGACCCAGCGCGGTGCGTACCTGCCCGGGTACACACCGCGCACCATTATAACTCTTTATTTAAATAATTACAATTAGTTAAATGTCATTATGAACAAATAAACATTTACTTCACAGCAACAGGTCTGATATCAAAGTGGTGTTCGGTTTTGAGTGACAGAATGGACGATTTAAGTTGCCAGCAAGACGGGGAAGCAAAAATAAAATAATCCACATACCTTCATAGTCGATAAATTAAACAATTTTAATCCACTATCTTATAATAGTTGTTATATTCCAATCTATTAAATTCCTCAAAAATATATGCCAGTATTATTACTGTTGTAATGTTAGATAAATGTTGCAGTTAGACTTATTGACCGTTGATGTTAAGATTTGTCTGGTAGATAGTAATCACTCTTATTCCCTTTAGTCTGGTAATGTAAGATCTTATAGAACGTATTGACAATTTAGAACTATATGTGTTAGATGTGAACGCTGAACTAGCGAGATGTCGATACGAGCGGCTAAGCCAACCCACTGTAAATCGTTATAGCATAATGATATTCTAATATGACTCTATCTGTTGTAGTAAATATGTGATAGTGACTACGTGGACGGTACAGACAACTGTGAAGTGAGAGTAAAATCAGTGTATTGTGTATGTCACCCAGTTAGACATGTTGTTGTATATTGTGACGTGACGTGGTTAGTATGACAAGTATTCTTGCTTCAGTTGACTGTACGCCCACTAATATCTCTGCTAACATTTCAGATTCCTACTGTGTATCCTATTTTAGTGTATTCAATATCTTCCCAGTACATCACAATAAAAATAAGCCTATAGCAAATACACTTTAAACTCTTGTTTTGTGCCTTGTATAAATACTGACATAATAATGCTGACTGTCCCCTATATCTCTATAAATTGTATTTATCAATTGAAATTAAGGAGTTTGTCTGTGACAGTCAGCATGCATTATGTAGCGTATTGAATTCAGTGAGCGATTTGTGCAAATTTATTGTGACTGCAAAATAATTACTGATTGTTTGAAAATATAACTTCTATCATGCATATTACACTATATTGCACAATGTTATGTCTCAATATTTTATTGTAATAAAAAATATTATATTTGGTATATACTAGAGCTAATTGGAATGTAAGAAATTTACTTCGTTAGTAGCACTTAAGATGTTTAGTCGCTGCGTGTTCTGCGACTTTAGTCATTGTTTGGCGCTACATTTGCTTGCACAATTTTAGTACAGAATCAGATTGTTCTGTCTCAAGTACATTGCAAGTATATATTAGCCGAAATATATATATTTATGCGAGTAACAGCTTCATATCCATACTAAGACAAGCAGTAGAGGAATTAGCAAATAATAATTAATTAAACTAAAGAATCAGAAACGCAGCGAAATAATTTAATCGAGATTCGATATCCCTTTGTTATATATAAATGGACGTATTTACACATATATCGTTATGTCTATGTCTCGTTCTAATATTACAAAGGACACGCGGTATTTTGAACTTCTTTGGTGCTTGTATTTGTATCCAGAGTTGCTCAGCTTGTGTTTCTGATCTCATATCGAGTATTATTTATTTAGATGCCATATTTGTTTACGAGCAATATTAATTTGATTAGGTTCTATTTATTTTTAATTATGTATTTTGATAACTTGTATATAAATTGGTGAACCAAAGACTTTGAATCGTCCCTTTGGATATTTTATCTTTTATGGATTCCGATTACGACATTTGTAAATAGTTATAGACATAGCATACTTATTGACGTGAAATTCTCATAATATCATAGAGGCTGAAATTATATTAAATTATATTGGAACATTTGGCATTCTGTACGTTTTGGCTTTCGGCTTGTTTGTAAGTCAATTATTTAATATTATTATGTACTAACACTTGATGTATTTAGAACGCAAATTCGCGCTCGTGATTTTCACAGAACTGGTTGCATTGTGAACATTTTCCGAAACGATGAAACAGCATCAAATGAATATTGGAACTTCTCGAAAGTAGTTCAATATTCATTGTAACGACTGTAGTTTTCGATGGCAATAGCAAGATATCAGTTCCGTGCTAATGACAAGCGTCTACTAACACTGAGCACTAATCTATAGACAATATTTCAAAATTGAATGTTTCTCATAGCAGTAAGTTTAGTAATATAGGATAATGGAAGTCAGTGAAACATCGACAAATACACGAGCACGTGTCTCATCATGTACCACCACTCAAACTGCCCAAATAGACTGAAGGTGTCCAAATATTTTATCATTTTTGATGGATTGTTTTTGTTACATTGTGTATGGAATTTTACCCTATTATTTGAATGCCAAATAAATGATTACAAAGTGATTTTCATTGGTTTTTCTTATTGAAAACAATATTTTGTATTTGTACACTTTTATTTTTTTATTTATAAATTATAAATGTTACTGTGTTACTAATCCTAGGTAATCGTCCATCAATGTTCCAATGGCGAACTGGAAAAGAAATAAAATTATATCAACACAATAGTTTGTAATAAATTGCACTATAGTCTGGATGAAGAGAAGTGGGAGATTGTCAGATGTTTTATGAAAAGTGGGAGATTGTCAGATGTTTTATGTAAACTGGGAGATTGTCAGATGTTTTATGGAAACTGGGAAATTGTCAGATGTCTTATGTAAACTGGGAAATTGTCAGATGTCTTATGTAAACTGGGAAATTGTCAGATGTCTTATGTAAACTGGGAGGTTGTCAGATGCTTTGTGAAAGATGGGAGATTGACGATGTTTAATGAAAACTGGGAGATTGACGATGTTTAATGAAAACTGGGAGATTGTTAGATGCTTTATGAAAACTGAGAGGTTGTCAGATGTTATATGAAGACTGGGAGATTGTCAGATGTTTTACTAGAGAGTGGAAAATTGACATTGTCTCTGATAAACCTCACTCGCATGACGAAACAGCTAGCTTTGTTTCACATCGGTTTTCTGTGAGGCCTTCATGTTACTCCGTGCCAGCTGATTTGTGCCGAAGCATGAGTCTGACACTTTATAGATATATATACAATTGACGGTCATATAAAAAGTGGGAAATATTAATAAAAAAAACTCACAATGCCAGTAGCATCCACCCTAGTACCAACAATCTTAAGCCGGATGACATCCTCTTCCTGTATGACATTATCTTCCTGTTTACTCTTGTAACATGGGGGATTTACATTCGGACAGAACTCCATATCAGCGGGAATGGACTGGAAATAAAAATACACAGACTGTATGATGCAATCATTCACAAATGATTGCATCATACAGTCGGATGTCTAACAAGCCACTGATGTTTGATTTGGAGTTGAGGAAAACACAATTGAAATTTTGCGTTTACCAAATCAATTCAGTCAAAAAGGGGTGTGCCCGTTAAGCAGCTGTACCCATATGCCATTTAGCGCTTGTCTACATGCAGAATAGAAAACCAAATTATATTATGGAATTGACTTAAATTTTGAAACTTGCCAGTGTTATCCCCATACATTTTGATTTCTACTACGCATTTACGCATGCTGAAAAACTGTTATTGGCTTAAGTTTCCATGCCTTGTCATTATTATAGATGTAGCATTTACTAAATAAGCTGTTGAGTTTTCTGTAATAAAAATAAATAAATAAATACATTCTTTGTAGACAAGCGCTAAAGTGGCATGGTTAAACTGTTTGTAACTTTATTAACATTTTACTTACATGATGTGAAATGAAACAACTCAATGGGCCAATTTGTGCAAACATTCCAACCTGAGAATAAAAGATATATTGCAATTTATTAAACAATGCTTTTGCAGGCACTTATTTGGCTTTTCAATCCATCTATCAGTTGAAGAACTAGATTTCTTATCTTACCTTATTAACTTGAGTAACAATAGCATCGAGGACCTCTCCCTTGAATGGCCGGAACACTATAGCCTTGTACTTGACAGGGTACACCACAAACCCCTGTCCTGGCTGGATCAGACCAGCTCCTATACTGTCTATTGCAGTCACAGCTATCACAAAACCATACCTGAAACATAAGATGTATTGTTACAGGATACTAGAAAGTGGGCAGCAAGTAGATATATAATAATTGTGATTTTAACTTAACACTACAACAGCAAAATATTGCATTTATGGAATAACTTTCTGTTAGACAAACTTCATTTACTATAGAATAAATTACCACACAGTTAGATTAACGCTGATACTAGCTCAGTGGGTATCTAGGGATGGTAAGTGAGAAATGAAAACACGGGTGATGAGTGTTGTACGAAAAACAAGAACATAACCTTAACACGAATGTATGATTCACAAAGTTTATAACTCACTTTCCCGTACAAGTGCCCTCCACTTCAGTATATAACTTCTGCTTTACTATGTCTAGCAACTGCGGCCCAAAATACCGAGGGTGCAGAAGAATTTCATGTTCTAATGATATCTGAAACAATTTGTTTATAAACATCAATTCATAATACCGAAAGTAAATGCTGAATAAAAAGGTGATTCACTAACTTACATGATAAAACATAGTGAAACTTAATTGTGTACACTTATAAACACTTTCTATTCATATTACATACAACATTAACAATAATAAACTAAAAAGTACACGCTAAAATAAACGCTACACTATGAACGAAATTACGAAAAGCGTCGCCGTCGTACAACAAAATAATGTCAATGTCACTTGTCAAATTGCATAAATACCAACAGATAACAAAGAAACACTCATTGATATTACAGAAAAAAATCTATTTTATAGGTACTTTTATTCAATTGAAATAAAAAATTATAATAATTAAATATTTTTTTATTAAAAATGGAAGCATCAGAAATGTGGTTGCCATACAATTGATTATACCTAGTAAGTAGCATTAATAATATCACAAAAATCGGTATTACACGAGTCGTTCATCGAACCGAATTTTACAACATTGTTTTGTGGCATCACTAGTGATTACTCAAAAATGCCAAATGAATGGCAGACCTATGTGTATCGTAATCAGATTGTTGTAAAAAATGGCAAAAACTTACGATTATTTATTTAAATTACTTTTGATAGGAGATTCTGGTGTGGGAAAAACATCTATATTATTCAGATTTTCAGAAGATGCTTTCAATATTTCATTTATCTCGACTATTGGTGAGTACTTTGATTCAAGTCTTTATATCAAAGGTTATTGTCAGATATTTTTTACGTATATTGTCATGAACAGGATTTTTTGTTTCCACGATCATTGTGTCTGTTATTTATCGTTATACATATTGATGGCGGATAGGGCGCGGTACCTTGTTACACGGAGCCCTTATCGAACTAAATGAATCGAGAGTTTATGACATCATACACACTAATTAATTAGTTGACTCCCGAATAACTAGTGGACTGTTGGTTGCAGGTATTGACTTTAAAATTCGTACGATAGACTTGGACGGAAAAAAAGTAAAATTACAAATATGGTGAGTTTTTGATAATTTTATTGTAAACCTTTTTGTTTGAGAATGAGACCTTTTACGAGGCGCGGTCAAGTTAAAGTTAGTGGCCAGTTTTGCAACCGTAAATGAGTAATGAGGCTAGTGCAATGTACTCACTTCCTTTCTTCAGGCTATCAACACAATGGCTCTAGCTGTTGTTCTGTGAGACATTCAAGGAACAAAACAACAATTTACATTTGCTCAATATTTGTGTGTCATAGTCATGCTTGATCTAACTTGACTATTGTAGAAGTATTGGCATGGCTATTTATAGTATCCATATGAAAGTGATAGCTAACTATAATACCTAAATAGTAAAATACACATTATCCTTCTATTATTGCATACACAACTATAATAAAATATGTACCTATTTATGTCATAATTGTAACAATTGAACAATAAAATTCTCTTAACAATAAAAAGAAATGAATCTATAAGTACTTGTGCATATTACAGGGACACTGCTGGCCAGGAAAGATTTCGTACAATCACAACAGCATACTACCGTGGTTCTATGGGCATAATGCTTGTTTATGATGTAACAAATGAAAAGAGCTTTGAAAATATAAAGAATTGGATCAGGAATATTGAAGAAAATGCCAGTGCCGATGTTGAAAAGATGATTCTTGGAAACAAGTGTGATTTAGAGGCTAAAAGACAGGTGAGTACACAAATACTACACTTCTTATTCTTCTTATTGTCCTTACTATCTATTTGAGGACAACATTTATGTCTTCTTTTTCTATTCTCCAAAACAAAAACTACACACATAGAAAACTTTCAAACTAATGTAATAAATAAGAAAGACTCTATCTCTAGTCATTATGTGGTTACTGTGATTATGTTGCTCCAGTAAGAAATGATGAACCATTTCAAACATCATGTGTAAAACCTGAAAATCAAATACATTTACCAATTTTCATATAAATTCAATCTGCATTGCTAACATTATCAAACAAATCATTATAATTAGTCCTGAACAATACTTAATTAGAACTACAAACACGATTTCCCCTACAGCAGGACAGAGTTGTATGAAAAATATATATAAATATACTTACATATTATAATGTTTGATAATGCCCTGAAAGTAATATGGTTTTCCTACTGTTGGAACTCTATGGGCGCTGTTATCAATAATATTATGTTGGTATTGGATTTGATAAGTGGCAAATGTAGTTGTTAATGTCACAATCACATACATGACTCATCCGTTTGCCGGTACTTTATCTTCATGGGTACAAATATGATAAGTCGAGTGGATTAACTGAGGGCAGCTAACAAGCTCAATAATGTTATATTTATGACAAAATCTGTAATTAATTTAGAGTTATTGTTATATAATTTTATAATGATGAAGTTTACTGTTTGCAAATTAAGTACCGTTGAATAGAATAGGAACTTGATATTTTTTGCCATAAATCTTCTTGAAGAATAGGGTATTTCTCATTTATATTCTTTTTACTTGTCTAAAATATTGACAAATAGAAATAGACTAAGATACAACAACTAAAACAATTCTATTATAATTTATAGGTATCAAAAGAGCGAGGTGAACAGTTAGCCGTAGAATATCAGATTAAATTTATAGAAACTTCAGCGAAAGACTCCTTAAATGTAGAGTCGGCGTTTTATACCCTAGCAAGAGATATCAAGGCGAAAATGGAGAAGAAACAGGTGAGGACTAATTTTTATTTTATATTTTTATACAATAGATATTTACTATTATTTACCCAATATAAAACTAAGTGCTCTACAATAGTTTCAAAATGATACAGAACTTTCATTCGCCTTTTTAGAATACCCACTCTCATTGTAACGTAAAATACGTATATTAATTTATTCGTATTCACACATAATATGACATTATTTGTATTGTAACTTTCGTGAGACATACTAAATAAAATTATTATTTTTTCGGCTTACGTAATAATTTGACGAGGAACTCTACTAGTTTCAAGCCATGCATGCTCATATTCGGCGACAGTCGCCACGTCGCGGGTCGCGAAATGCTGCTCATTTATTATTTAATATAACTTTACATTGGCTCAATATTTCCCCAACAATTTGAATTTATGATTCTCCTGGAATTAATAAAATTAAAATAAATTCAGCAATACTGAAATTTTCCTATTAAAATGTTTATTTTGTGAACTGCTTATCAGGAAGAAGTGAGCCATGTTAAAAGTATACCCTGTGTTCAGAACAATCTTATTGTGCCTACAAGCATTAAAATCATTATTCTAGAAAGTATATTGCCCTCATTTACCTGTGAAATTAATAACGATTCTAGAAGTATGGAAATGTCTTTACAATAAAAAAACTAGAAGTTAGAACTACCGAATCTCCGTATTCGATCGATTCCAATCTCTATAATTAAACCAAGATTTATGGGAAATGTTTGTAAACAAAAAACAAAGGTGCGACTATATCTGGCGTCTCCAAATAGAACTTTTCCAAGTTTCTATTCTCTCGAAACTGTTCGGTTATTCTCTAATATTCAATTTGAAAGATCCAACGAACTCAATCGCTGCCCACCACGTCATTGGTTGTAATAATAATCTCGAATAAACCTAAACTTCGAATTAACAGTTACAGAATAGCCTAGTTATTTCTATATAGAAAGCGAAAAAGAGTCTAAGTGGGATCGAACACGGCGGACTCAACGAAGATTCTGCGCTTAAGATTTGTTTACAAACTTTACAAATCTATCTTAGCCTGAGCATATTGAAGGAAAGACCAGAATAGTACTCAATGGAAATTTTATTTCGTGCCATATTTTGTTACCTACCATATTTTATGGTGTAAAGCATGGCTTGACGTATAGCCTTGTTAAGATTACAGCTGTCAAACAATGATGAACTGTATGTACAATACATACAAATGACTCAGGATAATTATAGCTAAGTAGTTCATAGTTCGGTCTATTTTTTCTCGGCACGAATTGATTAGTCATTAATTTACGCATCAGTTTTATTGATACAATGCTAGGACGATTTGTTACACCATTAAGATTTTATTAATAAGTTCAATGCAAATTGTTACGTCTTTTGTTCCACCAAATGATAGGCGCTTTCCCTTTAGTACGTTAATACGTCTCTTTAGAGCAAGCCTACATACTTCCATTTCCCGATGCCTATGTTGGTGCTCAGTATTTCCAAATCGGAAAAAATCTAATAAAGATTTTGCCCTAACCAGGAATCAAACCCCTCTTGCTTGGTATTACCACATGACCGTTTGTTCATTTTGGTGTGAGTAGTTCAGTCAACGATCCTTCCAATACAATCCCTGTAGTAATTAGAATAACATTATATTCGGGTCCTCGCGACACTTTCACTGACTTTACAGTGTACTATAAATACATGCCTACAATAAAATTTGTCTGTGTGTAACAATTGAATCAAGGTCTTATTCATAAGTGTGGACTATTTGCGATCTCGCACAACACCTACTTACTGAATAAATGATAATCATGTGAACAGAACATCGCGTCCGTGTGACTAACATTCCCAAATGTATGAGGAATTTTAATTATTTTGCCCTATTTTTTTAAAGCTGTCTAGTTTGAAAGAAATATGGATAAACTCAGTTATAATTGGGTATAGCGAGTGGTCGCATTGTCAGCAATGTAATGTTGGCAAAGTACTTACCTGCTATGGAATTTTTCAAAAATCTCAATAGTAGCAGTGGCAAAACCCCAATTACCTCAGAGTATGGCAATAAGGTCACTCCCTATTAAATAAAACCTTATATATTAAAAATGGCTGTAGACGTTACATATCACATGGGCACATTTGGCACCTTAGTATACGAATAATAACTACAGCAAACAAAAATCCGAAAATTGGATTTTATTTATGTGAGTCACTATGTGACTGATACAAGATTAGTTACTTTCAATGCAAGGTATTAACGAATGGGGATCTTTATAAATTTTAATAAACATGGCTGACTCCGATTTTTAGATCCGATTCCGTTACATCTACAGCTTGGCAAAAAAGAGTGTGACGCGGTGACAGATGGAAATAATATTGACTTGGACTGGATCACCAACTTCGGACCATAACCCATGAATAAACAATCATCCGAACATACTTTTTACTGTTTTTTTTTTTTTCAATTTGATGAAAATAACAAATAGATCCGGTTCAGTGCCTTTAGCCAAACGCCACTTTAGCGCGTCTACAGAAAGAGTAGAAATCAAAATGTATGGGGATGACACTGACAAGTGTCAAAATTTACGTCAATCCCATATAATTTGATTTTCTATTCTACATGTAGACAAGCGCTAAATGGTATTTGGCTACAGCTGCTGCTGGTTACGATACTAGCGACCTCATATTATTCCAAACTCTTTTCTGCCAAGCTGTACTTATGTATTCCTGTTACGTAAAAGGATATGAATAGAATTACCTTAAATAAAGAAGACGTGGGACTAGACTTAAAAGTGACTCTAACTTTTATATAATTTAATAGTTATACTAATTCTAGTATTTATTATTTATGCTTGCCTTAGACCTCTATCTGAGGCAAAATAATGAAAATACTATCAAACATTTATTTCTATTCACACTGTTTATGATATTATTTATTCCTAGTATATTTAAGTATGCAAATTGTATGTTCTTCCGCTTAAAAAAATCTTCTTTTGTTTCATGCCTATCTTACGAAAACAGAAGGTAATGGATCCGAGAGTTTCTTCTTGTGTCGTATTTTTTGTTCGCTTCATAGTTAAACAAAAACAATTAATTATTTAGTTTGAATTTTGGTCGTTTTTTGTTCTGCTATGTTTATTATTTACATGATCTTAGCTGCTTATTAAGTGCATGTACAGTTGACGCTAGTGGTTGAATATTTTCACTCTTAAATCATGAGCGATAAAGTTGAAAATCCGTCAACCACCAAAGATTGTTGATTATAAATTATCCTGCTGTAATTTTGAGAGGCTTTTAATGTTCGTATTGGCAAAAACTAGTTCGGTAATAATTAATAGTCTTCCTAGAAGTTAATTAGTATGTTGAGTATTTGTTGAGTATATGGTATTTTTTGTCAAAAAGATGTATTGTTGTAGACTTGTCTTCAAAATATTATTAGTACCTAGTAATTTTTCATACATCGGTATTTCGTAAGTTTAATTTTGCTCTGTCTGATAATAGTTATTTGAAGCATGTCAACTTTTCAGCAAAATATTTCTATCAACTAACAATGTATGAGTACTGATATACCTACTTCAATTTAAGTGTTATGTTTGAACGATATCTTAATGTTTTCATTTGATAATTTCGTGTATTATCAAGTTGTTGCTACGATTAACGCTCTGTAAACTTCCTTACTATTAATTTGATGATATAATCGTTGTGTTACGCTATTTACTGCGCTGCATAGTTTCAAGACAGGAGGATACATTAACGTTAGTCTGCTTGAGTGATGAGTGGAGTAATAACTTTGCAAATTAATGTCTATTGACGAGTATTATGTGTATGCAGGAGGCGAGTAACCCAGCGGGCGCGAGGTCAGGCGCGCACCAGATCCGTGCCAACGAGCAGCAACGCAAGCCGACGTCGTGGCTGTCTCGCTGCAGCTTGCTCTGACGGCGCCCCGCCGCGCCGCGCCCCCCGCACCGACCCTACCCGTTCCATGTACAACGCGAACAATATCATCAAGTATTATCTCCCCTCAGACAGCCCTACTCGCTCCAATGTCTCTGTCACTGACTCGGGTTTGCCATCCAATATCGCCATAATAATTATACTCAACGCGTAGGGTTACCATCACCCACCAACTATATTTTTCGATCTTTTTAATACTGGTGCATCTACTCCATTGGGGGATCAGACTTGCTTTTTGTATTTTTATATCCGCGACTATGCAACCTACTTCGACGGTTAGTTGAAACAAAACAGTATTCTGTGCGAAAATTACCTTGTACATTTGTTTACATTCGAAGTGACGATTTATTTTTATATTAGGGCGAAATTAAGGTGTTATCATCATTACAAATAATGGTTGGAAGGTTTATTTCAATAGATTGTTTAGCTGTACTTTTCCTTTTGCTATTTTAATTAAGATATATATTTTAATGTAATATATAATATTTAATTTGAATAAAGTGCTTTTTTACACATTGTGTTTTTTGTGAGAATGAGACTGCAATGTAATTTTTGTAACAATTTATTGCCAACATTATATACAAAAGAGATGAATTTTTTGGACTCGATTTTATAAATGGAAGATACCAGCTCTAGTCTCTGTGTACGTAAATAATTACGTTTATGTAATGCATTCGGTACAAACTAACTAGATTTGTAATAAAGTTCATAAATGCCTTCATGTAGTTTGTACTTGCTTAGATTTGAAGGGTCTGAGAGCTAACTTTTTCGCTCCTCCATAGATACCTTTAGATCCACTTGCTATTAGTTTGAACAACATTTTGGATGTTAGAAGGAGTAATTCTGCACCTTTCTGTGATCCTTTCCTCCAGTAGACAACATAAAAAGGTAGGGGCGGTAGACAGTCTGACCAGATACCATTCCGATAGTCCTTGGCACGGGCCTCAGCAGACAACAAAGCTGGAGCCAACTTTGATTCTATTGTTTTTTTCTGGATATTGCTGGGAACTAATGCTTTAGCAAAACCAAGCTCTACGAGCCTTTCAGCAATATCAAGAGTCTCCACAGTGTTTTTCTGAAAAACGTAATAAAGGCAAAATTATGTTTCATATTGTGCAAAAAAATATTTTATTTGGTCTTGAAGGTATATGTACAAATTGTTTTAATTATTATAGATAGAGTGGTAATTGCAATGGTTTAAAAAATTTGTAATGGCAGTTGTAAGACTGACAAATAATAGATTTTATTATTGTTGCAATGATATTCATCCTTTAGATAGGAAAAAAAAATGTTAATAAAATATTTATAGCACTAATCTTACCCGTGATTGAGGTAAATGCAATGACACACTGGATACCAGCTCATCATTTTCTTTTGTGATAAGTTTCAAAGTCACTTTGTGACCTTTGGCCACACATTCCAACCAATTTACAGCATTTCCACTCACTGCTTCTACTCCCCATAGCTGAAATATAAATGATTTCATTAATATCTGTCTTGGCATCGACCCAACTGTATGTATTGTATGCAAAGTAGTAAACATTACTGACCTTCACTGGAAGAGGAGCTTTAGCAGAATGCCATAAAGGTAAGTAAATAGGAGCTCTATGGTCCACTAATACACGGAGCGGCGAGTGTTGGACACCCGCATAAGTACCTCTCAGAGTCTCATGATTTCTTATAAAGTGTTCAGGAACTGTACTCGGTTTTGAGAACTTGCTAACCTAATTATTTAAAAATATAATGTTATTATGTAATATCATTAATATTATACTACTTTATAGATATAGAGGTCACATACCGGACGTATTTTATGTATCGACACCGCTAAGCCGGCTGTGGCGAGAGCATAAACAGCTATCTGTAAATCACAGTCAGGTGATAATCATCAGAAATACTTGGTACACATTATTTTTCCTTAACCAAACTTACATTTACGCCGCGATAGTCTTGTTTTAACAGATTTTGAACACTATAGAAAAACCCTTCTTCGTTAGACGACATTGTTATTTAGGACACCCAGTAATTATCATAATTTAGGTTTATATCTCATCAATATTTTCTGATTGGAGATTACGGATTTGCTTTGAGAAATTTTCTTTGACATTTGGAACTGATGTTGTCAGCATATGAAACAATTGTAAAGATCATCGAAAAACTAAAACAATTTATTCGTCATTTGTTTACTTAAATTCAATCAATTTAAAGAGTGTTAAGTAATGTTTAAAGTATTCCTGATATTATTTTCAATTTTAAATGCTTGCAAATACTTATTTGAATAAGTTTACCGGTTTTTTTTGTAAGTGACGTGTGCATGATTTAGATAATAGCAACATCTATTCCACGTCAACTGTTTGACAGCTGGCAAGGGACTCGCGGTTATTCATTTTTGTGTTTTGTGATAAATATTTTAAAATGATTACTGTTCTAAACACAATTGATACCGGCCATGAAGACATGATCCATGATGCCGAACTGGATTACTACGGGCTTAGATTAGCCACATGTTCTTCTGATAATTCGGTAAAGATTTATGACATCAAGAGTGGTACACAAACCCTTGCTGCTGACCTGAAGGGTCACTTCGGCCCCGTGTGGCAAGTTGCCTGGGCTCACCCTAAGTACGGCAACCTGCTGGCTTCATGCTCATATGACCGCAAAGTTATCATATGGAAAGAATCTGGTGAGTGGACGAAACTATATGAATACACCGGACATGAAAGTTCTGTAAACTCGATTGCGTGGGCACCGGCCGAGTATGGCCTAATCTTGGCGTGCTGCAGCTCTGATGGGTCCGTGTCTATCTTGACATATTCTCAAGAGGGTGGCAACTGGGATGTGAAGAAGATACCTGGAGCTCATGCTATTGGTGTGAACTCTGTCAGTTGGTGCCCGGCCATCTCGGCAGACTTGAACTTAGATCCACTCAGCAACAAAGATGCACCAAAACGAATAGTTACAGGAGGATGTGATAATCTGATCAAAGTAAGTAAATATTTGTTGAATATCTTATAAGAATTTTTATTTGTTTACATTTTGATACTACCAAAGTGGAATTATTGTTACATCATACCATTCACATTATGACGATTTCTTTTCTGTTTTATTACACAACAAAATTTTCTAATATCCAATTTATTGTATTACAGATTTGGAGAGAACAAGGAGAGCAATGGGTGGAAGAAAACAGGTTAGAGATGCACATGGACTGGGTGCGAGATGTAGCATGGGCACCATCTCTAGGACTGAACCGGTCAACCATTGCTAGCTGCTCCCAGGACAAGAGAGTTGTGATCTGGACTAGCGATGATAATGTATCCTGGACACCTACCATCCTCAACACCTTCGATGATGTTGTCTGGAGTGTGAGCTGGTCTCTGACTGGCAACATCCTCGCAGTCTCAGGTGGTGATAACAAAGTAAGCCTCTGGCGTGAAGGATCTGATGGCCAGTGGCTATGCATAAGTGAAGTCGCTAAAGGCTTGGGACAAACACCAAATGATGAGAGGAGCACACTTTAAATTCATTTATTTATGTTTATGTTTTGTTTATTTTAATTAACTTGTGAATAATTTCCTAATAGTAATATACATTGTAATCAATCTTTTTGGTTTTATTTCCTACTTTCATTCGTATTGTTATCAGTGTTGTATTAATATTATCAGTTAGGTAAAAGTAACAGGTCATGATCTGTACACCCACTGGTAGGTGGATGGGCACATTCATGATTGTACCCGCAACCAATTATTTAGTTTCATTCATAAACCTATACTATTGTACAGATGTCCATGAAGTCGTCAATCAAATAGCATCTGGTGATCGTCAAGGTTCCATAGTTATTAGAAAAATATAAAAGTGTAAAATACTTAGAAAAATATAAAATACTTAAATTACAATGACTTATGTGTTCCACGAAAAAATACAGCCTGTGCTAGTAATTTGAGTCTTGCTGCTATGTCGTCTGTATGTGTATGCTGAATAGCGCTGCAGTACTTATTATGTAATCATAAATTCGGAGGCACTGCTTTAGTTTTGAAAAATAATGATGTTTTTGCCGAACCAAATGTTTTTAATAAGAACATCGCATCACAAAATCGCATTTAATTGGGATTCTAAAATGGTATATCACTTCCCACAGTATATTTCTTAAATTCCACACAAAAAATATTTTTCAATGAAACTTTGTTTCGGATAATTTACTTAATTAATTTCTTCTAGTGTATCCAAAGTGCACCTAAGAACCTTGTATCCACTATAGCCACTATAGGTAACACTTTGCATGTGACATATCATCATGTTGGTGATCATGTTGGAAATCAGCGAGGATCTCTTTATAAACCACATTGTCTGTCTACTCATGAATTCGCTAGCAGCATTCGTCGGCAGTAATGTATTGTAGGAATATGTTTCTGTATCACGTCCCTTTAACCCATAGATCCCCAAGCGGTCACCGGTGACCGCTCTCCACTAATATTACATTACATTATAGACCTTATTTCCAATGTTTAGAGACTACTTTTGTATGACCAAATTTAGGGGATGGATTTCAACGGGAAGGTCCTGTCTACTGGACATTAGGGAGTAGATCAATCGTCTATCTATTGAAGAAGAATTCTTGTAGAGTGACTCCTGATGGTCTCATCTCGGCTGATGTAGCAGCTCACAATGTACTGGTGTCGGACAGCGCTGCCCCTTGTCTCCATTTTTCTTCCTAGTCGTTCTAGATGGGATCATGCTTCCTATCACCGATAAATCGACGCCGAGTGATAGAGTGGGGGATTATTCAACGTCTTGGAGGACTTGGACGCGTGCGGTAAGTACTCAGGCCAGATTTTGTCGAAAATGGTCATTTGAATCTTATAGATAATTAGTTCTGCAATTGTTGCGCACATTTTTAAATTTGTTGCGCATATAGTTTTTTAATTATTTCACAAAACCATTTCCTGCTGGGGTAACGTTACCCCAGCCAGACCTTTTTTTTCTAATAGGAATATTTAAATAATTACTAGCTATAAAATTAGTTGTCTAGATGAAATAAATGTTGTGTATTATTTTGTATTTGTTCTTTCATCGGTTGCGAAGTTATTCGAGATTCTGCTGGGGTAACGTTTTTGGTTTTGCTAGATCTTTGAAATGGTTAAGCGGATTCTTATCATATATATATACTACTTCGATCGTCAATGACCTACGACAGAGGTGGCAAAAGCAGGACTGAAAATTAACACCCAAATCACCAAGGTGAGAACTAGTGCAAAGAATCATACACCGGAACGCATCTACAAAACCTACTTTGGGAACGTCGTGTAAGAAATTGGAGGTAGTGAAGAGGGCATTGCCTCAAGAATCGTAAATCCCTAATTACTTTCGCCCAGTTGTGACCTTTTTGACGGTTACGGTAACTGACTCGAAGGATTGAGTTCAAAATCTTCGGATTCCTTTATCTTTACAGACGCAAAACGTCAGACGTTACCAAGAAATTTGGTTTGGACTGCACGGTTGGTGCGGTGGCTGGGCAACCGGCTGCCGTGCAACGTGTCGCGGGTTCGATTCCCGCACGGGACAACACTTTGTGTGATCCACAAATTCTTGTTTCGGGTCTGGGTGTCATTGTGTATGTGAACTTGTATGTTTGTAAACGCACCCACGACACAGGAGAAAATCCTAGTGTGGGGCAAAGTTTTTATTAAAAAACACACGCTTGGAAGGGTTCCCCATAATGCACATTACCCAAGCAAGCTTTGCCCCCGGGGAAAAGTAAGCGTGGCCACCCTCGATAAGTTAGCTGATGTGACAAGTATCGGTATTACGTCAAGCGAGATTAAGCGTGAACTTCAAGACCGATTACACCTAATTCGAAGACGACTCAACTTTCGACTGACGACCTTCGAGGGTGTGGAGATAACCAACGGCAGTTATAACGTGCTAAGTATGCAGATTTGTGTCTTAATAATGTTTAGCTGGTTAAGTCCCTAAGAGACAATAATAATAAAAATGTATATTGTAGTGTACTCGTGTGTAGGTATATATTATATATATTATTATTATATTTATTTATGTTCATATTTGAAATATGTTAGTGTAATCTTTTATTTTCTCAATTAAATCGTTGCTTGCTTCTTGCTCCTACCATTCACTCTTCTCTGTATCACCCAAAGGTCAGACTGGGAGAAAATGCCTGCGGCATTAAGTCCACCTTGTGTAAACTTTGTGCATGAAGAGTTAATAAAATAAAATAAAAAATAATGGTTTCTTTAGAAATTTTAACGCAACCGGTGCAGAAATCATCCCCTGAGCTGGAATCTGATTATCAATGAATATTTGTGTTTTGTTGTATGGTCGTTGTAAGGATCCATATCAATGGATCGAGAATAGAAATGACGATAGTAAGCTGCATGATTGACTATATTGAAATCGAATACTCGCAAATTGTGCACAAATATCGAAGGCTTATCGATATTTGTGTATATGTTATGGGAAATCAGGTAAATAAATTAAATATCATCAGTTATTGGGGGAGGCCTATGTTGACGTCTTATGGCTGATTTGATGATGAAATAAAACATCAGCAATATTAAAAAACCAAATGTAATCAGACTTAAACATAATTATTATACATTAATAATACAAATTACTTAATATCACGTGTTACTAAGGTGGTATTCAATCAGTTCTGAGAGTAGAGGCATCTTGTAGTACTCCGCTATTGTCTTGAAGGTATGGATTTGTGATTGGACCTCCTTTGTGGGCACCATTAGGGCAAACTCGCCAGCACACTCGCATACCGTTGTCATGTTTTCGCGTTTTACCTGGACAAGGAATAAAATTTGTACATTCATATTAATTTTTTATAAACACTACTATTACGACTGCCTCGTTGACCGAGTGGTCGCAAGTACCCGAGACAAGGGGTCTCGGGTTTGATTCCCGGGTCGGTCAAAGTATAACTGAGTTTAAAAAAACCTCAGTAGTAGTCTGGAATTGAGCCCGGTATATGGCAATAGCTTCACTCCAAATTACATGGGACTCAAAACATAAATAGTGAAAAGTGGGTGTTACATTGGGCAGTGGCATTAAGTACCGTAATGTGCACCTCTGCCTACCCCTTCGGAGATAAAAGGTGTGATATTATGTTATAAACACTACTATTATGAAGCTGAAGTTTGGTTGAACGGGCTAATCTCAAGAATTACTAGTTCTTTGTGCACTTTCTTGTGTTGGATAACCGTAAAACATCACGCTGTAGCCGATAGGAGTCGAGTAGTGATATTTATATTAAAATTTTTAACTAAGCATCATGTTTCAAACCATGTTTTGTTCTAATTGGATTATGAAAAGTCAAGGTTCTCTGGCCAAGCAAATTTGCGTAACAAAAGACTACTAGTATAGTAATTAGGAGTCATTATCGTCATTCATATTTTATTTTAGGTTTTCTTTGTGCTTTTAGAATACCATGGATTAACCTTTTGCCTGAAGATATATGAGACACAATAGAAAACAAATTGTGTCTCGCGTAAATCTGCGTACCGACACTTCACAGGTTAACAAAGCATGCATGACTGTATAATAAATGTGTGAACGATTCTATGTTGTACAAACCTGATGACATCGTTTACATATTAAATCTTGCAGAATATAGGACATGGTTCGTCTGTTCATAATCTCGACGAGTTTCCATTCTAGCTCCTGATTCTCGTAAGGAGTGCCACATGTGGGACATAGGCACACGGGTCTGTGAATAAAACAAAATTATAATTAACACAGCAATAACATATACCAAAACTCTTTATTATTATAGGGGTAAACTTAGTTGCACATATTTTACTTTTAATGTAACACTCACTAGTTTGGTATCTCGACCAATTTGCCGGGTTACGTAATTTGGGTAATAGGTAATGTAATTTAGTTAGGGTAATGTAACTTCGTCAAACAATGAACTGAGTAAACCAATAAACATAGTTTTAATGTCTCACGTAAAAAACTTAAATTAAAAACTAACTATTACTTAAAAAAAATTAAAACTAAATATTACTAAATTAAATACCTATATACAACTAAAGATTAAAATTAATTATAAGAAAAAACAAAAACAACTATTTACATAAAGCGTCGAAAAATTCGTCCGCATCGACGTCAGTGGGGAAAGTACCCAGAAGGCTGGCAGCATTGCCAGCCTTCTGGGTATTTGAATAAATGAATATTGTGATCATTGAATGTCTCACGAAAGTTATAATTTCAAAAGCTATCCTATAATAATAATTAAACATTTAAGTTAAATTGTTATAATCTGTAACGTTTAAAAAACAGATCGACCTCCATTTTTTAAGTCCGATAATAAAGTCAGGTAACATACTAAAACTTGGTCCTAAGTCCTATAACAAAATAGATACTTTTCTGAACACCGCCAACCGGTTCAACCAATTGTAAGATAATAACAAACATACATACATGCATACACATAGTCATACATAATATAAACAGACAATGAAACGCCAACTACCTCTTTCGCTTCATCACCAGTAATCAGTCTTTTCATGCACATATACAGGTCAAATTGAGAACTGTGTCTTTTAAAGTCGGTTAAAAATATACTCACACATCATTGAGTGTAGCAGTGTTGGTGTCCCTGCAGAGGTCGAGGTCCCGGCAGTGGTTGCACACGTTACAGATGACCTCGGTGAGTACACACGACGAGCACGCCTCGCGCCACTCCGCGCTGCTACTGAACTCACCCACGCCTATCAGACGTAGTAGATTGCGGCGGAGGAGTGTTACCTGGGTATGGTGAAAGTGTATTTTTAAGGCTTTTATCCAATTTTCAGATTGTATGTGTTATTAATCTTTTAAATGTATGTACTACGTTTTCATTTATTTATTGATGGGCCCAACGTTTGACCATTATCTCGTGTGCGTTACCCAGGCCTGATGTTTTTGGAAAATGGTCATTTAATTAATTTCATTCATCATTTAATTTGAATCTTATAGATAATAAGTTGCACAGCTTCTGTAATTTTTGACCGACACAACGAATACGACCGATGCGACCGATACGACTGATACGACAAATACAACCGATGCGACGGATACGACCGACACGACAGATACAACCGACACGACAGATACGACAGATGCGATAGATACGACCGACACGACAGATACGACCGACACGACAAATACGACCGATGCGACAGATACGATCGACACGACAGATACAACCGACACGACAAATACGACCGATGCGACAGATACAACCGACACGACACATACGACAGATGCGATAGATACGACCGACACGACAGATACGACTGACACGACAAATACGACCGATGCGACAGATACGATCGACACGACAGATACGACAGATGCGATAGATACGACAGACACGACAGATACGACAAATACGACCCATGCGACAGATACAACCGACACGAAAAATACGACCGACACGACAGATACGACAGATGCGATAGATACGACCGACACGACAGATACGACTGACACGACAAATACGACCGATGCGACAGATACGATCGACACGACAGATACGACAGATGCGATAGATACGACAGACACGACAGATACGACAAATACGACCCATGCGACAGATACAACCGACACGAAAAATACGACCGACACGACAGATACGACCGATGCGTCAAATACGACAGATGCGACAGATACGATCGACACGACAGATACGACAGATGCGATAGATACGACCGACACGACCGACACGACAGATACGACCGACACGACAGATACGACCGACACGACAAATACGACCGATGCGACAGATACGATCGACACGACAGATACGACCGACACGACAAATACGACCGATGCGACAGATACAACCGACACGACACATACGACAGATGCGATAGATACGACCGACACGACAGATACGACCGACACGACAAATACGACCGATGCGACAGATACGATCGACACGACAGATACGACAGATGCGATAGATACGACAGACACGACAGATACGACAAATACGACCCATGCGACAGATACAACCGACACGAAAAATACGACCGACACGACAGATACGACCGATGCGTCAAATACGACAGATGCGACAGATACGATCGACACGACAGATACGACAGATGCGATAGATACGACCGACACGACCGACACGACAAATACGACCGATGCGACAGATACGATCGACACGACAGATACGACCGACACGACAGATACGACAGATACGACAGATGCGATAGATACGACCGACACGACAGATACGACCGACACGACAAATACGACCGATGCGACAGATACGACCGACACGACAGATACAACCGACACGACAAATACGACCGATGCGACAGATGCGATAGATACGACCGACACGACAGATACGACCGACACGAAAAATACGACCGATGCGACAGATACGATCGACACGACAGATACAACCGACACGACAGATACAACCGACACGACAGATACGACGGATGCGATAGATACGGCCGACACGACAGATACGACAGACACGACAGGTACGACCGACACGACAGGTACGACCGACACGACAAAAAGACAGATGCGACCGATACGACAGACACGATCGACATGACAGATACGACTGACACGACCGACCGAAAATCCCAACCTTGTCAAACTCTGTAGTACAAATTAAAATTAACTGTGTGTTCTTAACTCAGGGAACTTTTAAACAATACAAACACAAATAAAAAAAATTGGAGTGTTTGGAATATTGAAATATGTAATTGTAAATGAATGAATATTACAATATATGCAAAGGCTCTAAAGACTTACTTTAAACGGTATTTTAAAGCTTGTAAGTGCCTTCAAATGTATGTGAAGTTTCATTAGTATCCTGTAAGTATTTAACTTTCTTCACGAGCACGGTCTTGATGCGCGCGGTGTTATTTGGCCACTGGATTGGATATAGGAACTGAATGTTATGTCAATAATTAGTTGTTTAGTTCAGTTGTATATCAGTCAAATTTCAGCTCAGTACATTGGATAATTAATGAGATAATATGATTAAGGTCATTAGGAAGTGAATGACCGTGGTAACCCGACCAAGTTTAGGTGGTTACGAAAAAGCGAAAACGCAGAACACAATACTGTCTTTTGAAATATTTAGTACGCGTACACTGTTAAATACAGTAATACTATAATAATACCTGTACTATGAAAACATTATTATATTTTTAACAATTATATATTTTAACTAATTCCTAAGAAACCATGTACAAAATATAATAAGAATCATTTCAAAGATCTAGCAAAACCAAAAACGTTACCCCAGCAGATTCTCGAATAACTTCGCAAAATTTTCGGTAGTAGTAACCCAGCAGTCATGATCATATAGCCTGATCGGACCTTACTTAATAAATGACTACGGAATTAGCAATATGTTTACACTAAATATTTTAATGCTGACTAAGGCAGATAGATGGGTGCTCTAAACGACGGTACCGTCTTAGACGGTCCGTCTACTGGAGACTAGGAAGTAGGTCAATCGTCTATCTATTGAAGAAGAATTCTTGTAGAGTGACTCCTGATGGTCTCATCTCGGGTGTAGCAGCTCACAATGTAATGCTCACAGCTCATAATGTTCATATGATAAGAATCTGCTTATCCATTTCAAAGATCTAGCAAAACCAAAAACGTTACCCCAGCAGATTCTCGAATAACTTCGCAACCGATGAAAGAACAAATACAAAATAAGGCACATTTACTTCATCTAGACAACTAACTAGTAATTATTTAAATATTCCCATTAGAAAGACAACGCTCTGGCTGGGGTAACGTTACCCCAGCAGGAAATGTTTTTGTAAAATAATTAAAAAACTATAACAAATTTAAAAATGTGCTCAACAATTGCAGAAGACGCACAACTAATTATCTATAAGATTCAAATGACCATTTTCGACAACATCTGGCCTGGGTAACGGACACCATTATCTCGCCTGGTGGTATAAGCGATGATGCGGTTTACGATGGAGGACGTCGAACCAAGATTAAGTATGACGTCGTTCTTTAAACTGCATAAGATAATTTTTTTATCAAATTAATCATTTGCATCTTTCCATCAAGACACGTCATATGAAAAAAGAACCACAGGACATTTTTCATGCCTAATTCCCTATATGAACCTTAACCTAAGAAAAAATGTAGCCTATACCACACTCCAGCTTCTAAACTCAAAATCATCATGTTTCAAGTTTGCAATAAAAAATAAAAACATCCACATTTTTTTATGGGATCAGCATATGGATCATCTGACGGTAAGCACTCGGCGCCGCCCATCGCCCCCAAGACCGTCTTTTTAGGGATTAGGAATTTGAGAATATTGGGGATTCCGGGCTCGGGGAGATTGGGGAAGGAGGGGGGGGGGAGGACTTGGGCCTCTAGTAACCTCACTCACACGACGAAACACAACGCGACGCGTTGTTTCACGTCACGGTCAAGCTGGTCCATTCGTGCCGAAGCATGGCTCTCCCACACTTAAACATTTATTACAGTAAAAATACAAACATAACATACCTCTTCATCCAACGTGTTATCAAGTGAGAAAACTTTGCAGATCGCATTCACATAGAGTAGTGCGGGCTTGGACTCGTCTGTGAAGGCGTCCGGCTTCAGTCCCGGCTGCGGACCGATGTCAGACGGACGGAGTAACGGGTAGCGCGTGTTTATTTTTTCTGTTACTCTGTGGATATTTGAAAGTATTTGAAGCATAATTATAACAAACATAATGACTTGCTTTTTATTTCCCAAAGGGGTAGATACGAGGTAGTGGTGACCACTTACATTAATATGAGGCCCCTCAAATAGGGATGAGCCTATTGCGGCTATTGCCACAGGGTAACGATTTCAGACTTCGTGATGCTGAGGAAATTTTGTAATAATCGACACATCTCATCTAAATAATACTTTGATTGATCGAGGAATCGAGCCAAAGGTGCGTTGTTTGGCAGTCACACTTGCGACCATTCGACCAACGAGGTGGTTATAAAATTATGTAAATATATTTTATATTTTGCACGATTTTTATTCCCTTAAAATACAATTAACAAATATCTAGTCACTAAGTATACATACTGAAACAGTTTCTGTGAGATCTCCCCTCGTAGTAAGACGGGCAGTTCCTTCGGTTGCGAGTATGCAGCGCTGAGGAAGCCAGCCACTGCGGCCGCGAACGGCTCCCGTACTGGGGCCGGGAGGAAGTTCGCTAGGTTCCAATGCATTGTTATTGCGTCCTAAGAAATATATCGATGAGAACCATAATTAGCATATTTTTAGTGGGAATAGGGATGATTCAATTTTAGAAATAATAAAATAAAAAATGTATTATAATAGTAGCATCCGCCATCACTTTCTTAAAATTATTAGTTTTGATTAACCTAGACGCAAAAAGATATACTATAATATTATATGAACTCCTCACCTCATCTCCAGTATTTTCTTCGCTGGCAGTAGGCACCTGTGACGAGCCGACTTCAGTCAAACCTTCAGGTAGTTTACCCTGCATTCAAAATGAATTTAAACCTATTACTGTAGATCACAACGACGAGTATTGAACAAGAAAGTACAAGTACAAGTGGAATAAGTGAATTTATATTTGCAAATATGTTACAAAGCAGCACTTTTACATGTCAATTAAAAAAAAACCTACATTAAGCCGTCGTTTCCCAACTGACTACTCTGAGAAGAAATGCCGAAACAAACTCAGAGGTTCACCTCTTTTAAATTCTAGAAAAATATAAAAAATATGTGTGAGAACCATGGAAGTTCGTTCTGTAGTGGCCTTTTGAGGAAATAACCTTAACAGTTTGACCTGTTATGATAGCAGTACAGTTCGCACTTATCTGTTTACAATGACCTTAATTAGGTACCAAATTCAATCCACCTAACTTGTGCTTACCATAGTACATGAATGAAGCTCTTACTATTAGTTTTATTGACTTGTGCGTTTACGTTTTTTCAAGCCATAACTTTCTAATGAGGCTATTAATTGTACCTGTATCCCCGCATAGTTGGCCTCGTCGAGCCACAGTAGATATGACCAGCATTGCTTGTACTGTATGTCGATGCCGTGGAACAACTCCTTGTTGCGGATGCTCTGTACCACGAACTCTACGTAACCTGTCATGAAATGAATGGTAAATGAGTCCCTGTAATAGGGGGTGAGCCTATGTGTGCGTTACCCAGGCCAGATGTTGACGAAAATGGTCATTTGAATCTTATAGATAATTAGTTGTTGCGCACATTTTTAAATTTGTTGCGCTTATAGTTTCTTAATTATTTCACAAAAACATTTCCTGCTGGGGTAACGTTACCCCAGCCAGACCTTTCTCTTTCTAATGGGAATATTTAAATAATTACTAGTTATAAAATTAGTTGTCTAGATGAAGTAAATGTTGTGCCTTATTTTGTATGCGTTCTTTCATTGGTTGCAAAGTTATTCGAGATTTTGCTGGGGTAACGTTTTAGGTTTTGCTAGATCTTTGAAATGGTAAAGTGGATTCTTAAAAGTGGAAACTAGTCGATCATGCTCGAACAAATTCATGTGAGTAAGGCGTAAGTATAAGAACGAACATATATTAAAAAAAAAGAAATGAGACACTTAATTTATTACAACAAAAACTAATAAACTATTTTCAATTAACTAAAAATAGTTACCAATCCCATCCATAACAGTGTTCTTCTTAGTACAAATAATGATTTTGTTGAAATCTGCATACACGATGTGTGAGCCGAGTCTCTTGAACTCGGCCACCAGCATGAGGAACAGCTTCTTCATCAGGTTGTACAGAGTGCGGCGGAGGGCCGGGTCGTAGAGTAAAGAGGAGGGAGTCTTTAGCCATCTGGGAAAATAGTATTGTCATAACATCACGCCTTTTATCCTCGAAGGGGTAGTCAGAGGTGCACATTATACCACTGTACAATGTAACACCCACTGTTCACTATTTATGTTATGAGTCCCATGTAATAGGGGGTGAGCCTATTGCCATATACCGGGCACAGTTCCAGACTCCGTGCTACTACGGAGAATTTTTTAAAAACCCAGTAATACTTTGCCCGACCCGAGAATCGAACCCGAGACCGCTTACCCGGCAGTCGCTATTCCGAGTACTTGGCCAACGAGGCAGTCGTATTGTCAGTTTGTAATAAACACCAATATTGATATACGATTATTTTGAAATTTGAATACAATATAACGTATACACATGTGTCTTTATTACATTTAAGTAGCTGACTTAAAATTGTGCGGATAAGGGGTTTTTTTGTATATATATTGCTTTATTTTGAAAATATAATAAAAATTTAATATAATTAATGAAACTGCTTATGTTATCTTTTATGACTCCGTCGGCTAACCAACCCGCTTTTGCGCAACGTGTCCAATGTTTTGCGCAAACTTATGCGCTAAATTTACGCACGGAAGAATTGTTTGTGTGACTTACAATTATTATTCCTGAACAACATTTTATGTGTTAGCAAACGTATTTATGTTACAAGGGAAAATCCAAGGATTTTAATTGTACACCAATTATCAAAAAAATTTGATAAATTATTAAACAAATTGAAAATTTAGTTAAAATGGAATCAATGATTACCTGTAAAAGTGTGATATCTGAAAGTCAGCGAAGACATTCTTGTACTGTGTGACGTCACGCAGCCAGGACGCAATCATAGTGCGGAGGATCTTGAACGCTGCGCTGCACTGCGCTGTTTCGTCGTATGTCATCGTTGCATTCGGTCCTAATGTATGAAAATAGATAATTATACGTGAGGAGTGTCTAGTGTGGGAGAGCCATACTTCGCTATGAATGAGCCGGCTCGACCGGAGTGGCACCACAGTCTCACAGAAAACCGACGTGTAACAACGCAAGGGTTGTATTTCGCCGCGTGATTCCTCTCCCTAATCTTCAAATCCTCAGCCCTCAAAAGGCCGGCAACGCACTTGTTACTCCTTTATTGTTACAACTGTCCATGGACGGCGTTGATAGCTGAACATCAATTGATCTGTATGCTAGTTGATCGCTCTATCCCATAGCTTTTTTATCCGACTGTAGGAAGGGTATTGAATTCAAATATTGATATCTTACCCCATAAAATTGATGTGCAAAAGATAATTATGCGTTGATAGGTTACCTACCAGCATGATTAATAGCGTCCTGTATGGAAGTATGCTGCGCCCCGAAGGCGGTGGCGAGCGAGGTCCCCTCGTTGACGAGCACTGCGCCGGCCTGTAGCAGCGCGCACACGGCCAGTGCGTCGGTCCCCAGCGACACGCACACCGAGTTATATGCGCCGCTACATTTATGCGCACACCCTGACAATTCCTCCACTTCGCTTACCAATCTGCAATGTATTATTATTTGAATAATCTATGATAGTACCGAGTTTAGAGACAAGAAAGCACGGCGGTACAAAAAACTGATGTGAAACAAGTAGGTACATAAAAAATAGGTTTCATGTTAAACAGTTTTAATGAGCTTATATTGTAAGGTCATCAAGATTAAGAATGTGTACCAAAGATCGATCTGTCGTCAGGAAGGGGGTTAAATTACAATGACTAAATTTGTAAAATTTTGCATGAATATAACAAAAAGAGGGCTAACTCTTGAATCCAATTCCGATCAATCGACATTGGTATTGTGAAATGTCGTACTCTTGAGTTGCAACACTAGCACCCATTGTATCCGTATTGCGTGGATATTGAATGAACTAAATGGTATTGAGTTTAGCTTTGTATTCCGTACTCTGAATGCTATTTTAATAGCTACGATAGGGGTTGTAGCGTTGAGATTGAATAATTATTGAGATTTTATTGGATTGAAATTGCATTGACATTGAAATTGGTTCCAAGATTAATCCTCTAGGCTGGGTCAACATATAAGCTACATATTATCACGCTATCACCTATGGAGGAGGAGTTGTGAAGAACTGTCTAAAGTCACTATTCCACGCGGACGAAGTCGCGGGCATCAACTAGTGATTAATATGACGATGATGAACTTACCTGTTATCATCAGTCTCTCGCCCCCCAAGGTCCGGCAGATCTCTATTGGAGCACCAGAGCACGAAGTTGTGTTTGATGAGCTGTCGCGCGTAGAATAAGTCTGCGCCAAATAAGGTGGGATCCGCCGGCATATTGCCTATTGGCACGTGGAAGTATCTGGGACGAAATATATTTATATATTACTAGCGGCCCCGACAGACGTTGTCCTGCATTTAATATAATAATCGGTACCTATAGATAAATAACCTAGATACGACTGCAGCGCCATCTGCCGGGCTAATTTGTGAATCTAAACCATTCCCAGATCCCCTTGAACACATACAAAAAAAATCATCAAAATCGGTCTAGTCGTTTGAGAGAAGTTCAGTGACATACACACTCACAGAAGAATTATATATATAAAGATTACTACAAAACGCTTTCACGTTGCTCACATCTTCGTGTAGATTTACTTTAAGCTCCTAAGGACCAATTTTTCCAACGCCAGGTAAATTTTAACTAAAAAATAACTTTGAATATTTGATAATTCTTCCATACTGTAAACTGTCAAATGTCAATTTTATTCTAACATAACATAACATCACGCCTTTTATCCCTAAAGGGGTAGACAAAGGTGCACATTACGCCACTTTTTATACTATTACCGGAATCTGGAATCTGGTGCCCAGTATATACTGGGCACAATTCCGGAGAGGAGACTGCCGGACAAGGGGTCTCGGGTTCGATTCCCGGGTCGGGCAAAGTATTAATGGGTTTTTAAATATTCTCAGTAGAAGCACGGAGTCTGGAATTGTGCCCGGTATATGGCAATAGGCTTACCCCCGATTACATGGGACTCATAATATTAATAGCGAAAAGTGGGTGTTAGATTGTACAGTGGCATAATGTACACCTCTGCCTACCCCTTCGGGGATAAAAGGCGTGATGTTATGTTTATGCAGTCAACTTTTTGAATGTTCTACCTGCATTGTTCTATAGTGAGTTGTAGTACAGCCTCGAGTCCCAGATAGTGTCTGACGATGGCGCGCGCCCCGATACGTTGCCACTCCAGTGCACTGTACAATGTTTCTACGTCGCGCACGTGGATCGGGACGATGGGGAAGTCTGATAAACCTGCGTAATAAATGGTAGAAATTAATTATCTTTAATACTAAAAAAAACGAATAAGTGAAAAAATGTCTATTTTTATTGAAGATATGCAATACGCAAAAACTTATTATTTCGATAGGACTTTCAGAGTTTCATTTGTATACGATCTTGACGCATAAGAAGTGAAAAAGAAAAACGGAATTACATGATTTCTAATGTAGTTTGTCATTTTCCAAGTAAAGATGGCTGTTCGTATGTTTTGTAACGCTTTGTTGAATAAGCTCTTTTATGACCTATATATCTTTTAACTATCGTCTGTATAGTCTGTATAGACTTGTTATATATTTTTGCTATATATAATGCAATAATTATTTATCATGTGAATTAAACAAGCTAGTCAGAAACACACTCATATATTTCATAAACAAAAAAAAATAGGTTTCCCTATTGAAAGTGGCCAGCGTGCCACAGATAACATAAACATATATAACACTATATATAATAAACCCCTTTTTGAATGGATGGTAAGTAAACGTACCCGGCATAAGTTGCATGAGTAGATGCGACGCTAGTGTAGCTTGTACAGCCAGTATGGTGGGTCCACAACGCTCGTCCTTGTACCGCTGCAGCGCGCGCTGTAAGTGACGGCTCACTGCACGCGCTTCTGTTTCTACTACTACCTCCCACGTCAACTCAGAGCCAGGGAGGGATGATTCTTCTGTTCCTAGATTAATTCTATGTGGGAAAATTGTTTTTAATGTTTAACATTTCATTGTGTGTGTAATTCTATGTGTTAATGAATAAATAGAATGAGTTTTAATGTACACTGTCAGCTGAGTACTGGCATTTTTATGCCGCTTTCACTGTTTATTTTATGTTTAACTATTTTTCGTGTTTTTTTTTATTTTGTTACGATAAATATTAACAAGGCACCTACAGTGAGCATTATTAAAAGGCATTTTTATCATCGAAAGTGATAGAATTGATGCAATTCAAGCGCATAGTTAAGGACTCGTATGTCCAAAGCAAAGTTAGTAACATTGTATATAGCAACTGAAATAAAAATATGAAAACAATTCTGAAATTCACATTTTACTTGCAATATAAAAGCACACTTACGGCTCACGAATTAAGTTACATTTTCAAGTATCCCAAAAACTTACTTGGCAGTCCTTTCAGCTAGGTACAGAGTGCTCATGTTAGGAACTTGGTTGGTTTTGACAGTATCCAGTACGTATATGTAGGCTCGCTTCACTGGCGGTAGTATTAATGCCCACATACTGCGCGATGAGTTCAAAGCCGAGTGTTGGTATAAGTAAATATGTTTTACTGGGGGCACACCGTCCTAGGAAACATTTTTAATAACATGTTCTTAAATATTGTTTATATATTTAATATTAAATGTAATTAACTGCTAAAATAATTATCCATTTCGTTTATAAGTCATTAGTTTGGTTGCGCAAAAATTGCGCAAAATTTTGCGCTTGTAAAAATCTATGCACAACGTTTGCGCTAATATTCAAGTTCAGTTTGCGCATATTTAGAAGTTACCATAAAATATGTTGGCAATAGACTTATCCCCTATTACATGGAAATCATAACATAAATAGTGAAATGTGGGTGTTACATTGTACAGTGGCATTCAGTGTGGTAATGTGCAACTCTGCCTATCCCTATGGGGATAAAAGGCGTGATGTTAAAAAAATATGTATGAAATATGAAGGTGTAAGAAAGTGTTTATTTATTACCTGTTTTTGTAAATACGGTTGTAGACCCACGCTTTTGAACTGAAGCTGACTTAGTGAAAACGAATCCATGTTATTCGAACCAAATTGTATCATCCTGCAAAAATAGATGTTGTAAAATATTACAGTGCAAATGAAGCTTTATTTCGCAAAGTATAAGGTTAATTATCATACTTTCTAGCTTCTTGAGGATCCACAGTGCATATACAGCCGAGTTGGACGAGTACTCTGAATTCGAGACTCATTTGCGTTTCGTATATACCTTCGATTTCTGGAGCACATAGTTCGGATGTTAGCTCTCTGTAAAGGAAACACATTGATATAAATAATGGAACAAAGTTTGGAACTGAAGTTCACCCATTATTTAAGGTATTGAAGGTCATTATGTAAGATCTTCTTTTTATTAAATAGGATAGGGTGGGAAACTTGGTTATCTGATGGCGGTGGATTAAATCCCCAGGGATTTAAAGAGCCATCAGACCACCACGACTCGGATGGGGGCCCAATACGGCTGATGCCGATACGGAGCCGCAGAGAACGTAAAAGGTTCCGGCTCGAAGTGCAGGAGTAGGAACGGAGTGGTTTTTAGTCAGTGAGAGTCTGATACTCCTTCCCGCCTCACCCATGCGGGTAAGACATTCGATGATTTTCCTCCCTTTAAAAAAAGGGTGTTTGGAAATTTGGGTACGGGAGGATTGGACCTTTTGGTTCTTATCCATAACATGATCTTGATTATTTATTTTATAGAATCTTTAATAGACTTTACGCCATTAATATTTTATAACATTTTTAAGTCTCATCTTACATATATAAACATGAATTCCGTTTTCCCTTGGTCACAGCATCACGCAAGAATGGCTGGACCGATTTCACTAATTATTTTTTCGTTGTAAGTATATGTTATTATTAGGAGAAGGTTCTTATGTAAGAAAAAAAGAGATATTTCTTGATTATAGGGCAGTACGAAGTTCGCCGGGTCAACTAGTTTTAAATAATAAACACTCACTCCTGATGTTCTCTATACAAGTTCTCAGGCACGGTGTACTGGTACAGATGTAATACAGGGTGTGCTCGCGGCAATATTCTGTTACACTTGCGCCAGTACTGGCCGCTGTCTGTCGCCCGACTGACGCGCTGGTTCACGTAGAATATACGAGGCACTGTCAACTTGATCTGGTGTAACTCCGTGCCTACTAGCGCCCATACTTTGAATAGACCGGGCTCTGCTGTTTCTGCTACCTGGATTTGGAATGTCTTTGTTAGATTTTTTATATAATAAATTTCATATATTTAAAATGTCGTGGTAGCCAGAGGTTTAAGACGGGACGCTGATTGCTTACCATAAGGTGATCCGTCTATTCGTTTACCGGCTTACCCCATAAAAAAAAATGTTCTTAGTTGTCAAATCTACTGAGAGATAGGTTTGATACTGGCCAAAAGTCTATTGGACTAAGTTCAAAGTCAGTTGCTATAGAAACAACTCTTACCTGTATTATTTGCCAGGGTGTATTGAGCAACGTACGTTGTGCTCTCCTAATGAATCCGCCTAGCGTAGTCGCTGGACCGGCCTTTGGCGGTGGCATCATATCCTTGTCCAATTTGCCTATTTAAAAAAAAAAACAACACACAATACATGTTAGTTAGCCATAATACGTTTACAGAACACTTCCATAAAGTATGTACATCTATTGTGACCCCATATTAACGTCTCATTAAAAAGTTTTTATAACATACCTCTCTTATTGCGGTTTCGAAGACCACGCTGTTCCATTTGCCACAGCCATTTCTTCTTTTGAAACAATATCCACGCCCTTCGTTCAGCCTGGTAAAAAGATAGGACACCAAGTCAATACCGAATAGTCCTCTTAATAACCATGACTTGAAAATATCTTCTCTGCCTTCTAAATTCGAAAATAAAGACTCTGGTTGATATTGCCATGGAATTATGGAAAAATAACGTGCGTATAACAATATTAATTTATCTAAACAATTTATCTTTTCCTCAAATCCTATTATTCGACTTATGTAATATGGGGGAGACTTCCATATTTCATTCTATAATAGCTATTAGTATATAACAATGGTGTGTAATTGATTGTATTAAAGCGATAACAGGAACCAAACATGATTAATGATTTCAAAAGTATAATAAAAATGGAAACATTGATTTTACACCATTATAGAAGCCTTGTTTGTCAGCATGAAGGCACAAAATAAATTAAAGGAAATTATAATTTTAATTATTGTAATGTTCCCCATATTAATCAGTAGTAGTGCAATGCTAAGAACCGACGAAGATAATGTAACACATCTCACAAATTGTGTTAAGAAAATTCTAGAATCAATTGAATACAACAAATACGGTAACTATATGGACGTCACGTTCATGAACATCAACGATAATATAAACTTATCAGCACTTTACAGAATAAAAGGGCCGAGGTTTATTTCTAGAAGATTCTTTTGGAACCCTGACAATATAAGTAATATGATATATGTGATAATGGGGCAAGATTACAATGAGATTGAACGAGGATTCCGCAAAGTTACCTCAGATCTATACTGGAACCCTACAGCAACTTTCATCATAGTCGTGGATAGCTCCAAAATAACCAGTTTGCACGACTTCACAACTCTTCTACATAAACACAATATCTTTCATAGAGTATCCATACTCTTACGGTCTCATAACGAATATACTATTAACCGATACAACTTTACAACTCCCGGTCTTTGCTACTATTCTGGACATCTAGTGTTCTGGGCAAAGTGCTCCGATTACCTCGCAAACAAAACATTACCTATATTAAACAGGGGCAGTATTAAAAATTGTCGATTTACATTCGTCACTAGAAACCTGTGGCCGTTCACGAACTTCGACTCAAAAACTGAAGGCATCGAACAGAACTTCTTGACATTATTCAAGCAACATTACGGAGTGAAGATACGACTGCAAGAGTTTAATAAAGTCAACAGGTTTGGGAGTGCTATGGATAACTTATCGATGATTATGAAGGAAAAAGTGGTGAAGGATGAAGTAGAGGGAGCTGTTGGAGGGTATTCGATAGACGAGTTGTATTTCGGTAACATTTCATTTACGTATCCTATAATGATAGACCACATGCACTATATACTTGCTCATGCGAACTTTATAGACCAATGGTACGCTGTTTTATCCGAGTCTATCAGCACATACGTGATTCTATGTCTACTGTTTGTAACATTTTGCGTGTCAGTCACATTTCTATCTATATTCCGGTCACGGACCGATATATCCCTGAACGTCCTGATTGTATTTGGATATTTGTTGAACAGAAATGTTGTAAGACGCACTCCGTCGGGATGGCCACAGGCTATAGTTTTCTCGAGTTTGTTATTCACAGCTTTAATTATTCCTTATGCGATACAGGCGAATTTATTTAGTGTGACGACTCAGCCAGTTAGAGGGTACGAGCCGACAGAACCAGAAGACTTGACTGACTATTCACCTGTTCTTTACTCTGAGTGGCAACGGAGGATTGATTTCCAGAACTATACAGACTGTGGGACGAGATTGGACTGTCTGTTCATGGTGAAAGACTCCCCCAATAAGTCTCTGTACACGATCATGTCATATTTGCATTATTGGTTTAATCTGCAGAGGTTGACGGACGAGAATTGTAATGTAGGCACGTATGCGCTAAGAGAACCTTATTTGACGGTGTTCAGTACTATATATTTACGCCGTGGCTCTGTTCTAATGCGTCCTATGAACATCTTCGTTATGCGAGCTGGTTCCACTGGCATTATGGACAAGCATTTCTCAGATATATGTTACCGTGATAGGTTGAAGTGCAGAGTAAATCGACGTGAAACTCCTTATAAAACTCTTAATACTACAGACTTCTTTTACGTGTTTATGGTACTTGTTTTTGGATATTGTTTGTCTATTATAGTGTTCATTTTCGAGGTTTGGTTTAAAAATAATACTAAGAAATGAAGCCTTTGTATGTATATAGTCCTATTTAATTAAAATGGCATCTAAAGAAAATGTGGTTTTATATTATTCCCAAGTATTAAATAACATATTATAGCACTCGACTAGTTTTAAGTCAAGTTGATTGCGAGGCGTTGTCACGAACAGGCTGCTTACGGCTATAGGCCCCGGCGTGTCTTGAAACCAGTGGACTAAAGTCGTCAAGATATTTATTTATTTAATAATTTATGTACACACAAACAGCACAGAGGATAACACATTTATAAAATTAGAGTACATAGGTGCTACTTATTTCTGTTGGAATTTCTTCCTTGGAAAACTTAACACGGAGATAGTTACAAAGAATAAACTGTAAAACATACCTAAATAAATAGCAAGACTCTTGCAAGAGTTTTATAATAAAACAATAATGTCACAATACCTTAGTACTACCAAAAGGAGGTGGTGGTCCCAACGCCTCCCTCCAGTTCTGTGCCTCCTTAACCGGTGACTCCTCACGTTTCCGTTTCACCGTGTGCACTATTGGACGAACTGTATTATCCTTTGCACTGCTGTTCTTCCCTATATCTTCAATGTCTACGTCTATAGCCTGTGAAGGGGAATTAAATTAGAAAGAAAGAAAGAAATAAAGAAAATCTTTATTTCAAATGCTAAAACAGGTGACACATACAGATTTAACACATAAGTTTACAAATATCTACTAATGTATGCCCATTGTGCACTATATTAATTATTTGTTGTCCTTTGTGTTTATGTGGTGTACAATAAAGAATATATTATTATTATTATTTCTTTACCATTCACGGGACCACAGGGTCCCGGTCATTTGGGAGGCGTACGAGGGGCCGAAGCCAACTGCGCAGAGGCCCTTTAGACAACTTTAATATAAATGTAATGGACACACAACTTATTATTATTATTATTAATGTCCCAAGTCTGCGGTGAAATGGGACCAGTTCAGCATGTGCAAGACATGGCCTCGCGCTGGTATTCTACTGGCGCCTTAAGTGACTCGCGGACGAACAAGTCACCAATCAATAATTGCCTGGTTTACATATTAAAAGAATAAAATATATGGACTGCCGTCACACTAGAGGCACGCACTTAGACGCTGACAATTATATAACATTGGTCACAGTCCCGGTAGACTGATCGCTTATATTAAAAGAAATACCGAGTTTAGGAGTTCAGGGTCGACTGCCTGTCATTAGGGAGCTGGATTCGATTTTCGGATCGAGACAAGTAAGTCTGCGAACGCTCTAATACTAACTGTATAAAGCTCATTCGTCACGAATCGTCTCTTTCGAATAAAACACAATCATCTGAGTACCAAACACGAATACCTATTGCAATCGTAATGTAATAGTATCGAGTGCGTTCGGCGGTCTGATTGGCCGGCTCCAGTAAACCAACCAATCAGAGCGCCTAACGCGCTCGATACTATTACGTTACGAATGCGATAGTTATTCGTGCTTGGCTCTCTAAACCTCACCGTATTCCCATCAGCACTGGTAGACGGTTCTTCTCCATCATCAGCCGCATCCTTGACCTGTTTAGGCTGGACGCTGAACATGTCAGTGATCTTCCTAGTCTTGAACTTGTCAGTTTTGGCCAACATCTTCTTGTGGAGCCAGTCTGGGTACTGGCAGCGAGGTACTGGGTTGTCTAACTGAGAAAGGAAAACACAAATTATTTTAATTCCGTTTCAATCTTTAAAAGCAGTGTTGCCCTCAATAATTATGATTTTCTCCTGTATAATAAATACAAAACATCATTTCATATGTACACCAGACCCAAGCCTGAAAGTGGACCATATTGTTTCATGTGGGATCGAACCCAACCACTGTTTGTTTCTTAGAAATAATACTAATTTAACATAACAGCACGGTTTTTATCCCCGAATGGTAGGTAGAGGTCACTTAATGTAACACCCACTTTTCACTATTCAAGTTACGAGTCCCATGTAATAGGGGGTGAGCCTATTGCCATATACCGAGCACAATTCTAGACTCTGTACTTTGCCTGACTCGGGAATAGAACCCGAGACCCCTTGCCCGGCAGTCGCACTAGCGATCACTCGGCCAACGAGGCAGTCAACTTTAATAAAGAGATCTACTAGTTTATTGAGTACAAGCTAGCATTCTTATAGTCATTTACATTATAGAAAATTAGATAGATACTTTAAAAAAATCCAATAACTCACGCCTTGCATAGCGGCTGGTATAGTAATAATCTTCTGTATGGCACCGCTGAGCCTCTCTATATAGTAGCCCCAGTCCAGCACGTCCCTGATGTCTATATCCTCCGTGATGCTATTGTCCTTCAGCCACCTTCGCAGGTGGTGTCTCTTCACTCCTGCTGGAGACTGGAAGATGGCCAGGGGTATCGCTCGCTCGGTTACTGGAGCACCTTCCGGCTTTTTTGATATTATGAACCTGGTAAGAGTAAAGTTATGTAGAACTTTAGATAGGAATATGAGAGGTATGGGGTAATGGTATAGCCTTTTTGTTGGATGATAGGTACCTATAGTGACATATTTAAAAACTACCACTTAAATAAAAAAGGAAATGTTACCCCCCACTAGTATTAGTAGTAGTATTTTCTCCTGTGTCGTCGGTGCATTTACAAACATACAAGTTCAAATACACATGACACCCAGACCCGGAACAACAATTTGTAGATTACACAAAGTGTTGTTCGTGCGGGAATCGAACCCGCGACACGTTACACGGCAGCCGTAAATTATTTTGCAAACTACCGTTATATTTTGTTATTTCACTACTTTTTGTACAAATGGTTTTTAAAACTTCATATCAAAAAATATTACAAAGCTTACCAAATGAGTGGTTATTTACCATGCTACTAATTGCATGACACAATTCTAAACGCCGCCGTTTGCTATTAAGAATCCAGAAATCTAATCAAGTTAGGTACTTAATTAAGGACAGTATCCAAGCCTTCATGTATACCAAAAATATGTATGTAAAATATGTGTTTTATAAACGTACCTGCAAGCCAACCCAGCATCTTTAACCATCTGATCACCGAGGAACTCAGCCAATCTTTTAGCAGTGGATATAGAAGTCGACTTCTGACCTCCATAGTCCTCAAGCTTTTTGGACATGGATCTGTTCTCAGAGATCAGCTCGAAGAGTTCCGAGTCAGGCATGTTGCTGCCTTTACTGTATAACACGTCTAGCCAATAGTCAGCTACTTTGGCGACTGCACTGTAGCAGGATTTTAAGTCATTCCCCTTTAGAAAGGCTTCGAAAACTGATGATTGGAAGATCTTGATCAGTTGTAGTTCTCCACGACGTTTTACTTCGAAACCTGGTGGGGGATAGTAATTTAATAATATGGTAAAAATAAAATGTGTAAATATTTTAGTTCATAGTTATTTATATTGTAAGTTGTTTATATTTTCATTTAGTAATAGTTAATAATTATTAATTTTATTTATGTCCATAATCTCTGTTTCTAAATAATAATAAATTACAAACCCAATACAAGAATATTAATAAAGATATTTATCGGTTAATATTATATTACCAAATATTGAACAGTGGGGCAATATGCTCATCCCCTGTTACATGGGACTCATAATATAAATAGTGAAAAGTGGGTGTTACATTGTACAGAGGTATAAGTGCCGTAAATGTGCACCTCTGTCTACCGCTTCGGGGATAAAATGGGTGATGTTATGTTTATGTGAACAATGGGATTGTAGTAGTACAGTACGGCAAAGAAACAGTTTTTGTTAATTAGATGATAATATGATAGATGAATAATCGAAAAAATAAAAACATTGCGTCAAAAATTATTATTACACAGAAATGGATTAACAATTTCGCCCTTCATAAATAAGTTTCCGTAGTGTAGCGGTTATCACGTGTGCTTCACACGCACAAGGTCCCCGGTTCGATCCCGGGCGGAAACAGTTACTTTTTGCATTTGTTTCCAAATATTTCAACTTTTTGACATTTTAAACAATTTTTGATTTTTTTATATGGTATTTTAGGTTTTTTTTTCTTACCTTTTAATTCGGCCAATGATCCGTCAAAGTTGAACACGGCATATCTTTTCTTCAGCTTCTTGCCTTCTTCTTTAGAAGCTGGCAACACCATGGCCAAGTATGGACCATCCACTTCAAAGAATATAGAGTTTTCTGCCCTTTGTTCATATTTCTTTTCTACAGGGTCCACTAGTTCGAAGTACTGGTCGTTCGTGAAGTGGTCCTGAGAGGATAGAAAAAGTACACATTGATACTTATTGGTTTGTATCATAAAAAAATCTATTGTTTTAAAAAATTAGAGTAATGACTATTTATACGAAGATTTATTTTTAGGCACCTTGACGATAACAAGAGTATTATAACTATTTTTTTAGAGTCTTTTGATCACATAAAGACTATACCAGACCTATCATTCCCTAAACAGATTTAACAAAACTTAAATTAAGTTAAATACTACTCTTATTTACTATTTTATATAAAAAGATAGCTGCTTTGGATAAAGTTTATGACAATATACTATAGAAAATGCCAACATCTAGTAAATTAATTCTAAACATTTATTTTAAAGCCTCTCTCCCAGCCCTCGTCCTCAGTAATCTATTTAGAATAGAGAATGTGGTAATAACCACATAACATCATGCATATACTTCCCAAAAGGGCCAAGTACACATTCATAACTCACTCTATTCAAACAATACCTACTTACAACAGTTTTACGCCTATAAGCTTATTATGAACCTTATTAACATTTCAATAAGGTTATTTTTACATAGTTTTAAAAATAAAAACTCACTTTGACCATAGCGTTGAGTACCGCGTTTGGGAAGGACACGTTGATTTTCTTCTTCTTCGCATGTGTTGTCAGTACCGTCACGTTCTCAGGGAACGATGACGGCAGGATACACCAAATACCTAACGTACACAAAGTGTTTTTATAATAACTATCGTGTGACATACTTTATTAACTAAAAATCGTGTGTTACTCACGTGAAAATACTGAGAAAAGCGCTATTAGTTTGAAACCACAGAGGGCCTCTTTCTCATGAGCAACGTCAGTAGGCTGCGTGACATCGCCATGACGCGGAAGAGCCCTTCTGTGGTTCGAAACTACAACATAACATAACATAGAGCTTTTCACGGTTTTTTCACGTGAGTAACCCGCAATTTTAGTTTATAAAGTATGTCTCACGATAGTTATTGTTTTTATAATAACTATCGTGAAGCATAGTAAATTAACTAAAATCGCTGGTTACTCACGTGAATATACTGAGATAAACACTACTAGTTTCGAACCACAGAGGGGTTCTTCGTCATGAGCAGCGTGCGCGATCGCGGCGAAGATATTTATTTGAATTTGTTATCTGAGCCAATATTTCGTGTAGAGATATAGGGGGTCAGAGAGTTTTTAAGGTGGAAAATCATCGAATGTATTCTCTTACTGACTGAGAGTGTCAGACTCTTACTGACTATAAACCACCCCGTTTGCTCCTGCACTTCGAGCCGGAGCCCCGGTAACGTTTTACGTTCTCCGCGGCAAATAATACCGACTTACCGTCAGTATCCAATTCCAGCGGTCTTCCTACTTGTTCGATGATTTCCCTCGCCTTCATGATGATGTTGGCGCCGGTGTAGCACACTATGCCGGCCATCTCCATGCTGTGCCAGCGAGCACTAGAGACAACGACATTACTATATTACACAGAGGGATATCATAGCCACATTGCTAACAACTACTGACAACTGAATTGCTTGTGCATATTTCAATAGTGGATTTAGCATTCACGAGGCCTATAACTTATTTTATAGATACTCGGGGATTTCGTACTATAAAAAAATTATGGACGGCTTAGCTATCCGCCTCCATATGTTTTTTTTATGGAATAGGAGACAAATGAGCAGGCGGATCACCTGATGGTAACCTATCAGCGCTGCCCATGGACACCCGCAACACCAGAGGAGTTACAGGTGTGTTGCCGGCCTTTTAAAAAGGAATACGCTCTTTTCTTGAAGGTTTGAAGGTAGTATCGGTTTGGACATACCACCGACGACAGATCATTCCAGTTTTGCAAAGTGCAACAATTTTGAATTGCTATTAATAAAAATTAAGACTCGAAAGGGATGTTGTTTAGCAAAAATTAATAAAAACTTTTCAACTTTTATTCTATTTCAGTAATCATTAAAGTTAAAATAAACGATTTTTTCCCGCGTAAACCATACGTTCAAAGGTTGGCAGAAACTTAAGAAATATAAAAGTAATAAAGGTCCGCTAATTAGGGCTAATTAGGCAACTCCCTCTAGTTGCCTGAAAAGATTTTCGGTTTTCACAAAAATTATAAATATTTTATGTAAAAAAAAAATTTGTGTAAAATGTTTACCCTTCAAGGGCCCCTAAACAAATATTTATACGGGGCAAGGGCACGCTATGCCACTGCTAGAAAACCACACAATGTTTTGCAACTTCGAAACTAAACTCCTTTCAACTCACCCTCTCCTCATGACATATCCATAGAAAGAGTTCAAGATACACTTGTGTGCGAGTTGTAGCGAGTCGTAGAGTACTTCCCGACTCTTGGCAGACTTGATCTCTGCCGCGTCGCCGCTCGCCACCGCCTCCGCTACCTTCGCCTTAGCTTGCTTGTTTAAAGCTTTGTACTCGTAACGACGATCCCTGAAGGATACATTTTAATGAAATAGGGTAGATGCCTAATTTTAATGTATGTCTGGTAGTATATTTTAAATCATTAAACACGTATTATTTATTTTCTTACAGAAACGAATACTTTCGACGATATATTGATTTGAAATGTCGCGTGACGTCACTTCTATGTACATTTTATACGTAGAAATGACATTTTAGCCCCCACTCCATATTTTGATTTGTTTAATCTAAGTATTGTTTTATTATACGACAAAATAAAAAATACGTGTTTAATATTTTTTCATTACCTTCCTTACGGACTAATTATATTTTTAATTTTCATACCCTGTCATCATCCCAATTATAAACGGAGATTATATATTGTAATCTTAGCTTAACAGTAGTAGTAGTATTTTCACAACTTACTGTTGAAGTTATCTTTGTTTTACGATATTAAATTAATTTAAGGTAGGTTGAAACCATCATTTTACTTAGGGCTAAAAACTTAAGGTCTCTATTTGATTTATACGTTGTCTAGAACTCACTATATAGACAAGTTTGTTTATTCTGAACTTTTCTAATTTCGATTTCAGTTAAATGCTCTTTAATATGTATTCTTTATTTTAAATATATATAAAGGGGTTTTATCAAAAATAACAATGAGAATGAATTTAGTAACTTATAATCTATGCTTTCATCGTCATCGTCCATCTTCATAAGTATTTAATTTTTACTCAATAAAGTATTTTAGTGAGCAATTTTGTAGTCGTTTTCTAAGTTGACAATCAACACTTCATCGACAATACTTATGATGGATAAGATGCTCCATCAATTACCTGAAAGCTCTTACAGTGTCGACGTAGAATGAGTTCTCTTTCTGACAAATAGTGGTGGTTCTGACTTCTGTCCGTGTGACCTTCGTCTTCTTGTAAGCCACTCTGCAGTAGTCTGCTAGACGCTTCTTCTCATACGCCGCCTTGATAGAATATTTAGATATGTTTAAGTGGTCAGAGATTGAGTTAATATTACCATTTGATATTACAATATCTTGTTGCAATTTGTACATCTCTGTGTACCTCTTTCCAGAAATGAAGTATGATGTGTGAATAAATAGCCAATATTATATTGATTAATTGGTAGCCACATTTATCCATCATCAATATAATTTTAAACTTATTTACACGTCATTACGAGCTATATTGCTTAATCGCAATATGAACACTACATTTACTGACCTGATCTTCTTTGGGTAATGCATGGAAAGCCCTAGTGGGTCCTCCAGGGTGCAGTGGTGGGAACTTCTCAGTTTCCAGCTGTTGCTGAATGCGTTGGTACTCACTTCGCGTTGCTGGCACTAAATAAAATAGTAAAAAGGCATGTAAACGTAAAAAAATAAGAGAGAAGAGAGAGAGACTTAGAGAAGAAATAGATACAGCAACGAACTTGTGAATAAGTTTAAGTAAGTTTGTAATTTAGATGTAACTTGTAAGTAAAATCTAAGTTAGAATTCAATTTATAAACAAATAGCTGTTTCCCGCGACTTAATCCGCGTATAATAATGACTTCTGGCAAATTTTGGATTTTTTATTAGTCTTCTCGAAGGTTAATTGCAATGCTGAGTAACAAATCTCAACAGAATCATTTTAGTTATATTTATTGTGAAATGTTGTTTATTTTCGTAATTTCAAAAAATAAACAATTCCACAGGGATTTTACTCGTGTTCCCGTGAGGTTTCAGTTATTAAAACTCCATTTGAATTCCAACAAACAGCTTTGACTAAAGAACTTGAAAACGAAATAGTAGTAATCTATTGACAGCTTGAGATGTAGTATGCGCAAATTATTTTACTACAAGTAATAAAGAATTATAGCTGTGATATACATAAATGAATAAAGATATCTTACAGTAGTCTCCTCGCCACATCCACTCCATATGCCTCTGACAGTCCGCGCCGGGCCGGTTGTAGTCACACACCGCACATATACCTGTGTTCACCATCGCTGACGGCTGCAACCTAATATAAAGAAATAGTGGATTATACAAACTATTTAATGCAAACTTCCCTAAAGCGATTGTGGCGCCACTTGCCTATCACTAAATTGATATAACAAAGAAACCAGCCTACACGAAAATTCCCTAGGTGGGTGGCAGCGTCACCTTGTCAATTAAAGCAGATTGTCAATTTTAGACATGTATTTCAATGTATAATTTAGTACTTATCATTTTTATAACTCCTACTTTTAAAATAATTATATTAACATTTTTAATGTAAGATTTTTAGCCTGATTCGTCATGTTGCAGGCGCTTTTACTTGTGAGCTACAAATAACTTCATTAAGAAGAATGTATTACACAATTTTTTTTAAGGGGGGAAAATCATCTATTGACAGCTCCCGCCTGGGTGAGGCGGGAGGAGTCAGACTCTTACTGACTAAAAACCATACCGTTCCTTCTTCTGCACGCCGAGCCGGAGCCCCGGTAACCCGTTAGGTTCTCCGCGACTCCGAATCGGCATCGGCCCCGTTGGACCCCATCTGTGGTGGTCTGATGGCTCTTCGAGGCGCGCGGAACGCGACGCGCCGTACGCTCGGGTCTGTTACTGGTCGGACGGGGAGCCACCCATGCTCGCCGTCCGCAGGCCCGCATCAGCCAATAGAGTAACTCCGATTCTCCTTAACCCTTCATAAAATAATAGGAGTGGTCTAATCATAAATACCTGTTAGTCAAAATAATATTAGGATACATGGCGCCGACATCCAAGTGATAAATCAAAGGATTTTCATCTCTCCTGGGATGATCCTTCATATGTTGCAACTTTGCCTTTATTTCTGCACAAACTTCATCGAAATTCGTGACCAAATCCAATGGGATCCCCTCCTCTACTTCAATGGCGTGTTTCATTGTTTTCTCAGTAGTTTCCATCAGTTTGTCTACCGCTGATGGAACTATTTTAAACTTGCATTTAATGTCTGCTCTGAATACACCTGAAAAATATTTTTACAGAATAATTTTCTATATATATTATTTGGGTCGAATAGTCACAATTGAAAGAATATTAGGTTCGATAACAGGTTAGGGTTTATTTAACATGTACATATTTCGAGTGGTCGCAAGTGCGGCTGTTGGGCAAGGGGTCTCGGGTTCGATTCTCGGGTCGGGCAAAGTATTACTGGGTTTTTAAAAAAAAACTCAGTAGTAGCACGGAGTCTGGAATTGTGCCCGGTATATGGCAATAGGCTCACCCCCTATTACATGGGACTCATAACATAAATAGTGAAAAGTGGATGTTACTTCTGTGTGCACCTCTTCCTTCCCCTTCGGGAATAAAGGGCGTGATGTTATGTTATGTTATATTTGAATAACCAAAGCATTATTTCATGATCGAACCACGACTTATTTTACTAGCACAGTAGCCAGTAACTAGGAAAATAAACCTTATCACAATGCCATACTAACCAGATTCGAGTGCCTCCACGTGTCCCCCTACATATGTCTCAGTCTCCAGTACATGTCCGTCGTTAGTCAGTTTGTTTAGCTCCTCAACTTGTTTGTTAGGAAATACTATATTCGCGTGGAACGCTTGCACCATTAGTAGAGACTCGCAAAGAGTGCCAGATCCCTTGCGAAGTACCTATGAAGGAATTTGAATTTTATATAGGGGACAAAAGGTTTATATTTATTTTTTTTACATTCCATCTAGACTGGGCAGTGCCTAAAAATCTGATGATCAACAAGAGAGTCAACTATAAGTAAGATTTTGTATGACTTACCTCATCAGGTTCCAATGGAATGATAGTACAGAGCGCAAATATGAAGGGGTGGACATATTTCATGTACAAGTAGTATGTAGCCACTGCATCAGATACTGAATAATTTGACAGCACCTATAAAATAAAATAAAGAAATAAATTGTAACTAGAAAGCTAGAATCGCAATCAGGGCGCTTACTCTTGAAACCAATCACAATGTCAATGCAATTTCAATCCAATAAAAACTCAATAATTATTTAAATGTCAAAACTATACAACCCCTATCGTAGCTGTTAAAATAGCATTCAGAGTACGGAATATAAAGCTAAACTCAACACCATTTAGTTCATTAAATATCCACGCAATACGGATGCAATGGGCGCTAGTATTACTCAAGAGTACGAAATTTTACAATACCAATGTCGATCGATCGGAATTGAATTCAAAAGTAAGTCCCCTGGTAACACTGTTCTAATAGAGTTATCGTATTTCAAATCAAATCCGCGATTTTTGTGCAGCAACCGTTTATCCAGCTATTGCGCCAAAGGAAAAGGACAACAAAAGAAAATATTAACTGTAATGTCTGTGTGTTGTCTGACAAGAGGCAAGACCTATGGCAATGGCCCCAAGTAACTTGGGATGAAGGTATAAAGGAAGACACGTTTGCGCAATAACTTAGCACACTTGCGCAAAAGTTGCGCATGCAATACGGTAGATGACTATTTTTTATTTTAATGTTCGTCGGGTAGATTATTAAAAACATTAGACACGTATTTTTTATTTCCTTACAGAAACGAATAGTTTCGAAGATATATTTTGAAATATCGCATGACGTCACTTTCGAGTACGATTTATTTGTAGGTAGGTACTTTTAAATGACGTAGCTACCTCCCATTCCTAAACTTTGATTCGTTTTACTAAGGATTGTTTTCTTGTACGACAAAATAAAAATGTACGTGTCTAATATTTTTTCATTACCGAACTGACGGACTAATAAAATTATTAATTTTCAGACCATGTCATTACCTCTATTATTTGGTAAGTATAAATAATAAATTGGTAAGATTTATTACCTGCGGTTGTTCCGCCGCCATCCTGCACATTTCTTCGGGATCTAACTCCACGGGATCATATCTTAACTTTGCTTTAGCCACGGCTTTCAAACCTTGTGATCCCACTGGCAGGTACGAATCTCTCTTTACCCAACTACAAAAATATAATAATGTTACTAATCGAATTAGTATTTGATCGTAGAACGACTGATCACAACAGCGACTGCTATGAAAGTAATAGCAATCGATTCTTACTATTCTTAGGTCAAATAAAGTACTGTTCAGTTTTCGTCTTAGTTATGGGATGGAGTCTGAACTAAATTGTTAAACTTTTAAGTGTGGGAGAGCCATACTTCGGCACTAATGGGCCGGCTCGACCGGAGTGATACCACGGCCTCATAGAAAATCGACGTGAAGCAACGCTTGCGTTGTATTTCGTCGTGTGAGTGAGGTTACCGTTGGCCCAATTACCCTCCCCTTCCCCAATCTCTGAATCCCCAACGATCCTTAAACTCCTAATCCCCAAAAGGACGGTAAAGCACTTGTAACGCCTATGGTGTTCCAGGTGACCATGGGCGACGCCGATTGCTTACCATCAGGTGATCCGTCTGCTCGTTTACCGGCTTAAGCCATAAAAAAACTGGCGAAAAGTGGGTTTCACATTTGATTACCCTTTTGCGGTAAAAGGTAGATATTTCAATTACCACAAGCAATCCATATGCATAGCAGGTCGACAAGCGTATGTACCATCTCTTGCCGCTATTTTACTAAAACCAATTTCTTGTTTCATATCCAGACCGAGAACCGCCGCGCGCGCTTCCACGAACGGCCAATCGAAGAAGTCACCTAAAAACAATATTTATTTTAACTTATTTAGCTTCATGCACGTAATGTACAGTAGTGTCAGTTAATGCCTCTTTAATTATAACAGATAAAACATGTTCATATCATTTATTTGCAAATTAATACTTCTTCATTATATTTAACTAGCTTCTGCCCGCGACTTCGTACGCGCAATGAGTTATAAATAGTGTAACTAACACGACTTTCTTTTATATATATATAGATTAGTACATATATATTGTGTGATATGTATAATAAATACATATATATCTACATATCAATTTATGTTCACAACTCACAACACTGGGCATTAAGTCCGCCATTGTATACAATTGCAAGAAGTGTAAATAAATAAAGTATTGTTGTATGATATGTTTAAATATTTATTTATGAATCTTACCGTTGTAAGTTACGAAGATATGTGGTTTAACATCCATTATGTGATCGAAGAACTTTTGTATCAGAGCCAGCTCATTTTCTTCATTGAATACTATAAATTGCCTAAAAAAGAAATATTAATTCTTGTATTAGATTATTTTGTATTAGGTTGTATTAGATTATTCTATTAGAACATTAACTTTTATGGCTAATGTTACTCAACTCTCACCACTCAACACTCACCCCTCAAACTCCGGCTTAGGAGTATACTCAAAATCTTCAACATCTACCGAAATGATCTCTCTATTAGTAATCAAATATCCTTGACCATCAATCATGTATGATATCATCATAATCTGATCCGTCTGGGAATCCGGGAACTTCAATGGCAGTTTCGTTGTTTCTATGTCAAAGGCCAAAACTATTGGATCCGGTCTCTCTATAATGTCATCCCGTTTTGTGAAGACTGGTGTTTCTGTCCCTCGGCTCTTGACCGTATACCAGGTACCGCAAAAGATTTGCATGTCTATTGATACTCTGACATGGTATGGCACATCGTGTTCTCTGGAAATAGTGAAAAAATATATAATTATATGTATAATATAGTTTAATTTAATTTATCCCCTCCACTGTCGACGCAAAATTTCGCAATATGGCGGATATGTTTACGTCATCGTGGGTGGGCTCTCGCGAAATCGCCGCGGCCCATTAAAATGACGATATCTCCAAAATATTGTATGAAAGATGTATATTAAGTTTATGTATTCATAATCTGTAGTTTATAGGCTACATCGTGAGTATAATTCATGATGATTTTACCAAATGATATATTGTTAATTCTAAGGCAAAAGATGGAGAAAGTGGAGAAAGTCTTGTAAGAAAATATTTTGCATGGTATTAAAAAATTAATCAATTTCTCAAATTACTTTTATTTTATTTACAAAAAAATATACTGTTGAATCATAATCCATTAAAAAAAACACGCTTTCATACTGTTTGTTTACACTACAAGCGTAACAATCACATGCGTCGTTTCTGCTACCTGAGCGCAACACAAAAAAAGGGTCATGTTTATACTTCAATTCTGAGAACACTGTGGGCCAAGTGGCAAAAAACAAAGACTCATTCTGTAGTTGGGTTCGTAATCTTATTACAAACAAAGGTTTAGCTGTTAGACATGTATACTTTACAAGTGTTGAACAAAAAACTAAGCACTTGAAAATAAGCGCTAAAAAACGTGCTCCCAAACTTTGCATCACAGAGCAAATTTTGTTAGAAGTTTTTCCAATATTAATTTATATTCTACAATTTGATAATATTTACTCATCAAAAAATATAATAATTAAGCAACTAAATATCAAAATCATTCAAAAATTAAAATCTAAAACAAACAATTTCTCTACAAAAAGTAGTAAGGAAGCTAACATAGTATGGACGGAAACAAAACAGCACGTGCACGTTTTAAAAAAATACTAATAAAAGACAAAACAAAAATGCACGCAACAAACAATATCTAATAAGATAACACAAAAATATTACAATACTCGAAATAGAAATCCAAATCCACTCAAAAGTTTTATCCATACTTATCCAATTATGGAACTAAAATGGCGATTTGCCGAGGCCGATGACCTTGAGCCCGTTGTTGCGTATTTTTAGTTTTATTCTTTACGCAAAATCTTATCGAAGATATTCAAATTAAATGCTGTGTACGTATGCAGTTAGATGTATTATTGATGTCATTCATTACATTTGGCTGTTACAGTAGTATTTTAAATGCAAAACAACTCAAAATGTAATGCGGTGACGCGCGATATGGGTGACGATGTTTATAAACAGATTAATTTCTACCCTAAATCTTTGTCTGACACTCAAGTCATGAATTAAAAACTGTTTATTGTTTACCCTTCCATGATAGTTAAACAATATATTGTCCAATTTCACTTAAAAACACCTTCAAACCATAAAAACACTTGGGTCTATAACACAACCACACGACTACAAACGGCTCCGCATAGACTAAACAATACTCATGTTACCGGCGGGAATTTGTTTAACATGTGGTGGTATATTCTATCCTTGTCGTATTCCCGTATGTTTTGCAAGTTAGAACAGTAAAGATACACATTCCAACGCTTATTTTTGTAATTAAAATACGGCGGCAACGATCGACCAGCAGCTGGCGTCCGACAGATGAGCACGATTAGATATCGACCAGGAGATGGTCGATCGACAGTCGAGGGGTTAAGTAAAAAAATATAATTATATATTTTTATAATGGTAAGAATATTTAAAAAGAGTACACAGACTTAAATATAGGCAACACACTTGTAATGCTACAGGAGCAAAGCATGAAAATGATACTGGTGGCACCGCTTGCTTACCATCTCATTTCCCATAATTTGACATAATTGTTTTTGTAACCAAAATAATATTTAGTACCTGATATCTAGAATGTTCTCCATGTGATCAGTAGTTTTCTTGGCATGTTCAATGGCCGCCGCACTAGTCAAAGCATTCGTTAACATCTCGGCATAAATCTGATCTTTCTTTTCTCTTTCTTTATTTTTATTCACAGCTGTTAATATTTCTCTACGAACTTTCATCATTTCGTTTTGTGACATGAATGAAAGTTTTATGTAGCGCTGCTTCAAACCAGATAAGTGGTTTAACTGGAAAAATACAACATAATGAAAGTAAAGAACATATTGTAGTATGTAGTTGGAACAAAATAGAGACGGCAACTATTATTTTTTAATTTGCCCTTTGTGGTAACAGATGCTGGTTGAAATTAGTATGTACTTATTAAATTACATTCTACGCCCTTAAAACCATGTCTTATGGGTCAAGTCTCCAAGCGGTCACCGGTGACTGCTCTCCACTTACACCATTATAGATCTTATTTCCGATGTAGAGACCACTTTTGTATGAACAAATATTGTGGATTTTTCATAATCCTGGATACACAAGTTAAAGTAGGTATTTCTTCAAATATTAAATAATCTTAATATAATCTTTACCAGATCCAAATCTTCTTTCTCAATAACAGTTATCTTGTGTATAGTTCCTGCAAATCTCTTAGAAAGGAACTGTATGACTTCCTGCTCACACTCCTTGCGGGCCAGGATTAAGAAGTAAGGCTGGAAGGTCAGAGATATTTTGAAACGAGACCCATCCATTTCTATGAAGTAGTAATCCATTGCAGCTACTAATCTTTTATCCTCATCTAGAATTTCAGCCTGAAAAAAGAGTTATTTTTCTATATCATTTTGTAGTAATATTTTGAAGAATATAAAGTATAAACATTATGAGCTACGAAGCATACTATTAATGAAATGTTATAGCCCATTAATTTCACAGTTCTCCTGCTTATTTCTGATATAAACAATACTGTTTTAGATTTATTGTAGCTAAACAAATCAGTGATATACTTACTGTATGCATGTTAATCAAGTAGCCAGTGCGTTCTTTAACATCACGCACTCTGTCGAAACCGTACTTCGAGTCGATCCTGTCATTCTCCAGAGCCACACGGATGCGAGACTCCGAAGATTCCTCCCTTTAATTAAAAACAAAAACGTAAAAGTAACCTGCAAGTTGAATCTAAGGTATTTTATTTATTTATAAATACCTGGGTCCATTAGACGAACCAGCATCCTTTCTATTGAATTCCTCCCTGTCTGCTCTATACTTTCCCGTATTTTGTAAAACCATGATTTTGTTAATATTTTAAGAAATAAATAGGTAAACATCCACCTTTGTTGAAATATTTCGTTGACATTGTAACATCTGCTGAAACTGTCATAATTTCGCGCCATTTACAAAACTTTTCGACCACAGATTCAAAATATAACTTCATGATCACGTTTTACTTTGTTTTTATTTGACGTTTGACCACGTCTACAGTTTATTGAAAAATCACAATATTATCATATTATTTTTAGATCAGGTGTAGTTTTAAAGAGATTGATTGTTATTACAATAATCAATTGTAATTTAACTCATTAAAATTGAATTTAAGGAATCGTATTTAAACAAAAAAAAATTATCGTAAATTCGGAGAGCACTACACTACAACACTATCAAAATCTAACGGTTAAACAAAAGCTGTCAGAATTAGACAGAAACTCGAAATGTCAACAATCTGCCTGTGAATGTGTGATTGACATAAAATAAAATACCACCATCGTTTCATAGCTAGTCTAGCTGCTTAGTAAATGTGTAATGCCTTGTGGTTGTGCCTTTGTGTCTTTGATTATTGATATAAAAAACGTTTACAATGGATAGGTCTTACGATATTAGCTTTAGCACCTATGAAGATCTTTCCACTAATTCGAATAGAAAAGGGGACATCAGCATCAGCGAACAACTTGCCGGTTTCGAAAGGTTACGTGTGTCGGCTCTGACAAAAGCTGCTGAAATGAGTCCTCTAGTCAAAGAAGTCACCATTGGACCAAGAAGTCCACAAAAAAAGGATATAAAACTAGTAAAAGAACCAGAGAAAATAACTAAAGAGGAAAATTATGGTGAAGATTTGATAGAGGACAAGTTACGCGAAGACCTTAGGTATACACTTATTATGAAAAAATATGAAAACGACTTACGAGAAGCGTCTTCAGAAAACTTCAATACTTTGCTTGAAAATATGAAAAAGAAACGAGTTCATTTTTTGACAAATATTTCTACACAACAACGTGAAGAACTTAAGAGGCAGGCGTTAGAACGAAAAGCACGTAAAATTGAAATGCTCAAGAAGTTACAGGATAATGACAATCAAAATGTGTTAAATAAAGCTCGTTTAGATGAACAAAATAGTCAAATAATCAACACACAAACAATTGAAAACATGAACAGAATAATTGAAGAACAAAACAGGGCCACTGCTAGGTCTGCTGCATTAAGTGAGAACTTCACTAAAATATGTGAATGCTACAAAGAAATATCAAACATCTTGAACATTGAACCATTAGCTCAGAACATCTGTGACAAATTCTCCACTGCAACAAAAACAGTAGTTGATAATATTTATCATATCATACAAATATGCAAAACCAATGGAGTATCTGATAAAGATGTGAAGCAAGCTGAGATTCTCTACATGAACATAGAAAACATCAAAGGGAAAATATTGGGAGAAATTGAAATAATGAAACAACAAGAAGCCTTGAAAAAACAAAAGGAAGAAGAGGAACTGTTACGGAAAAAAGAACAAGAAGAGAAGGAGCTACAAAACCGTAAAGCAGCAGAAATGGCAGCGGCCGCTGAAGCTGAAAGACTCAAAAGGGAACAACCTAAAAAGACAAAACCAGTATTTTATTCTGCTAAAAATTATGAATATTATGAGAAACTTAGAAATGAACTGGAACAGTATGAAGCTCAATATAAAGACTTATTACAGGATGTCAATTACAAGAAATTTAGATTTGACTGTCAAAAGGCAGTGAATACTCCAGTGAATGCATTATCATCAGTCAGTGCAGTGCATATGAGGGACAAGTATGACAAACTTTCAAAGTTACTGAAAGGAGAAAGAGTGCAAGTATTGGATACTCACATAACGGCAACACAGCATCCACAGGGTTTGTTTTATTGCACAGCATTGCTAGCAAAGAAAATTGTGAGGCAAGGAGATCTGCTAGTATCAAGTAGTACAGAAGCTGCCTACCCATTAGCTGCTGTTACTGTTGCTTTGTGGTCTCAATTCCCACAATTTGGTAGACTAGTTGAAGCAAACTTTCATAGATATTGCCCTTACTTAGTACCTATGTACTTGCCCCAGAAAGAAGGCCAGACCGTCCAAGAGTTCTACTTATCAAGAGGTTATACATACACTGATGGAGTTGTTGAGAAACAAGACAAATTCCTCAAGAGAATGTCGGGAATATTCAGGTTACGTTGTGCTATATGGATTGCCACAATGCCCAAGTTCATTAATACGCCTAATCCTAATGGTCTTAGATACGGATGGCAATGGCTAGCATCCTTTTTGAATTTAAAACCTGAACCAGATATTTCTGCTACGTTAGTGCATGATTTCTTTATTATGTGTGGTTCACAATGTGATAAACATTATGGTAGACAATTTAGAAAAATATTGGAACTTACAAATAATCAGTATCTAAAGGTACTGGAGAATATTGATGAAGGAGGACCCAAGACTAGATTGGAGGTTTACTTGCAGACTGTCATACAGTCTAATGTGCCGGCACAACCGGAATCCACCAAAATAAATTGGTGATATCATGGATTATTAGATTATAAGTTATTTTTGTAATGAATTAGTGCTACTTAAACAGCTGTATGGATATTGAATGTATTTTAAGCATAATAATTAATTAAATAGAACTAATTTTGCTTATGATTATGCCTTCAAGTGATTTTAATGTACAAAAAGTAATCATGTTTGTAATAAATGATTGTTGACTGTATCATTTCATTTTCCAAAATATATTTTTCACTACCCACATTTTCATTTATATCTTTTCTATAATTTTTATTATTACTTTCGTGAAACAAGCTAAATTTATTATTATGTTTATTTTCTGAATAATAAGGTGTCATTTCGTTAATTTTTGAGAATTTTCTTTTTCTTAACCCTGATTAAATCCTACCTACCTAGGTGCATAGTGGTGGTAGCAATAGTAAGCAATCTGCATCGCACACAAACTAAGGTAGTATCTCAGTCTACCACCTACTAAGCTGCTATACCTATTTAGCAAAGGAACATGCACGGTTTATAAGTTCTTTATAGCTTATTCAGAGAATTTTACTGTATTTGCAAAAATATTATGAATGCCTCTTTATAAATTAGTACATTCTACAAGTGAGCATAGCTGTCTAGCTCGAGACAGATGTTCGAAACATTTTTCATATCACTTTTAGTAAAGGCAATCTAAAATACGTAGACGTGGATCACCACGTCCTTGTTTATCGAGTATTCGGTTGCAATCACAACCACCGATCAAAAAGTATCAGTTTCGATCGATATTCGGATCGGAGAATGTATTGTGGTCTGTGTGGGTACGTGCGTTTACGTTTACAAACATATATACCCCGGAATGTAGGATAACAATTTATGAATCTTAATTTATTAAAATATGGTTCTTATCCCATGTCAAACACAAGTCTCGTTCCCGGGGTTGCGGAAAACCCCAAGGGTTGCTTGGTTATCGCAAGGCTCCAGCTTGAAGCAGAAATTGAAACGGAGAGATTCTTAGTCAGTGGGGAAAATCATCGTCCCTTCTTTTATGCATATTTTGTAAATAGGAAAAATCCTTTTCATGACATCATGCCAGTCTTTTGGGCACCCTACCCCTATACTTATTATACTCTTTGACCCTACCTCACGGTAGCGATGAGGAAAATGTTTTTTTGATGCCTTATGATTTATTTTTATTATTATTTTTTTAAGGTGTAAATATTTTAGTTTTAAATTATTTTTTTTAATATTTTAAGTTGTACATATTAATAGTCGCAAAGTAGTATTATATTTCAATTAATAACTATGTAATAATTATATTTTCATGACTAAGACAGACTTTTACTGTATTACTTATTTGAGGTAAAAAGGTAAGTATCCAAGTTTAAAATTATTTTTAATTTTGACAAATATGACAACCCTGCAAAAACTAACCTAAATGATGCGTTTGATGTTGTTGTGTCAATAAAGTGCATTTTTAGTGAAAAATAAATAGTTTAGATTTACTACAATGCCGCCGCCACCACCGCCAGGACCAATGGGAACTGGGACCATGCCACCGCCACCCATGGGGCCGCCTGGGGCTATACCGCCGCCGGTTACTTCATCTAGCGGTCCTCCAGCAGTTCCACCTGCGATGCCTCCTACGATGCCTCCTGCTATGCCTCCTACAATGCCACCTGGTATGGGACCGCCACCGGGTATGATGGGAATGGGTCCTCCTCCTCCTGGGATGGGACCACCGCCTCCACCAGGAATGGGACCTCCTCCGGGTATGGGAATGGGGCCACCTATGGGACCTCCCGGTATGGGACCACCAAGAATGCCTCCCAACATGATGCGTGGACCTAACATGAAAGGTAACTTTGGGAACCAAGGAATGGATATGGGTCCACCTGGGATGGGTCCACCGCCAAATATGCCTCCTATGGGTTGGGAGGGTCAGGGACCCCCAGGTTGGGGAAGACAGGATGGTCCACCAGGTTGGGATGATCATGGAGAAGAAGGAGATGAAGATGAAGTTGAGGGAGATGAATCTAGTGGCATGCAAGGACCTCCATCAAGTTTGCCATCTCTGTTGACCATGAAGATTGATACTCCTGAAGAGTTCAGGAACAAGCCTGTTGGTGTTGGTGGTGTTGTGCTTCCTAAAGCATTAGAGGAAGCTCTAGCTTACAAGGACCAGAGACAGGCTGCTCTGGGGGATGAAACAGATGTACCAAAAGGTATGTAGCATGTAGTTACTGATTCTTTAATATTTCTAACATTAAACATAAGATTATAATTATGCAAGCTTGTGTCAATGTTAACAAAAAAAGCAAATAAAATTGATAACAAGAAATAATGCGGAACAGTTTCATCTTTTTAACTCGTCGAGTACCGGTTTTATAGACACAATTAACTCGTCGAGTACTGGTTTTATAGACACAATTAAAGAACAATAGGTTGCGGTCACTGGTGACCGCTTGGTGTTTGACAGATTAAAGAACAATAGGTCGCGGTCACCGGTGACCGCTTGGTATTTGACAGTTTAAATAACTTTAAGTGTAATTTACATTACATTACAAAACTGACCTATTTAAACAGAAATTAAGTGCAGCAATAATTAGTTAAAATGTTCAAAATAAAAGTAAACTTATTATTATACTTGTAACAAAGGGATCTCTTTTAATGTAGAAACTGAAGAAGAACCGGAGGCTCCACCAGCCCCAGTGATCAGTACGGAATATGATGCAGAGGAGGATGAAGGAGACTCGGATGATGATAACATTCCGGATGCACCACAGCCACCTATTATCTCTAAAGGAGAGGTATGTTAATTTTACTTATCATAATATTTTCTACAAGATATTCACCACTAAATGTAATCCTACTTTAATGCCTAGATAAAACAAGACTGCAAGTATGTAATCCATTATAATATAATTATGGATTTATAACATAATTACTAACTGAAATGAGAATATTTGTTCCTCTGCCTGACTCTTGAAACTAGATCATGATGATGTTTTGTTCATGTTATCCCAACTTGTGTATTTTAAATAATATCAAGTAATGATTACTATATGTAAAATCAAACATATATACCGCAAATGTAATCGTTTTATAAAAAGTTTACTAGAACACTCTTCCCTGACAATAAGAAATTGTTTTATTATAATTGTTTTTATTTTCGTTTTATTCATGAAACATCATCCTTGAGTAGTTGATTACTACATAAAAGCAATGTTTAATTCCTTACTTTTATGATGATAAAACTTGTTTTTTGCCATCACCTGTAAATGTTTTTGGGAGTGTTCCGTTTACACCCTGTATTTACAAAATTCAAAAAAATGAGAAGGTTCAAATACCATTTTTTTAGTACTTACAGTAGTACAGCACAGTAGTAGCACGGAGTCTGGAATTGTGTCCAGTATATGGCAATAGGCTCACCCCCTAATACATGGGACTCATTAACTCATAACATACATAGTGAAAAGTGGGTGTTACATTGTACAGTGGCCTACCCCTTTGGGGATAAAAGGCGTGATGTTATGTTGTGACTATATTTTTATTGTTTATATTCACATTGTTATTATTTTGTAGGGCACAGCAAACAAAGCTAGTAAAAATAAGAGAAAGAAGAAAAAGAAGAAGGCAGCCAGACAGAAGAGGCGAGAGGAATCAAAGAAGAAAGATGATGACACCACTGCATCAAGCCAGGATGATGGCAAGAAGTCCAGTGATAAGGAGAATGAAAAGGAGGTGGAAATTGAGTGAGTCGAGCACTTTATTTTTATTTATTTAATTATGTGTTGTTGTTATGAAGTACTTACATACTTATACTTGGTAGACAGACAGATGATTTGTTACCACACAAGAAAAAGGTAGTTCAACCCGTTGGAAATCATCCCCTAAATTTGTTCATACCAAAGTAGTCTCTAAACATTGGAAATTAAGGTCTATAATGTAGTTAGTGGAGGGCGGTCACCGGTGACCGCTTGGGGATATAAAATGGGTTAAGTCTTTTAATAACATGTTTCAAAGAGATACATATTTTTGTCCCATAGGGTTTATCATCATATTTTTTACTGATTTAACTGATTGTATAACCATATGCATCAATATAATAATAGCTAGAAAACCTCTTAGAACCAAATACCCAAATAATTTATTAAAAATACTTTAAACAGATATGTGCAAGAAAACATTCAGTTCCATGAATTGGAGCCTATGTACCGCCAGTTCCATCGCATTCTCGAAGCGTTCAAGATCACGGAAAAGAAGGATGATGCTATCAAAGAGGAAGACAAGGATGCTCCCAAACCTTCCAAGCCTCAGGAGAAGGTGCAGGACCAGTTTGCTGCTGATGAAGAGGCAGTGGAGGTAAGATATTATTAGTTTAAAAGTAGTTGGCTATGTAAGTTGTGTATAAAACATACTTATTATTTACTAGCTGTTGCCCGCGACTTCGTTCGCGAGGAATAGTGATTCACAGCCCTCCCCTGTAGGTGATAGCGTGATAATATTATGTAGCCTATATTTTGACCCGACCTGTTAGTAATATAATGTAAAATTTGAAGTAAATCCATACAGTACTTTTTGAGTTTATCCCGGACATACATACAGACAAACAGACAAAATTTAGCTTTGGTGCCGTTTGTAGAACACACCCCAAGCATTATTTAAAAAAAATATATTATTCAATGTACAGTTTGCACTTTCCTATGATTTAATTATATGTATAGATTTTTGATATTTATTTGCTACTAGCTTTTAGCCGCAGCTTTGCCCGCTTATTCTTGTTTCATCCCATGAGAGCATTTAATCGGGATAAAAAGTGTCCTATTATCTAAGTCAGCCTATACCATAGTTTCAGCGTGATTGATAAATAAACATCTAAACATCCAAACAAAGAAACTCACATTTACAATAATAGTGTGATGTGACTTATTATACACTTGTGACATAATATTGTTTTTTGTTCATGCCATGTTACACACGAATGTGTGTGTCTTAGTTTTTCCTGTCGAAGGACTGCAGGAAGAGATTCCTTCGGGAATATGTAGTACCTATATACCTCCAATTTATTTATTTATATATGTATTCTCCTGTGTACTGTCTGTATGTTGTGCATAAATAATTTTTTTTTTACAATAACTCTAAAATTGTAAAAAAATGTACCTTAACTTATCCTTTCCATATTATTTCCAGAAAAATGCTGCAGATGAAAAGGAAAGGCTCTCAAAACGTAAATTGAAGAAGTTGTCGCGGTTGTCTGTGGCCGAACTCAAGCAGTTGGTGTCTAGGCCTGACGTGGTTGAGATGTATGACGTCACAGCTCGTGACCCTAAGCTACTGGTGCAGTTGAAGGCGCACAGGAACACTGTGCAAGTACCACGACATTGGTGTTACAAGAGAAAGGTATGCTTTTGACGTTTTTTTTTTTAGTAAAATAAAGAATGTAACGATTATTATATTTAAAAACTTTTTTTCACAGTACCTGCAAGGTAAGAGGGGTATAGAAAAACCTCCTTTCGATCTTCCGGACTTCATCAAGAAAACTGGTATCATGGAAATGAGGGCCTCCCTGCAAGATAAGGAAGAAACCAAAACCCTCAAAGCCAAAATGAGGGAGAGGACCAGGCCTAAACTTGGCAAAATTGATATTGACTACCAAAAACTTCACGATGCATTCTTCAAGTAAGTTGAAACTTTATAGCTAAGGATTTAAGGTTCTCATTACTTTGATTTTTAAACTAATTATAGTTAGTTCTGAGAGTTCAGCAAGTCTTTATCATATTTTTTACTGTGAAAATTGAAATGTGATCTTAAAAGCAAGTTAATAGAACTGCGTTATTTCTGATCATGTTACACCAGTTTAAATACTGGATTGTGCATTTTTTCTTTAGCTGAAGACTTCAAGTTGGAATGATATGGAATATAGAGAGAATCATACAGACGCTGGTAAGTATGTGTTTTAAACATTATTAGGTTTGTTTTTGTCTGAGCTTCGAATAAATTGCAATAGTTTTGCAGTTAGTCAATGAAATGGAGTATGTATTTGACATAAAACACACAAAAAAAAACAGAAATTAGGATATACATAGAATTAAGTAAAGGATGAGAAACGTGTTCCGCCCACACGCACGAAGCGCCTCGCTTCAAGCTTCCTTGTGCGTACTGCTAAAGAGTGGAATTCTTTGCCAGAGTCTGTATTTTCTGAAGGGTATATTATATAACCTGGGAGTCTTCAAGGCCCGAGTGAATAGATTGCTTATGGGACGACGTGCTCCATCGTAGACCGCATCATCGCTTACCACCAGGCGAGATAGTGGTCAAACGTCGCCCCATCAAATATAAAAAAAAATTATACTATTAACATAGATATTAAAATTACATGAACTAACACTTAAATAGATTATAAGAAATGTAAACTTTAAGTAATGGAAATAAAAGGCTTTTTATTTATTTATTATTATTATGTATTTGACGACTCTAATATTATCTTACTCGTTGATTACAAGTGCTAGTCTAGCACATCTCCAATTTAATTACGATGTGACATAATAGGGATAACAGGGTATGAAAATTAAAAATATAATTAGTCCGTCAGTTAGGTAATGAAAAAATATTAAACACATATTTTTTTATTTTGTCGTATAATAAAACAATACTTGATAAAACGAATCAAAGTTTAAGAGTGGGGGCTAAAACGTCATTTCTACGTATAAAATGTACATAGAAGTGACGTCACGCGACAATTCAAATCAATATATCGTGGAAAGTATTCGTTTCTGTAAAAAAAGAAAAAATACGTGTCTAATGATAGGGCCGATGCCGATTCGGAGTCGCGGAGAACCTAACGGGTAACCGGGGCTCCGGCTCGACGTGCAGGAGAAGGAACGGGGTGGTTTTTAGTCAGTAAGAGTCTGACACTCCCTTCCGCCTCACCCGCAGTCATTCGATGATATTCCCCCCTTAAAAAAAACCCCTATTGTAATTAGTATTTTCTATCTTAGCATTTTGTAAGTAGGTACAAAACTTTTGTTTCTGACGTAGGATGTTTAATACCATAATATTGTTACGTAAACTTTTTTAATATAAACTTATTGTCTTTAATATAGATGGCAAACGAAACCTCGGATGACAATCCACGGCGACTTGTACTACGAAGGCAAGGAGTTTGAGACCAGACTGCGTGAGAAGAAGCCCGGTGACCTCTCCGAGGAACTGAGAACTGCACTCGGCATGCCTGTCGGACCAGGCTCACATAAGGTCGGTACTAGAATTAGCATATCTATAATATGTCTATCACATATTTCTGTGGTTCGCTTACTAGAATGTTCATATTATATTTTGTACTAACGTTCCACCCCGGCTTCGCACGGGGGCAATATGCATGTATTGGCCCTCCCTTCCGCCTCACCCAGGCGGAAGCAGTCATTCGATGATTTTCCCCCCTTAAAAAAAAAAAAAAATAATATGCATGTATTATACATATAAACTAAGAATCTAAGAATCACTCTATCTATTAATACTTACAAACCGCATCAAAATCCGTTGCTAAGTTTTGAAGATCTAAGCATACATAGGGACAGACAGACGGTAGATAGTGACTTTGTTTTATATCATTCGCCAGGCGGGAATGGGGTGTCAAACTCTTACTGACTTCAATCATCCCGTTCCAATTACTACTTTAAGTCGGGGCTGAGACCACAGCAGAAGTTATAGCCTTTGGTTCAAAAAGTCATACTAATTTTTTACTAGAATCAACATCTTGAAATAAATATCATGAATCTATACAAATTGTCTTTACAGGTGCCCCCACCATGGCTAATTGCCCAGCAGCGTTACGGCCCGCCCCCGTCCTACCCCAACCTCAAGATCCCCGGCCTCAACGCACCCATCCCTGAGGGTTGCGCATTCGGATACCACGCCGGTGGTTGGGGCAAACCACCTGTGGATGAGACTGGTAAACCGCTGTACGGAGATGTGTTTGGACATCAGAGTAGCGGACAAGATGTAAGTTGAAATTCAAACTTTGATATTCTGTCATAATTAAACGAACAATATTTATTATTCAGGAAATTTTATTATGGCAATATAAGAAGTAGAAGTCTGGAATTGTGCCCGGTATATGGCAATAGGCTCACCTCCTATTACATGGGACTCGTAACATAAATAGTGAAAAGAGGGTGTTACATTGTACAGTGGCATAATGTGCACCTCTGCCTACCCCTTCGGGGATAAAAGGCGCGATGTTATGTTATGTGATAAGAAGTAGAATTTGTAGAATGATATATTTTTGTGTCTGATTATTATTTACTGAATATTTTCACGTGAGGCTTTAGGCGTCGTCCTATTTAGGTTAGCATCGTACGATTGAATGACGCGATTTCGTCGCACGATGAGATTAACTAGAGATTTCGTAAGAGTGTCCTAATTGAAGCTTGCAAACCATCGCCCGAGCACACAGTTTAATCTCCTCGTGCGACCAAATCGCATCGTTATTTCGTACGATGGTTAGCCAAATAGGACGACGCTTTTTTTTATGGTATAAGCAGGTAAACGAGCATACGGATCACCTGATGGTAAGCAATCGGCGTCGCCCATGGACACCTGGAACACCAGAGGCGTTACAAGTGCTTTTTGGGGATTAGGAGTTTGAGGATCGTTGGGGATTCAGGGATTGGGGAGATTGGGGAAGGGGAAGGTAATAGGGCCTCCGGTAACTTCACTCACACGACGAAACACAACGCAAGCGTTGCTTCACGTCGGTTTTCTGTGAGGCCGTAGTATCACTCCGGTCGAGCCGGCCCATTCGTGCCGAAGCATGGCTCTCCCACACTTGAAGTACTTGCTGTATGCAATAATATAAACATTTTTCAATCCCTTTCGTTGATGTTCGCCACAATCTTAAAGATAAAATAATGAATAAATAATAATTATGTTTTGTTACAGGATGTGGAAGACCTAGATATAGATAGAACGATGTGGGGAGAACTGGAGTCTGAATCTGAAGAAGAATCAGAAGAAGGTATGATTTATACATTAATAATGAAGGTTTTAGTTATGTTTCTTGATCAAAAAACATTTAGAAACTTTTATTATTTACTTAAAGTATTCGAAAATCTCAACTGCTTTCGGTTGACATTGGGAGTCTTATGAGAAACGTAGGCGATGTGGTAACGTTTCGTAACGAACTAAAGACTATTCATTACTTTATGAAGTAGTGGACGTGGTCCCATGGGAGACAGGCATGAGGTTACGTATGTATGTGTGTAGCGCTTATTAAAAAACGCAAACACTAAAACATTTGAAATTATGACATATATGATATTACTGTTACATCCTTTTTATAGGCACGGCAATAAACGTAATTTATATTTGTTTGAGCAGAGGAATCCGACGAAGGAGAGAAGCCTGGCGAGGGTGACATGGCGGCGGGAGTGGCGACTCCTGGCGAAGGTCTGGTCACGCCGCTCGGCATCAGCTCCGTGCCACCCGGCATGGAGACTCCTGACACTATTGAACTCAGGAAGAAAAAGGTTGAAAGCGATATGGAAGGGTAAGGAATATTGCTATTTTTACGACTAGATATAATAGAATTAACAATACGTAGCCAGTTTTGTTTTAACTCGTCGAGTACCGTATTTATAGACACAATTAAAGAACAATAGGTTGCGGTCACCGGTGACCGCTTGGTGTTTGACAGTTTAAGTCACATTTAATATTAATAATAGGCTGCCTCATTGGCTGAGTGGTCGCAAGTGTGACTGCCGGACAAGGGGTTTCGGGTACGATTCCCGGGTCGGGCAAAGTAATAATGGGTTTTAAAAAAAATCTCAGTAGTAGCACGGAGTCTGGAATTGTGCCACATAACATGTGACACAGTGAAAAGTGGGTGTTATATTGTATGTTAACATTTAATATATAAAGTGATGGGGTCAACTGATGACTTGCCTTGGCTTATATTATTTGAACTCCGTATCAATATTTTTTTTAAATCTAGTTTCCAACAAGGGATTTTTTACCAGCTAAGCTACCAGCAACATCCATCAGTAATAATGCATGTAGACATAAATTAATAAATTTAATTTATTTCAGTGGTGACACTCCAGCTCTATACCAAGTGTTGCCAGAGCGGCGCGTGGGTCTGACCCCGGGCATGATGGCCTCCACACACGTGTACGACATCAGCGCGGCCAACCCGGGTGAGATACCTATTATTAAATATGATAAAATGTACAATTGCGTACTTGTCAACTAGTCAAATAAAATACTTTTTTCGAATAATAAAAAATGACAGGTTTCTATGAATTTTGTATGAGATTGTGTATTGTGACGTCATGTATTTTTAGCGTCAAACAGTGTACTTATTTCTTAAAAATTTGCTAGTAAAACACAAAAATTAAGTTGATCCATAAAAGCAATTAATGAAAGTTTGATTATTTTTTAGTATTTTATTGTATTGAACAGTCGAAATAATTTATTTTTGATTAAGGAAAATATCCAAGTCTAGAACTATAAAATAAACGAAAAAGATAGTGATTTTTTGTTCATTAATTAATATTGTTCTACTACATTATTAATTATAGTTTACTACTGGGAACAAATAGTTAAAACTTTTTTTATTTCAACATACTGTATACTAAAGACTACTTTGTTAGTATTGGTAAGAGGACACTAGCTTAAGTTCACACTGGGAGTATCATGTTTTCCAGACCATGAAGAATACTGTTTAATTGCGTCATTGTTTTCGGGGAGCTGCTTAAAAATGTTCGTAAAATAAATCCAGTTCGCTAAATTACTATTTATAATACAGGCAAGCGAGCAGCCCCAGCAGCTGCAGCAGGAACAACGAGTGAGAGCGGCGGTGGATCCGCCATGGGAGGAGTGGAGGTAGCGCTGGATCCGTCCGAGCTGGAACTGGAGCCCGAGGCAGTAGCTGCGCGGTACGAGAGACATCTGCGGGAGACAAGGCCCAAGGCACACGAGGATCTCTCCGACATGTTGGCTGACCACGTCGCTAGGCAGAAGGTAATTATATCATTTCAAAGTCAAAGCATTTATTTTAATTAAACCATATTTTGTTACTTTTGAAACGTCAACAAATACAAAATAAATAATAGTCTGTCAGTCAGTATGACAGTGAAGCTAGGTACTTATTCCAATATGTAGACTCTAATTGAGAAGAACGAGCAAGAAACTCCATTCGTTACTTTAAAAAAAAAGTATGTTCTACAGTATCTCTGATATATATTCCAATTGTAAAATATTGTACATTTATGCGAGAACAATGCAAATTACAAAACTTACTAAAACAAACAAAAACGAAACAAAAATATTAAAAAAAAAAGGTGCTTACATATGCATACTGACAATTCATAAAAATAGTGCTTCTATAATAATTTTATTTATAATCTTATTAATTTTGTTTCAGAACAAGAGAAAGCGACAACAGAATACGGACTCAAAACAGTCGAAGAAATACAAAGAATTCAAGTTCTAATAGTGATAATAGACATATTACATTAATTTATATTATAAGTGTATTGTACCTATGTTAGGATACTCTTGGGTGGTTTATCCAGGGCTGGTAGTCTCGACAATGATAACATCATAGTTTTGTCGCTATCAGCTGAAATTAACTACAGATTTTAATTCTTTGAATCGGTTATTTTTTTAGGCTGATAAATGTTAAATTACATGTTTATACATTTTAAACATTCACCTTAGTTGAAAATCTAAATAAAATTTGCAAGTTAGCGACCCTCTTCTGTCGTTGTGGAGACGCAAGCCTATAATATAATATAGCATTGAGGTTATCAATTCATGTGTGACAATTACAACTAATTCAATAAAGAATTACTTCAATGATCAACTGTATTTTTTAATCATTTTGTGTGTTCTATTTATGGTCAACGGATTTTAGACTTAGCATTTAATGCTTGTGTTCTCTTCTATGTGTATACGGCAACAAAGTGACGTAAAAAGGTGCCTACCCCTTCGATAAGTCGCGGAGAACCTAACGAACCCCTATACTTATTATACTCTTTGACCTAACGGGTTACCGGGGCTCCGGCTCGACGTGCAGGAGAAGGAACGGGGTGGTTTTTAGTCAGTAAGAGTCTGACACTCCCTCCCGCCTCACTCAGGCGGGAGCAGACATTCGATGATTTTCCCCCCTTAAAACAAACCCGATAAGTAAATAAAGGGCGTGTAATAAATTTTTGCAACTTCGGTAAACCTGAATTATTCGTAAAATTCGTCAGCAATTCTTTGCCTGTAAAAATTATCAATTCCAAAAACCGTAAACTTCCAACAATAATAACGATTTCAATCAACATTATGGTGGCTAAAAAGCCACGTTGTCGTTCATCGTTCCAACTTTGACGGCAAACAAATGACAGATTAAAAAAAAGAAGCTGGACTTCGTACTTTGTTGGAAGTTTTTCATTTGTTTTTATTAAAAATTAAATAGCTTGAGTTAGTTGTAGTTCCATAAGTTAACAGCGCAAATAACAAAATGTCTCGCGTTCTAGTTGGAGTTAAGAGAGTTATCGATTATGCGGTTAAAGTAAGTATACGTCAAGTACAAAGGTTACTTGTTGTTTGAATTTTGAAGTTCAAGGAATAAACATTATACTAATAAGAAATTATTACTAACACATCATTAAATTCTTATATACTTTCACGTAAGTTCTGTTAAAAATATACATTATCAGGTCATAACCTAAAATTTAATTTTTTTCTATGATAATAGCTCCTTACTTGAGATTCGTTATCACTATCAGCCTTGAACTATACGAAAAAAGTTATGTATAGTGATTATATGTACAGATGTGTTACTGTGCCAATAATGGAAAATAATTAAATGGAATAATGCCAACAAGATTTACATGTTAAAGCAATGCAATAGATACAAGTGCAAAGTATTTATCATGTACCTACCCGTGGAATGCTGCATTTAAAATTTAAAGTAGTGTTAGCACTACTTTAGTCATTAGGTACCTACGCCTAATGACATGGTTATTTAGAATGTTTAATCTGTCAAACACCAAGCGGTCACCGGTGACCGCGACCTAAAGTTCTTTAATTGTGTCTATAAAACCGGTACTCGACGAGTTAAAAAATACCCCTTATGTACATTTTTATCATAAAATGCTACTTTAGGATGGAGCTAAAATAATAAAATACACTCATTCTATAAGCAACCGACTTCAAAAAAAGGAGGAGATTCTCAATTCGACGGTATTTTGTTCTAGTTGTCCAAACATTATTTTCCTTTTTTTTATTTGATGCTTCATGGAAGGTAAGTAGACCCTCGTCAAGTAGTAGTCACTTCTATGAAGGTAACCCTGAGACTTTAGACTGTCATTCTCTATTTTTTATTAAGAACAATTATTTTTATTTGATATTAATCCATTGAAGTTTGTAGCTTAGATCTTATTTGATACTACTCCCGCACAATATCACCCACTGTACTCGGCTCTTCTAGATTGTAATGTGATGTTTTATGGCCTTCCTCGATAAATGGACTATTCGACATAAAATTAATTACATAATTGATTCGAACCAGTAACTCATGTCGTGCCTTGTACTTTATAGATCCGTGTAAAACCCGACAAGACTGGTGTAGTGACTGATGGGGTGAAGCACTCAATGAACCCATTCGATGAGATCGCAGTGGAAGAGGCTGTCAGGATGAAGGAGAAGAAGATTGCCAGTGAAGTCATTGCTGTCTCCTGTGGCCCTGCACAAGCTCAAGTGAGAATCTAATAAGATTTAAATGAAGTCCTAAGTATTTTAAAAGTGTATTTCTAAAGTGATAAACATCTACACAAACAACATCCATGTTATCATGTTAAAATTTCTAGATAAGTGGATTTTAATCATACATACAGACTCATGTCTGAAATCAAAGTGTGCGTTACCCAGGCAAGAACTTGTAGAAAATGGTCATTTGAATATTATAGATAATTAGTTGTGCGGCTTCTGTAATTGTTGCGCACATTTTTAAATTTGTTGCGCTTATAGTTTTTTAATTATTTCACTATAACATTTCCTGCTGGGGTAACGTTACCCCAGCCAGACCTTTTTCTCTCTAAATATTTAAATAATGAATAGCTATAAAATTAGTTGTCTAGATAAAGTAAATATTGTGCCTTATTTTGTATTTGTTTTTTCGTCGGTTGCAAAGTTATTTTGTAATTCCGCTGGGGTAACGTTTTTGGTTTTGCTAGACCTTTGAAATGGTTAAGCGGATTCTTATCGTATTTTGTACATGGCTTATTAGGAATTTTGAAAATTCCGAATGACTTTAATCATAATTATCTCATTAATTATCCAATGTACTGAGCTAAAATTTTACTGATATACAACTGAACTAAACAACTAATTATTGACATAACATTCAGTTCATATATCCAATCTAGTGGCCAAATAACACCTCGCGCATCAAGACCGTGCGTGAAGCTAGTATTTATTTCGAAATTCGAAAGAAAATGGTCTGGCTGGGGTAACGTTACCCCAGCAGGAAATGTTTTTGTGAAATAATTAATAAACTATAAGCGCTACAAATTTAAAAATGTGCGCAACAATTACAGAAGCCGCACAACTAATTAATTATATATGATAATTATTCAAATGACCATTTTCAACAACATCTGGCCTGGGTAACGCACACGAAATCAAGACCTCTTTAGGGAGAATCTCAGATTGGGGGGGCTTAATTTGGTCCAGTTTAACCCCACCTTATACTTATTATACTCTTTGAACCCCACTAAGACACAGGTCTGCGTGTTCACTGTTCAAAAGATACAACCGTTTATCTGCTCAGTTTCTAAGTCTTCCCCTAACTGCCTCAGCCGATATTGGAATACTTTGTGTCAATATTTCAAGCAATGTCCAGTACCATGGCCCTCTAGAAGGCTAAATTAACCTCAGAGAATCTTGACACAAATATTAAATAAACATGCATCTTTAATTGTAACAAAACTTTTAGATAAGTAATTATCAACCTTTATTAATGAAATCATATCAATGAGAAAGTAGTTATTTATTTTACCATGCCAAGCAGTTTCATAATTTCTCCACACCTTGGTTCTAGGAAACCCTCAGGACAGCTTTAGCTATGGGTGCAGATCGTGCCATCCATGTGGAAGTAGCTGGAGCAGAGTATGAGACCCTGCAGCCCCTGCATGTCGCCAAGATCTTAGCCAAACTGTCCAAGGATGAGAAGGCTGATATTGTCATTGTTGGCAAACAGGTACATACACAAAAACTACTACATGGTTTTTGCAAATGTTTTTTTGGTTACAGACATAGCTAAGACTAGAAACGTAAAGACATGTTGTCCAGAGATTTTCTTATGATTTGATTAGCACACACAACAATGAATACTTACCTCAATAGCAAATCCTAAAGCACAAAATAATGACAGGAAATGTTTACTTTATTTCCAATCAATAGAAACATGAATGAAATAAACAACCTATTGTCTGAGGAATTGTTTGTAAACATTAAACAATCAACAGCAGGTTCCATTCATCTATTCCAATTCTATCATTGTGCAAAGGTACTCTGAACCAGATCACTGAAATACTTCTTTCAATAATGTTCGCACCTATGGACAACAGCCTTTGGTCTACAAGTTCTCAAAAAGTAAAGGATATTTTAAAGGAAAGTATAATTAAATTAATTATAATTTTTATGGGTTTTCTTACTCTTTTCCAGGCTATTGATGATGACTCAAATCAAACTGCACAAATGACTGCTGCGCTCCTGGACTGGCCTCAGGCTACCTTCGCTTCCAAGGTATGTAATAAACTACATATTTATGTCGTAGTTGAAACCCCCAATACATTAAAAAGCACTCTGAAAAGTCCCTCAGTCTCATATGTCGACTACGGCGCCTTAGTGTGACGTAATCAGGTGAATCAAACAGTGTAGTTTGATAAATGGAGATTTAACTGAAAGTAGTATACCAGAATCATGTCATTGTGTCCTCTGCTTACCATTAAACAGGTAGCCCAATCAAAAGAAATTACTAGGAATATAATGTATTTCTAGCTTTATAGTTACTTATTTTATTTCTACGTAATCCAGGTTGAAAAGTCAGGCGATGGTTTGACGGTGACCCGTGAAATCGACGGTGGCCTGGAGGTAATCAAGACGAAGCTGCCTGCAGTTGTCAGCGCTGACCTGCGTCTCAACGAACCCAGATACGCTACCTTACCTAATATCATGGTATGTGAGAATTTAATACCTATATTCTAATTGCTAACACTAGATTATTCTTTATTTTGATTTAAGTTCAATGGACCCTGTTAAGCAGAAAAGATCCAGCCCACATTTTATTACTTTTGAGTAAATGAAGTTAACGCTTTGAGTACCGTCATTATAGACACAATTAAAGAACAATAGGTTGCGGTCACTGGTGTCCTAGCGGTATTTGACAGTTTAATGTTGGGCAGATAATAAAACCTATTGAATAGGTACGGTGTCAAATGATTATTTAATTTTGGGCTTTTAAAGTTTAATGTTTGGCTGATATTAAAACCTATTGAATAGGTACTGGTTACTTTAAAATTAATTTACTCAAAGGTAATGAAATGTGGGCTGGATCTTTTCTGCTTAATTGGTCCTCGTAAATATCTGATTCAACATACCCTCTGAAAATGCCTAAATCATTTCGTACATATGTACGTAACTTCTACACACATAATAAATGGGCAGTAATATAATTATTTGGCGAGTTTAATGTAAAGGGCGTAGCAAAACCCCGTTTTCAAAATTCACTTTGTTTTTATTATATCTTTTTATCTTATTACATCAAAACCAAAGTGTCGTAATATTCAGTTTTTTTTTATCTTTTCACATCGTTATACCTTTTCCTAAATCCAATAAATAATGTCGATTTTGTTTTACAGAAAGCCAAAAAGAAGCCCCTTAAGAAAGTGTCAGTCAAGGACTTGGGAGTGGACATTGCTCCTAGGATCAAGGTCTTGTCCGTGGAAGATCCTCCAGTCCGACAGGCTGGCTCCATTGTCCCCGACGTGGACACTCTTGTCGCCAAGCTCAAGGAAGGAGGCCACGTCTGAACCTTTGTAAATAGCCAAAAATGTGTGTTCATCAATCAAAATAATGCTAATATTTATACTGAGATTTTGTATGAACGTGGATTGTAGATTACACTGTATAAATTGTTAAAAATATAATACATTTTTAAACTGTTTGTCTTTTGTTTTTATTCCTTTACTAGCTATTGCCCGCGACATAGAATATGAGTTTTAGAACATAACTCCTTTTTTGTTTCAATTTTCCAAAATAAAAGTACTTCTATGTTACTCTTTAGTACATTAGCTACCTACCAGTAAAAGTCCCGTCGAAATCGGTCCAGCGATTTCAGAGATTAGCCAGTACAAACAAATAGAAAAAATGTTATTATGGTATATATGTATGGTAAGTATATTTACATCAATGATATTTTTTTTCAATTAGGCCAGAAAGGCACTTTTGAACGTCAACATAAAAATTTAAAGTGCAACTATTTGCTCATTCCAAGATGTAGATTCCTATAGAGAAGAACAAGCAAGGAACTCCATAGGTTACTCTTTTTCAATCGTGTGCGTTAGCCAGGCCAGATGTTGTCGAAAATGGTTATTTGAATGTTATAGATAAATTAGTTATGCGGCTTCTGTAATTGTTGAGCAAATTTTTAAATTTGTTGCGCTTATAGTTTTTTAATTATTTCACAAAAACATTTCCTGCTGGGGTAACGTTACCCCAGCCAGACCTTTTTCTTTCTAATGGGATTAATTGAATAATTACTAGCTATAAAATTAGGCTTACTTTAAACGATATATTTAAAGCCTGTAAAATTACAGATAGTAATTTTGCTTTTCAAAAACGTTTAAAGTAAGCCTTTAGAACTCTTATCGAGAGTGCTGGGACCAATTGAAGTGTTTTTCTATTTATTGAAATAACCTTTAAGCTTGTCGCAAGCCGAATTGGCCCACGGGCTTCCGGACGCCGCCACGCCTGCATTCCCGCTCGTTTCCGAGACTACGCACCGGAGGCGTAAAAGAGCGGGACAGAAGTATATAGAAAAACGCGCCATGACATCGGCGGCGCGGTGCCGAACGACGGAACGACCGTTACTTCAGTGAGTCGACGCAGGAGCGCGCGAGAGGCAGCGAGTGTTCGTGTCGATCGATCCGCCGCGCGTGCTCTCAAAACGGTCCTACACGAAAAGCTATGTATTATTTTGGTTTTTTTATTGCAGAACAAATTTAAACTAATTCCTAAGAAGCCATGTGCAAAATATAATAAGAATCCGCTTAACCATTTCAAAGATCTAGCAAAACCAAAAACGTTACCCCAGCAAAATCTCGAATAACTTCGCAACCGATGAAAAAACAAATACAAAATAAGGCACAACATTTACTTTATCCAGACAACTAATTTTATAGCTAGTAATTATTTAAATATTCCCCTTAGAAAGAAAAAGGTCTGGTTGGGGTAACGTTACCCCAGCAGGAAATGTTTTTGTGAAATAATTAAAAAGCTATAAGCGCAACAAATTTAAAAATGTGCGCAACAATTACAGAAGCCGCACAAAAACTTATCTATAAGACCAAAATTACAATTTCGACAATATCTGGCCTGGGTAACGCACACGATAAGGTAACAAATAGCAGACAAAAATAGTAAATGATCACCAAAATTAAACCAACATTTTAACACGTTCAGACCGGCTTGTACCACCGGTGGAGTGACAAAATTAAACCAACATTTTAATATAAAATTATAACCAAAGTTTTTAAATTCTGCTATCCTATTTAAGCAACTGCGAGGACCGCCCTGAGGACACGGTGGAACACACAGTGGGAGAATGCCCTGCGTGGGCTGAGCACCGCCGTGCCCTCAGGGAAGTGATCGGCGATGGCGACCTCTCGCGTCCGGGCCTAGTGCAGGCCATGATGCGGAGCGAGGGGGATTGGGATGCCGTCTCCTCCTTTTGCGAAGCAGTCATGCTAGCTAAGGAGGAGGCGGGACGCGTGAGGCAGCGAAGCGCTGCCTCCTCGCAACCCAGCCATCGCGAAGGACACACCGGGCGTCGGGGATCGCGAGACGATCTCCGGCCACCGTAAGCGCGGGCCTGCGGACGGCGAGCATGGGTGGCTCCCCGTCCGACCAGAAACAGACCCGAGCGTACGGCGCGTCGCGTTCCGCGCGCGCCTCAAAGAGCCATCAGACCACCACAGATGGGGCCCAATAGGGCCGATGCCGATTCGGAGTCGCGGAGAACCTAACGGGTAACCGGGGCTCCGGCTCGACGTGCAGGAGAAGGAACGGGGTGGTTTTTAGTCAGTAAGAGTCTGACACTCCCTTCCGCCTCACCCAGGCGGGAGCAGTCATTCGATGATTTTCCCCCCTTTAAAAAAAAAAAAAAAATCCTATTTAAGCAACATGAGTCCAAATAAATCATTGTCATCCCAAAAGTAGTAAATGATCACCACAATTATACCAGCGTTTTAATATAAAATTATAATCAAAGTGTTTACATCTTGTTACCCTGTTTAAGTAAACTGATTCCAAAAAAATCAAACCCAAAGATAATGAAAATCAAATTATTAACCACATTTTAATTTAGAGTGACGTGCAAAAAATTAGTTTATTTGATAATAAGCCTACAATTTATGGCAAGATTTATTTAGGCAAAAATAATACATTAATTTGGTCGTCAAGATTTGGTGATTATTTACTAAATTTGGTGGTCAAATACAATTTAAAGTGGAGTCGTGACTAAAACGTGACGTGACATGACTGCCTCGTTGGCCGAGTGGTCGCAATTGCGACTGCCGGGCAAGGGGTCTCGGGTTCGATTCCCGGGTCGGGCAAAATATTACTGGGTTTGTAAAAATCTCAGTAGTAGCACGGAGTCTGGAATTGTGCCCAGTATATGGCAATAGGCTCACCCCCTATTACATGGGACTCATAACATAAATAGTGAAAAGTGGGTGTTTAATTGTACAGTGGTATAATGTACACCTCTGCCTACCCCTTCGAGGATAAAAGGCGTGATGTTATGTTAGCATGGAGCCTGGAAATGTGTCAGGTATGTCCGGTATGTGGCAAGAGGCTTACCTCCTATTACATGGGACTCGTATCATAAATAGTGAAAAGTGGGTGTTACCTCTGTCTGCCCATCTGCCTATACCCATCGGGGATAAAAGACGTGATCTTATGTAGTTTGACGAGTCTGAAAATATTTTTTGACTTCACATTCTAATGATATTTGGTTCGGTGAAAATAATTGCTGACGATAGCTTCGGGTTTGGTTAAGTAGGCAGCATTTAGGATTCAGGTGGATAAAACTATATTTAGTAGGGTCATACCGAGTATATCAGACTATTTTGGCTGTGATTACCTCATTTGAGTGCGTCATTATTTATGCATCTGAGGTAAATAGCAACATTAATATTACTCTTTTTAACCCCACTGTGCACAAAAATTAATATTAATCAAGATACAGATAGGGATGATATGGAGTAAACAAGATGCATCCTGAGGAAGGGCCTGAGGCAGGCCACCACGAGTTCGAGGGCTGCGAAAGAATGTGACTCCCGCACTCTCGTACCGTGTGAGATGGGACACCAGGAGGAAGAAAGAAAGAAAGAAAGAAAGATAAACTTTATTTCACACGCTAAAACAGGTGACACGTACAGATTTTACACATAAGTTTATATACATCTTCTAATGTTCCAAGTCTGCGGTGAAGTGGGACCAGTTCAGGATGTGCAAGACAGGGCCTCGTGCTGGTATTCTACTGGCCCCTTAAGTGACTCGCGGACGAACAAGCCACCAATCAGACAACGATAATCATAAAGCAATTTTCCCCAAAAACACAAGGATTTTAGTCAGTAAAAATCTGACCTTCTTTCTTCTTTCTTTGTCTTTTTATCGTTTAGTACTAAGTTATTTAATGTAAACCAATTTTGAAGATTCATTAGGGCATTATTTACGTTGTCATAATTATTTGTTCGTCTATCTATTTTAAAAACTAATGAAGTGTTATCAGCAAATAATATCATCTGCGGTTCATTTTTAAATATATGCGGCAAGTCATTTATGTATGCTAAAAATAAGAATAGACCTAGTATTGAGCCCTGCGGTACACCCATAGATATGCTAGTACCCTGTGAATTTACTTTATTTACCTGTACTTTAAGTTGCCTATCCTGAAGGTACCATTTCAACAGATTTAGTGACGTTCCCTGAGTGCCGTAGTATTCCAGCTTTAGCAATAGTGTCTCTTATGTTCAACACAGTCGAATGCCGTCGAAAGATCACAAAATATTCCGATGGCATCCCGTACTTCTTCCCATGAGGCGAAAACCCGCTTAATTAGAGGCACTCCCGCGTCAGTAGTGCAGCGACCCTTGGTGAATCGGTATTGTTGATCATGAAAGATAGAATTAATGTTAAAATGACGCAACATCTGAGTAAGCATCAGCCGTTCAAACACTTTGCTGAGCGATGGTAAAATAGAGACCGGCCTATGGTTATTGGGTTCTGCGCTATCACCGGATTTAAACAATGGAACTACTTTACTATGCTTCATTAAATCCGGGAAAACTACGTGATCTACACTTCTATTAAAAATGAAAGCTAAATGAGGCGCTATAGTTTCTATAAAAGACCGACACACCCTAACAGACATTCCCCAGAAATCTTCAGTCGACTTAACTTTGATATCTTTGAACGTTTTAATTACTGCTTGCTGCTTGGGGGTTTGTGTACTGAAATCGAAATTCAGAAAGACACTCCTTGATTATTTACTTACAACATTACTTTTAAGGAGTTCAACAGAAAGAGTTGGAGATGATTTCAACACTTCCGTAGTTTTAATCGGAATGTTTTTAAAGAAACTTTAAATTCTTGAGCAACTTCCAAATTTGAATTGATGCGTCCATTCGCAGTACTAAGATCAGCATTGCGCGATTTATTTCTACCTATCTCGTTATTAATTATATTACAAGTAGTTTTTATTTTATTTTCTGCGGTCTTAATTTTATTGGTAATGTAAAGTGATTTAGCATACTTACAAACTACATTTTCGAATATTTGGAGACATAACTGTGGAAAGCCTCACTATGATTAAATGGTTTCATACCGTAAAGCTCAATATATTACTCGAATGACAATTTCTAAAAAATTTACCTTGTCTAAG